TGTCAAGAGGCTTTGTAGAAGAAATTTTTTGTATTGCTTATTACGGGTGCAGCCTCGAATCGGTAAAAAGGCCTACTTAGCTAGCAAGGAGCGTGAAGCTCCGCATCAAAAGGTACTGTAGAAAAAACGCAAAAAAGCACGTCCACTTGACTATTGCTGAAAGAAGCAAGAGGGATGGAACTCTTAGATTTTTGTCACAAATGGGGTCCGAGGAATCTTTTTTGACCGATTTCAAGCCCAATATTTGGCAAAAATAAGGTCTTTTTACAAATATGACCATTTTCAAGTATTTCGAACTATTACGACTCATTTTGGCTGAAAAACAATAGGCAAAATAAGAAAAAAGAAAGTTTTCCGATAAATTTCGAGATGAGAATACACTAAACCAACTATCAATCTGTCGGGAAAATAACGGTGGGTCTTCGCGCCTTGGAAACACCCGCCGTTATTTTCCCGGCAGACTGATAAGAGCTCCTTTCTCGAGTTAGTTTCGTAACGACATTTGGACTACTCGGTAACTCATTAAACTCTACAATCTTTTTGAAACCCAAAATCTTCCCAAGAAAAATCCCTTGTATAAGTACTTGTCCTTTTAAGCATTGTAAAACTATACACCGTTTTCGGTCATGGGCTTGTGATCAAACGTGCGCCTTAATGTTTGAGCCTTGTTTTTTGTAGCGACCCAGTTCTATGATGCTCGTAAAATGAAATTTTTGAACACAAAAATTCCCCTTACTCAGAAACAAATGTGATTTTCGAAAAACTCTTTCACAACATTGTGCAAATCCGTTTTCAAATTCGTAGCGTCCACCCTAGTTTCCACCTCTCATCTGAAGTGCACTCTTACGCAAATTGAAGTGCGACTATTTCCAGTAATCGAGTCAGGCTTTGTGGGGGCTAACGGCCGTAATCGGGTTAAGGACCAAAAAAAAAAATATTCTCAATTTACGGGTAGTTCTAATCGCAGCGCACCGCTTTTATAGACCTGAAATTAACGGTTCCGCAATCCTGCCCAGCCTCTGTTTTTGTTCAAGCATGGGTTGGTATAAAAGACGATCCTCAAAGAGAGTGCAGATTCGGCGCAGACTTGGCAAATATTTTTTATTTTGCAGCATTAGTGCGTGCGAAGGCGATTGAAAAGACCTATTTTAGGTGCCCTTGAACTTGCGGTCTAGTAAGTACACTTGAATTCTTCTTCTTTGTATGTTTTCAATCCAAATTAGAATAAAAAAGGAGGTGGTCAAGCGCAACGGTAGATCTGGCGAAGACCTGGGACAAAGTGTGAATTGGGTTTACAATAGAAGTACCCCAAGTGCGACGCTCAGATTTTCTTTAAATTTTGCACACACGCCGGTCATGAACTACAGTCACGGCCCTGATCCAGTGGCAAGAAAACGTACCATTTTGCATCCGGGAAGCACCAAAATTATGGCAAAGTGCGTCCCTTTTTTCACTTGGAGAGGGAAGCATTTTGCCACATTTTTGATACTTCCCGGATTCCAAATGGCACTTTTTTTGCCACTGATCAGGTCCACCACTGTATTCATCAATTCGTGAAACTTTTAGCTCGCGCTTTGCAAGCGCCGCCGAGAGAGTACGCTAAACGCGGAGGGCGGTCAGAGAGAAAAACACTTTTTGGCCATAACTTTGCTAGTTTCGTGCAGAAAGAATGATTTTTAGTGGAAACATTACCCTCTATGGTATTAGAAACAGGCATGAACTTTTCGTGCCGAAATTCGGAAAGAAGCTCAAATTTTCGCCGACTTTCAATCTAAAAATCCCGGTTTTCCCATCTTCGTAAATTTGTCAAGACTTGAGATCTCCTTGTGCCAAATCTTGCCGGAGTTTAAAGCAATTTAAGTATTAGAAATGGTACAAAGGTATCAATCGTTGAGCCTCAAATCTGATATTTATCTTGAGGGGGTCGCCCAAAGAAGTAACGAAGTGTTTGCCGATTTATTTTTTGCTGTCTGAAGAAGTTTTCGGCGACCCAGACAAAATAATGATTAGTTTTTCTAAATGTGAATGTGGCGAAACAGAGGAAAATTGGCTATTTCAGAAGCTAACTATACACTCCCATTTTACCGACGCTAATGAAAATTGCCAATTTCCCAGAACATTCACGTGGATAGTACTGGAGTTAAGAAGCTTTGGCAGCGATTAAATTCTTCGCATCTAAGCTACCTAAACCACTTAGTAATTTCTGAAAATTTGCATTACACTTTTAGGACACGAGTGATCATTGTAACGCCCAGATTTTAATGAAATTTTGAATAAATTTTTTCTAATTATTCAGAGAATACCGTGGTTTTTTAAGTCAAAAGGTCGTAAAAAATCGACAATTTTAAAATTGGTGCTTAAACCAATATTTAACGGTGGCGGTAGACTTAAAAAGTCTCAATCATTTTTTGTTCCAAGTGCCATTGAAATATGAGTTTATTAGCACATTTTTGTAATGTTAGCTTTATTCCCTGACAGCCAACTCCTGCTCAAAACGCAGCTTTTCAATTCATCTAAATCATCATGTTTCAATTCCCGCAGCCTTTTCGATTTGCGTCTTTTCAATTTTTGACTACGTATGGTATAATATATGATTACAATAACATTTCTAAGACACCGTAAGTGCCAACGACCAACAAGGTTAATTTTTTTCCTTTACTTTCATTACTCGCAATACTGTACATAGAAACACACGTAAGCCCAATGTTCACGCGATTCGGTCTTATTAATTTCGCAGCGTTATTAAGGACGACGTTTGGGTGGGCAACCAATTATTTTATGAATTCCATTTCAGATGTGAACAGGAAGGATGAACTTACATACCGCGAACATAGAGCGAGAAACGAATGTTTATTGGGCAAAGATTAGAATTACATAAGATCTTGTTTTTTGGACTTGAAAAAGGAAACGTTTATAGGGTCGGAAAAAGTTTTCTTCTTCGACACGTAGACTGGTAAACTATGTAAATCGAAGTCTTTTTCATTTGATAAAAGCGATGAAAATATCCTAAAAGATGTCCTGGGCAATGCGTTCTGATTTTCCGCAAGATTTCTGTAGAGTATCTGAATAGGCGCTATCTCAATTGTTGAAAATTTTAGCACGCGATTTATTGGATCGGTTAATATATTCAATGATTTTTGCGGCCGAGGGTCCGTCAAGGAGCTATGTATTATCGGTAAAAAAGCGTTCTCATATAGCACCATCACATTTTCAAAAAAAATTTTTTTTTTAGTTTCATTGTTTAACACTACAACCGTAATGTTATTTTCTCGATTTCTCCATCAATCAAATTTACCTTGCCTTCTGTTTTTAAAGCTTTACTTTAAGTTGCCTTGGCTGAGCGGAAATGTGACTTATGACCAACAAATCTGCCCAACTTGGTCACTAATCGCCTACCTTATTTTTGATTTTTATGTACTGCACAAATTTCCGGTTACGCCATTTTCTACCAACGACCAAATCGACTTATCGTAAGTTGACGTGCTTATTTTTTGTCACCCAAATAGCACAACCTTTTCAAAGGCTCCCAAACAGAAAAACCTTGGGATTATCCTGTGAATAGCGATTAAAACCTTTTGAAAACATACCTACATACGTGACAGTCACCATTTTTTGCAATATGCTCAAGGTCGTCAAAATTTGATCTAGGAGTTTCAAAAAGAACCTGTAAAGTTTTGTTGTGTAGTTTGAATGCTTAGACATGCTGTCTTAGGCTATAGTAGACGCCTGATGTTAAATTTTTTATGTAGCAAAATGTGTTCTGACGTAAATGTAAAACCTTTTTTAGGAACAAAAAGTAGAGGTAAATTGGGGCTGGGTTGAAAGCGCAAATAATGTAACAAGGTTGTCGAAAAAGCCAAAATTAAATAATTTTTGTTCGTAGCCATGACGGAGTTTGCAACTACCGGTCCCTTGCATTTGTTGGCACTGACCGTTTGAGGTATAGTAGCTAGGAATAAGATAACAGCTTTTTTCATACTTCCTCTATTTTTCTAATACATGTATTATACATGTATAGACATGTATAATACATGTATATGTTTATCAATGTCGTCGTTCATTGTTTTTCCCGCCTAATCCAACATTACCAAGTTGGCACGTGATGTTCAAATTACGGGAATAATCGGCGATTCATCAGTAATCAAAACAGCGGCAAAATTAGTTGAATCACACAATAAGCCGGATTTATCAAGATTTCCCAAGACTTTCCAATTAAGTTGGCGTATATCCTTCTTTGGACGTGAAAAGCTAATGTGATGACTCAACTGTTTACTGTCTAAAAAGCGCAATGCTCGAGTCTGAAAAGCGCAATCTTCGAGATTCTGATAATTTTTACGATTTTTGGACCTGTCGCTGACCCAAAAAGTAGTTGCGCCTAAAAGTTTTCTTTCTTCAAAACAAGAATTTTTACTTCATTGCAATAGTTTTTGATGCCAAATTTGGGCTTCTCTTGTCTCTTTAGCAGCCCCTTTATCCGCCGGACCTATCAATCTACACGTATATTTACATACGTTATTTTTGGTTCCCTTTTCGTCTTTTACCGTTTTCAATCCCACGTCTCCTTTATCTTGCATATTTCTGGATTTAGTCGATAAGCCGTTTTTTCAGAGCGATTAGGGCTGGTTGAAATATACATAATGTTCGAGGAAACATGGGGGGAAAATAATCCGGAGGCGGGGAACACACGGTCGAAAAAATAATTCAGCAATATGAACAAATCTTTTTTTGGGAGCACACAGCTAATGTTTATGTCATAAATACTAGTCTGTTGGTAAAATCATATATTCTCTATAATCTTCAAACATAAAAAAACGATTTTTTAAAACTCTGAACTATTTTGATTTTAAAATTTCCCGATTTCCATGACTTTTGAGCATCCAAGTGCATTTTTGATGTTTTTTCGCACGAAGGTGTAGAATTTTTAATCCCTGTCCTTTGATAATGAACACGCATCATTCGCGGTTCCTGAGAACCGACAGAAGTGCGTGGAGAAAGAACGAATGTCATCATGCTACAGGGCTTCGGAAAACAGGTCCAGTCAGAGTAAGTTGAAGCCAAAGGCACCAGTTGTTTATCGCCCAAGATTTTTTCTCTATTTTTTGGGAGTTCGCCGGTGGGTGGGCAATTTTTATATTACACTAGGTATCAAGTGTGGAAAAAAATGTTTCTGAACTTAAAAAATTTTCAAAAAACGCGTGGGGTTTGTAAAGCGTGAGCTAAAAATTTAAAATACGTCTTAAAAAATTATTTCCATAGTAATTCGCGACAAGTTTTGTATAAAATTGGAGGGTCATAGCCAAGTGTTTTTGCCTATTGCTTCTTGTTTTTTCACAAAAATCATTTTTATTTTAAACTAATTTTTTGGCTCCGCCCAAATCCAGAAAAATCTAGTTCTTGTCCACTTCGCCTCTATATCATCCATTTTTAGCCCAATTCCGAACGATTGCATGTCAAAATTTGATTTCTTGTAAAATTAGGTTTCTATCTACGCACATGTCGCATGTTAATTTTATCGCGTTTGTTTTATAACTCGTCATTATTTTAATTCAATTTTCAGTTTTCCCTTGGCCTTTCCGCAATTCATATCCTCAAGATTTTGGGTGTTACGCGATGCAAAATTACTCCGAGAAAGAGGAGCTACAGCTGGAACTGCACGCACCTACCTCCATTTCACCGTTGAGAATCTTTTTGTCGGCCACATGCGTCTTTGGGATCGCGTTCAATGTGCTGGTGTTTTGCAAAGGGAATCGAACAAAGTAAGGGTTGAAACTTTTTTATTTTTTTGTTGTTATTAGAGTCATTAGAGCACCAAAATTATTATACCTCTTCTGATGAGCAGCTCTAATGCTCTTAGCTTGCTGTTTTCGAATATCCAAAGTTCTTGTTCTTAAGAGAGCACGCTAATTGAGGAGAGTTGGCCAGGCGAGAAATGGTTTTTACCTATAACTTCTTTGTTTCCGCTGAAAAAAATCTGATTTTTTGTGCAAAGTTTTTACACTATAATAGTAAATGAGCTTGAGATTTTCAATCCAGTAGTCGGAAAGAAATTTTTTGCAGCTTTGGACGCGACAAATCCGCATTATTTTCCCGACAGACGGAAAGAACGATGAAATTATTTCTGAAAGTCACCGAATTGGGTAATTTTCGATGTGAAAAAAACTACGCCAAACATACACAAGCAAGAATACATTCTTTTATTTGCAGCAAACGACAAGCTTCGACCACTCGGATTTCCCTCCGATTATTGGCGTTGATGGCAATGGCAGACACCATCTCTCTGGGGGCATTGTTGTTGATGCTCTCCATTCAGTACCTCGGTCTGCGAAATCCGCAGACAATGACGGTCGTCTGCAAAGTAGGCACCATCAATAATAATTTTTTGTTTGATTTAGCATAGTAATTTTTACAGTATCTATAATATTTCATTTATTTTTCGGATGTTTTTGTTTTGATATTTATGGATAATTTGCTTGCAGATAGACCTGTTTCTAATCCATGCAGCGTCCGCATTCTCAATATGGTGCTGGCTGGTGATGTCAGCCATACGCTACATTGCCATTTATCGGCCATACGCTCATCTTCGGCTGAATAAAGAGCCAATGTTCGCTGTGGTAAGTGGGACTATTGCGTTTTACGGAGCAGGTCAAAAAGGAATTTTATAAGAGCCCAAATTTGGTATCAAAATGTATCAAAAGTATCACAAAAAAACTAAAAAAAAAGTTTTGAATAGAAGCGTTTTTCTGATACCCTATTTGACTTTATTATGTATAATTTCTTTTGACACGTTAGACAACTATAAAATTTTTTGCATTGCTACCGACTAACTATACAATTCCCTTTCTTCCAGGCCACAGTCGTCCTTATGTGCGGATTATTTGAGGCCTGGATCCTCTTCGACGTCAAATTCGATGTTCGTGCCAGAGGCTGCGTCGAAACTCTGCCCGAAGAATGGGGCTTCCGGATACAGTTGGCCGAGATCACATGGAGCTACTTTCTGCCGCTCGTGCTGATCACAGTGCTCGACTTTCGAGTACTCTGCTGTCACTCGGTTTGGAAAAGCAGAGGCCCGTCCAGCATCAGCGACTTTGATCCCGCTTTTACCGACGCGCAATGCCATAGGCCGTCGAAACCAGCGACGGTATGTAAACTTTTGGATGGGCGATATCATAGAGTGTGAGGTGGAAATGAGCTCAAATTTGAGGTCAAAAAGAACCGTTAATAGACAGAGATCACATCGAAAATCGAAATACGAAATTTTTCTAAATTTTCTAGTTGAATTTTTCAAAAATTACTCCTTCAAAACTTAAGTTTTCTTGGTCATCTGCGATTTGCTTTACAGAGTTTATTTATTGCCTATTTTTATAATAAATATCATTGTTTCCAGTCCGACGAAACCCAAGCTCTGTACATCAAGACCGTTCATTCCACCGATTCCATCCCGAAGCCGGCCTATTCCCCTTCCAACAACTCACTCGACAAATGCGACTCCCCACAGAACCCTCTGGCCATGCCGCTTTGCAATCCCTGCACGCCCTCTCTCTCCGTCAAATCCAAGACTTCGCTGTCAGCGAGGAACGCCAAGCCTCGATCGCACCGGAGAGCTCAACAAATCCGCATCCTGAAGAGGTGCTTGTGCATTTCGGTTCTCGATTTGGGCATGAACCTGCCCAATTATTTGCTGAGGCTCTACTTTACAATGGCGGACATTTCGACGGTGGAGAAAATCGCAAATGAAGCGTGGTTTGCCTTCTTCCAAGATCTCAGTCAAATGCTGTATTTTGCACAGGTATGTAGGAAATTTTTGTACTTTTTGAGGAAATTGGGAAGTTGAAAAATATTATTACATAGTTTCGCACGTACTTTGCAGGTACACAGGAGATTACAAAAGACCAGGAAGTATGAAAAGTGCAGAGAGAAATCCGAGATCTCCTATTTTTTTTTGAAAACAAATTTCACTTTTTTTGGAAACCTCTCAGACTATCCTCCGATTGTAAAGCCGCTAGAGTACATAATTTCTGGCGTATGCACCGACAGAAAAAAATTATGAGCCAGCCCGAAAGCCAAAGAGTCCTTTGTCGCTGGAGCGATTTTTGCGATATGCACTGTGCGAAAAGAAAAATTCACGTTGCACTGTGCAATTGGTTGCTTTTTGCACCGTGCAATAGGATTTTTTTGGCTGTCGCTCGCACCCTGACGTTTTCTGCACAGTGCAAAAAATAATTTCAGTTCCGCGACATGCACTGTGCGAAAAGAGAAGTTCACGTTGCACTGTGCAATTTGTTGCCTTTGCACCGTACAATAAGCTTGTTTTGGCTGTCGCTCGCACCCTGACTTTTTTCGCACAGTGCAAACGCCAAAAAGCACTCCAGCAACTTTGTGAACGGATTAAAAAATAGTGCTGCACAGTGCGAATGTGAACTTTGGTCTTCGCACAGTGCATGTCGCGAAAATCACTTTGCGAACGGCCTAGTAGCAGAAAAAAAACTAAAGATTTTTATGCCAAAACTTGTGCAAAACGATGATTTTAGGTACAAAAAATTCATTGCTTTCTGCAAAATGCTTACTATAATAGAAACCAGTTCAACCATTTTTGAAAAAAAAATTTTAATTTTGAATTTAACAAATTATTGAAATTTTTTCAAAAAAATTTACTGCATCCTCACAAAAAAGGTCTACTATCTAATGCTAATAAATACTTTTTTCAGTTCGCTCTCAACGCCCTCTACTTGATGGGCATTATTTATCAGGCGCCCAGGAAGAAGAACATGAACAATGGGAATGCGACCAGTGGAGTCTCCAAATCAGGTGTATGGCAATGAGAAATCTACACATTCAAGTGTAAAGTCGACGTCCGTCTAGATGTACAATATACAGACAAATTCTTTATGTCAAAAAGAATCTCATAACCTCGGTCTTTCAAAACATTTCAAGCCAAAGAGAAACGGGAGAATAAATTTAATTTATTTTATTAATTTATTTGGAGATTATGTACAAAATCATGTCAAAGACATGTCGTAAAAGTTATAGAGGTGTTTGTGTGAAGGCCTTTAAAAGTGATGTTACCAGTTTTTATAATTTTCATTTTGTGGAATACAAAAAAATTTGGAATTTAGAGGATAACAATACCTTCGAAAAATGATGTACATATGTGCATAAATACCCATTAAATACTGTTTATCACAGGTCTCGCTCGCTCTGCGCTGTCTTCCTCCTCGGAGTTTACAGCCGTCACTGAGAGGGATCGTTCACATTCTGGATTGAATACAATTCCTTGATCCTCGTCCAAAATGTCATCATCGACCGGTAGGAGGAGGTCTTGATCCAATAAGATTGTATCTCTCTGCCACAGAGGACGAAGGAGGTAATGGACAATACTGAAGGTAAAAAATTATGGACAAAATAATCGCCGTATTTTACAAATATTTTTTTAAAAAAATTTTCGGATTTTTTAAGCCAAAAAAGTCTGTTGGAAAGACCGTATTTTAAAAATTTAAAAAAATTCTTCAAAACAATCCGTATTTTACAGACATAAAAAAAATTTTAGTTTTTAAAACGCGTTTTGCCACACTTTGGAGCTTAGCCTAACAGAGGGCGGACATTGTTAAAATCGGCATCTCAGAATTGAACGAAAATTGGTCAACTTAATCACTGATAGGCACAAAACATTCGCTTTCTTTGTTTTTGCCCAAAATTACCGTATGACGGCATACTGTAACATCATTTTTAAAAAAGATATGCCCTAATCGAGAAAACGAAGCGCTATTTCAGCGCAAATTGAGTTCGGGTATATGTTTTCGATCATGTAGAACATTTTTGTAATTGTCACCGAAAACTAAAAATTACATCTAAGCTATGTTACACTTGAGACAACATACCATTTCGGGTATAAAAAATGCAGTTCGGACGAGGCGCAGATTTTGAAACCGGAATACTAAACTTCAAGCCTCGTCTAACAAACCATAAAAATTTCAGAAAGATCAAATATATAGTTTTTGAGATATCGGACATTCAATGTCTCATGTGCAAGATCACCTTGACCCCGAAAAAACTGGCATTCTTAGGGTTTTGGCTAGGCGCAGATTTTGAAAGTTTCCAATACATTTTTATGACATTTTAGGAGGATATAGAAAGTTTCAGAGGAAAAAATGAATAGTTTTTGAGAAACCGGCCAAAATACCTTGTTTTAGGTCATCAGATGCCCGAAAAAATCTGGCATTCTTAGGTTTTTGGCTAGGCGCAGATTTTGAAAGTTTCCAATACATTTTTATGACATTTTAGGAGGATATAGAAAGTTTCAGAGGAAAAAATGAATAGTTTTTGAGAAACCGGCCAAAATACCTTGTTTTAGGTCATCAGATGCCCGAAAAAATCTGGCATTCTTAGGGTTTTGGCTAGGCGCAGATTTTGAAAGTTTCCAATACATTTTTATGACATTTTAGGAGGATATAGAAAGTTTCAGAGGAAAAAAATGAATAGTTTTTGAGAAATCGGCCAAAATACCTTGTTTTAGGCCATCAGATGCCCGAAAAAATCTGGCATTCTTAGGTTTTTGGCTAGGCGCAGATTTTGAAAGTTTTCAATACATTTTTATGACATTTTAGGAGGATATAGAAAGTTTCAGAGGAAAAAAATGAATAGTTTTTGAGAAATCGGCCAAAATACCTCAATTTGGAGAAAAAAACAGTAACACACATATATCTCGGAAAAAAAGAGATGCCGAAGAAAATTGGTCGAATTTTCCAGCAACTTGACCTATAACAGGTTCACCATGGTCGATATCTCAAAAACTATTCACTTTTTTCCACTGAAACTTTCTATTTCCTCCTAAAATGTCATAAAAATGTATTGGAAACTTTCAAAATCTGCGCCTAGCCAAAAACCTAAGAATGCCAGATTTTTTCGGGCATCTGATGACCTAAAACAAGGTATTTTGGTCGATTTCTCAAAAACTATTCATTTTTTTCCTCTGAAACTTTCTATATCTCCCTAAAATCTCATAAAAAAGTATTGGAAACTTTCAAAATCAGCGCCTAGCCAAAAACCTAAGAATGCCAGATTTTTTCGGGCATCTGATGACCTAAAACAAGGTATTTTGGTCGATTTCTCAAAAACTATTCATTTTTTTCCTCTGAAACTTTCTATATCCTCCTAAAATGTCATAAAAATGTATTGGAAATTTTCAAAATCTGCGCCTAGCCAAAAACCTAAGAATGCCAGATTTTTTCGGGCATCTGATGACCTAAAACAAGGTATTTTGGCCGATTTCTCAAAAACTATTCATTTTTTTCCTCTGAAACTTTCTATATCTCCCTAAAATCTCATAAAAAAGTATTGGAAACTTTCAAAATCTGCGCCTAGCCAAAAACCTAAGAATGCCAGATTTTTTCGGGCATCTGATGACCTAAAACAAGGTATTTTGGCCGGTTTCTCAAAAACTATTCATTTTTTTCCTCTGAAACTTTCTATATCCTCCTAAAATGTCATAAAAATGTATTGGAAACTTTCAAAATCTGCGCCTAGCCAAAACCCTAAGAATGCCAGATTTTTTCGGGCATCTGATGACCTAAAACAAGGTATTTTGGCCGGTTTCTCAAAAACTATTCATTTTTTTCCTCTGAAACTTTCTATATCCCCCTAAAATCTCATAAAAAAGTATTGGAAACTTTCAAAATCTGCGCCTAGCCAAAACCCTAAGAATGCCAGTTTTTTTCGGGCATCTGATGACCTAAAACAAGGTATTTTGGCCGGTTTCTCAAAAACTATTCATTTTTTTCCTCTGAAACTTTCTATATCCTCCTAAAATGTCATAAAAATGTATTGGAAACTTTCAAAATCTGCGCCTAGCCAAAACCCTAAGAATGCCAGATTTTTTCGGGCATCTGATGACCTAAAACAAGGTATTTTGGCCGGTTTCTCAAAAACTATTCATTTTTTTCCTCTGAAACTTTCTATATCCCCCTAAAATCTCATAAAAAAGTATTGGAAACTTTCAAAATCTGCGCCTAGCCAAAACCCTAAGAATGCCAGTTTTTTTCGGGGTCAAGGTGATCTTGCACATGAGACGTTGAATGTCCGATATCTCAAAAACTATATATTTGATCTTTCTGAAATTTTTATGGTTTGTTAGACGAGGCTTGAAGTTTAGTATTCCGGTTTCAAAATCTGCGCCTCGTCCGAACTGCATTTTTTATACCCGAAATGGTATGTTGTCTCAAGTGTAACATAGCTTAGATGTAATTTTTAGTTTTCGGTGACAATTACAAAAATGTTCTACATGATCGAAAACATATACCCGAACTCAATTTGCGCTGAAATAGCGCTTCGTTTTCTCGATTAGGGCATATCTTTTTTTAAAAATGATGTTACAGTATGCCGTCATACGGTAATTTTGGGCAAAAACAAAGAAAGCGAATGTTTTGTGCCTATCAGTGATTAAGTTGACCAATTTTCGTTCAATTCTGAGACACTGATTTTAACAATGTCCGGGCCAAACTACGATTTGTAATAAAACGCGTTTTGAAAAATTTCAAAAAGATGTGTTTGCGTATTTTACAACCCTAAAAAACTTTTCTTTGAAATTTTCAAATCGTATTTTAAACATACCACAATCCCACCACCACTCCAGCACAAAGCACTCCCTGCAAAAAGAAGACGAATCCCGGCCAACTCGCCATGGTGGCCTTGTAAACATTGTTGAAGATCAACGCCGAAAACATTGGGCCCACCACCATGACCCAAGTGACCATTGAGAACATCCGAGAGGTCTGTTGTTGAGGCACCAATTTCGGCAACAGGATTCGGAAGCCGGGAGCGATAGCGCCGGCCGGAAAGGAGAGAGGAACGGCTAAAAAAAGGATTTTCTTTTATTTGTTCTGTCGAAAAGTCGCCCGACTGGAATCGGCGACACGCACTGTGCGAAAACAAGAGTTTTCTTTGCACTGTGCAATTTCTCGCTTTTTGCACCTTGCAATAGGCTTTTTTTCGGGTGTCGCTCGCACTCTGACTTTTTTCGCACAGTGCAAGCGCCCCAAATCAGTTCGGCGACTTTCCGGACGGACCTTTCCGGAAAGTAAAATGTGATCGCACAGTGCGCAAATTTATTTTTATTTTTTTTTATTTTTTTTTGTCTCCGCACGGTGCAGATTTTTTTCGACTGCACTGTGCGAAGAAAAGAAATTGCAAATTGCACTGTGCGGACAAGAAAAAATCTAAAAATAGCATGCACTGTGCAAAGAAATCAGAACATGAATTTTCGTATGAAAAAAAAATTTCTTTTTTTATTTTCACGGTGCGTTATACCCAATTTGTCATTTGCACTGTGCAAGAAAAAAGTTGCGTTTCAGCCGCACCGTGTAGATATGCAAAATCGGTTTTAAACATAACAATTTTCAAAGTGAAAAAAAAAATCAAAAAAGCATTTTTCGAAACTCAAAATTTATACTTTGTCATCTGCACTGTGCCAAAATTTAGAATTTTTTTCACCCTTAAAATTGGACCTTTTTGACTATAAATTGAAAAATAAAGCCTACTCCACAACAGTTGCCGACTATTCTTCGCAAATGCCATGATCATGTTGATCGCCACATTGCTTCCAATTCCAAAAATGACCATGTACAATTCCCGGCCCAAGAAGCTCATTTGCCGAATGATGAATGGCAACAGGGCCATGCCGGAGGTCAAGAAGATGAAGCGCATCAGGAAAAAGTTGGAAAATGTCGCATCCGACCACTCGAATGGAGGGCGTTTCACGAACAGGCATGTTATTTGAGTATCTGAAATTTTTTGGCTTATTATACAAGTAAGAAGTCCTGACGCTCGAATTTTCTTTAAATTTTGCACACACATCAGGTATAGGCCCATATCAGGACCAAGTGAGTAGTTTTGTGCCTCTTCGATGCATTGTACAGAGGTTTGACAATGGAGAATTAAATCTCTGTACAACGAACCGGAAAGGACCGAAAAATTTCGTGGTCCTGAGTGAGGTTTGTTTGCAAAATGAAAAGTCATTGAAATGGAAACCAAAATTTCTAACTTTCGGACAAAATCTTCGTTGTTTCTGCAAAGCGCGAGATGAAATCCTCGCAGTCGCATAAAAGTGCAATAAAAATCTGATTCAATAGAAGACAAAGGCCGCGTTTATACAGTGGAAGACCTGATCCAGTGGCAAAGAACGTACCATTTTGCAAACGGGAAGTATCAAAAAATGTAGCAAAATACCTCCCTCTCCAAGTGAAACAACTCCGATGTCACGAGCGAGACCGCTCTTTTTGGGAAGAAAGGCCTTCAAAACGGAGCTTTTTTATTGGAATGGGAGACATTTTGCTGCTTTTTTTTTGATACTTCCTGGATACAAAATGGTATGTTTTTTGCCACTGGATCATTTCCGTTACTGTAATGTAGTAACGTTATAAAGAATTTGAAGCCAGCACAAAATTCACCGCATATATAGAAGACACTTCAATTTTCAGTAAAAACCTACCAAACAGCATCATTTCCACGAAGATCGAGGCCACAATAAAGTTCAAGCAGAACCGAAGGTACCCTTCCCTCTTCATGCAAGCCACTTCCAATAAGCCTTTTATTGAGTTAAACGGACTAAAAGTTCTTGGTGATTCCTCCCTCAGAACTCCATTCTCATCCACCTCTTCGTTAATTACCAATAATCCCTCGTTTCGGTCGATAACTAAAAAATTCAGATCAAAGATTTCAAAATTTTACTTCTGGCACCTACCTTCTTTGTAACTGTCTCTCATGAAGAAGATCATGTATGAAAATGCCAAGCAAATTGTGAATAAGGACATCCCGAAGCACAATTGGTAAGCGAACACTTTGTCCGCCGCTGTCTTATACTCCAATCCCTCAATGGCCGATACGGACATACTGCCCATCAAATTACCAAAGGCCTGCACCGCCGATGCGATTGTTATTCGGAGAGGGACTGAGTCGGAGTGCTGAAATGGGAATGATGACTCCGAAAATGATCATTTTTAAATTACAGTAAAACTTTGTACGACGAAACGGGAGGGACCGAAAAATTATTTGCTATTGATTTTTTTGCTCTATGGAAGTTCATTATGGCCTATACAGTGAGCGACCTGATTCAGTGGCAAAAACCATACCATTTTGCATCCGGGAAGCATCAAAAATGTGGCAAAATGCTTCCCTCTCCAAGTGAAAAAACTCCAATTTCAAAAGCGCGCCCTTCAAAACGAAGTTTTTTCACTTGGAAGCATTTCGCCACATTTTTGATACCTTCCGGATGCAAAATAGTATGTTTTTTGTCACTGGATCAGGTCCCCCACTGTAATTGACTTATGGGACGTTTGAAACTTCTCGGTACAGAAGGCTTTCGTTTTACGGGAGTTCATAAAGCCTCCAATTTCAAAAACGCGCCCGTCAAAACAGAGATTTTTTAGTTGGAGAAGGATGTATTTTGCAGTGTTTTTGATCCTTCCCGGATGCAAAAAGTTGCGTTTTTTTTGTGTACTGAATCAGGTCCGATACATTACCTCGTCCGTAAAGGCTGCAAAAATATTATTTTTCTCGCTTAGAGAGAGCTAAAATTCTAGGAAATCAATATGTGGCCTATGCGCAATTTGTAAGCAAAATATAAAAAAAGATCAAAGTCGTAGCTCAAGGACAATAATTACTATATTAGTATCGTCTATGATGTAGCAGAATTCCCTTACCCTTTAAAAATTTCGAAAGTCTACGCAAAACGCCTGCAAACTTACAAAGCTATGATCAGCCCTTGCATCATCCGAAACCACCGCAAAACTTTGTGACATTAATGTGGAGAGCCCTCCAACCATTCCGCATGACAGTTCGGAGGCTATCCAAAGGTAAAAGACATTCATTTTGGCGATCATGAAAGTGTCGAGGAATTGGAGGAACACGTAAATCACACCGCCGAATGCGCAGACAATTATAGGATTCCGGCGGCCCGAATAATCGGCCCAAGCGCCCATTATTGGCGAACTTATCACCACTGTGATTGTGGCAACAATCTGAAATTTTATTCGAAACATTCAAAGGGGTATAACTAGGGTTTAGGCCAATTTTAAGCCAAATTAAAATATGTTGGCGCAGACCTGAAAGTGAAAGCAATCGTCCTCCTCAAACCAGAAGCTGTATCTTAAGGATACTTTTTAATACCAAATTCTGACTTACAAGGCAAGTACCCCAAGTGCGACGGTCAGATTTTCACTAAATTTTGCACACACGTCTCTCATTAACCAAATATCCATTAATGAAAGTTTTAGCTCGCGCTTTGCAAGCGCCGCCGAGGTATTGAACGATCTTTGTCGCCGAGAGAGTACACTAAACACGGAGAGCGGTCAGAGAGAAAACCCTTTTTCGCCATAACTTTGCTAGTTTCGTGCGGAAAAAATAGATTTTTTGTGGAAACATTACCCTCTATGGTAGAAATAGTCGTTGAAACTTTTCGTGCCAAAATTGGGCAAAAAGCCTTCAAATTTTCGCCGGCTTTTAATCTAAAAATCTTGGTTGTTTCTGCAAAGCATGAGCTAGGATTCTCGCATATATTTTCAAAAAAATTACCATGAAATTGTGCCAAATTTCATCAAAATCTGAGCGTCACACTTGGGGTACTTCCCTTGTCAGAAGTTCCCCCTTCCAGACCTTTGCTCCGGAAAAAAATTAAATTAAAATCGCTCCTTATGTTTGCATTTTTTAATAAAGCATACAGTGGCGGGCGCAATCCAATGGCAAAAAACGTATCCTTTTGCATCCGGGAAGGGTCAAAAATGTGGCAAAATGCTTCCTTCTCCAAGTGAAAAAACTTCGTTTTGCCTTTCCCTCACAAAAAGAGAGGACTCGCTTTTGAAATCGAAGTTTTTTCACTTGGAGAGGGAGGCATTTTACCACATTTTTGATACTTCCCGGATGCAAAATGGAACGTTTTTTGCCACTGGATCATTTCCCTCCACTGCAGTATCCCTTGCATAATAAATCCGCTTTTACCTGCGTGTAAATCCTCCATTGTGTGACATCGGCTTCCACCTGATCCATTAATCTTGTGTCATTTAGCCTATCCAGATTCATACAAACTTCAGAGACATTGGAGCTGTCAAGGCCTAGCTGAAATTCAAAAAACTTTTACAAGACCTCCTCTGAATGCCCAAATAAACCATCATCAAAAAATTTCTGTTCACCTCCGCAGTCTCTTCGTTTAGGATCTCCACACAACGAGCGTAAAACAGAAACAAGGACGAGATGGGGATCAGAATGCCGGCGGCAAAACTGTACAGGAAAATCGCGGGTTCCAAGTTGGCGCCGAAGCATTTCCTTCGCGTCGAACTGGAGCTGTGGGAAGAGTCGGGCCGATGAAGCCGACTTCTGTTGGCCTCCATTAAACGACGCGCGTGATTACGACGGAACAATGTGCGAAGTCGCCATTCACGGCGCTGGAAAATGAAAAATCCCGTTTTTTAATTCAAAAAAAACGTTTAAAAGGTCGGAAAATGTTTAAAATTCTGAACGAACTAAACACCTTTGGCAACTTTCGTTGCAATTTTTGAAAACAATCATTTAAAAATCACATTTTTTCAAAATTCAGAATGGCTGAAAATTGACCTCTCGAACTTGGCGTTGTCCACGAAAAATTAATTTTCATCTATTTCTGAATTGTTTTCAAAAAGAATTAAAAAGATAAAGAGACAACTCTAAAGATAGCGAGTTCAGACCCTTAGATCACACGCTCCAACCGTCGAGTAATTAAAGGTCCTTTTCGGAAATTTTGGAAAAAACAGTCATCAGCACTTAATACAAGGGGAAGGCAGAAAACAAAAAATAGAAAATAGAATCCTAGATAAAATACTATTCGTTCGTGTTAGAAAATCAATGGAATAAGCCAAAAAATTGGTGGGCCCACACTTGCGGGCGGCTAGAAGAACCACCGAGATTCCGCGGCCATATTTGGAATTCAGCCAACATTTAGAACAGCAAATTATAACGACCGATTTGACGGTTAGATGTTGCAAATTACGTAAGTTTATAGGTGTAGCTTGAATAGTTACCATAAGGTTAACCAGGCATTTTTAAAGGTTCAGAAACCATTTTTTTAGAAACAAGCTCCCATAACTTTGAAAGCGGCGAATGAATTCATTAGATTCATGAATTTATCAGTACCAGGAAGTTGTCAATGCAAAATTTCTATCATGCTACGCAGATTACATGAGGAAAATCGTAATCGTTTTCGGCGACATTTCAAAAGATACGACCGAAAACTTTTTTTCTCTGACCATCTCTCCTCATTTTCCACACTCTCTCGTCCGACAAGAGCGGTGACTATCTCGGCTATTCCTGCAATGCGCGACCTAAAATCTACAACAATAGTTATCTAGCCTAGACAGATGATTCACGCCAAATATGAAGCAAAGCGTTGAACCTCAAACTATACCTATTGTAAGGTTAATTTCACCAAAAATTTCCTTGAAATCCCCAAATAAAACCCTTGAAATCTGAACAGTTATACTTTTTTATAACAATAAAACTCCAAAAATATTTGCAAATCGGACTCTAACATACCCTCAAATTCTCTTTTTGTAAGATTTTTTATGTAAACGTGGACTCTCGAAGAGCGAAAACAAGTCAAAAACATTGTTAGTGGCGAGAACAGAGCACACAGATATAAACACAGCAGTGACAAGGCCTTTTTATGGACAAATGGGGGCTAGTTTCACTACCAGAAGAAGAGATTTCGCCTAGCCTAATAAAAATGTTGGGCAAAAATTGAGGATAAAATAATATCTGAATGATATGAAATTTCTGTGGAATTTATAAAAAAATGGAATTAGAGACTATATTGCAAATAAACAGCCAAAATTTTCGAACAAAACCAGACTTACAGTCATCCAAACGGAATCATTTGTAATCACCGACATGGAATCGATGCTCGCATTAGTAATCATTTTGCCAAAAAGAATACAAATTCGCCAAATAAATATACGATAGTGCCTTTAGAAGAATTTAGAACTCCAAAAAGAGGTCATGTTTACACTTTTGGAGCTTTCAAAAATGTTGGGTCAAGTCTTCCTCTCACAGATTTTCGAAGGATTTCAGGTCAAATACGCCGCGCTGAATGTTAATATTGAAGTGATTAGTTGGAAAATAGTATTAGTAATAGCTAAGAGGACAGTTTTCGCTGTTTTTAGTTACCTGCAAACAAATACAGGTGGAAAAACAACTCAAAACGCCTCAAAAAAGGGAAAGCAGAAAGATTTAGAGGATTTTTGAGGGATTACTCATAACTGAACTAAAATTCATACAAAACTATGGATTGAACTTCAATTACAAACAATTTTAGGAAATAATATTCAATTTCGTACCTTGTTTTAGAACAAAAATTTAATCTTTAGGCCAAAAAATGAACAAGAAAAAACCAGATGTCAAAAAAGAAAAACCCCTCGGAAACCCGGGGTAGTGAGAATTACACAGACTTTTCCGCGGTAAAAGAGCAGGAAAAGCCCTGCGTAAGTCTGTTCTCTCTTCCAGGCTTTGCGCTGCTCCTTCAAAACAAGCCGCAGAAACCTTTCGCTTTTTTAACGTCATTCAGAGCATAATGGAAACTCCCAATGATCTCACGCGATCTCCCCAGACATTTCCCTCGAGGAAAAAAGTCGTAGATTTTTTGAAAAAGCGGACTTCTAAGCAAAATTTTCCCTCTTTTCGAGCCTAAAACACAAATTTTTCATCTCCTAGGAGCTCGAACTTCCACACGTGACTCGATTTTCGCATTTTTTGCCTTGAAAATTTGTGAGGAAAGACTTGAACCAAGAATAAGAGTTTTAGTTTATTGTTCCGGAATTGCTGAGATTGTTTTTCGTTGACCATGTTATCAGTTTTAAGGGGGAGGCCATCGAGAAACGTTTTTACCCGCAGGCACTTGGCTTAATGCACCTTTGAGGCCACCGTTTTTTAATGGGAGGATCGTCTCGCGACTCCAAAACGAAAAAATAGTGAAAGCACACAACAAACGACTTTGACCCCTTCATACGCTTCTGTAGTTGCTTTTTTTTATCAACCCTAGGACCCATCCAACAACCATTTACACAAACCTAGAAGCTATTGAAGAGTAAACCTCCACCAAAATAGAATCAACAAAACAATTTATTGGTAAAAACAACGAAAAACTGCTTATTTCTTCTCAATCAAAGTCTGATGGCATCTGCCACAGTAGAGACGATCCTTGTGCTTGGCCATGAACACACCACCACCGCAAGAGACGGAGTTGCATTCGGAGCGGAGACGCTGTATGTTGTCATCATCGTCGATCTTGTAGAACTTGAGGACAGAAAGTTTGACCTTCTTTCTCTTGTGCTTGATCTTCTTGGGGGTGGTGTAGACCTTCTTCTTTCTCTTCTTACCACCACCAAGAAGGCGGAGGTCAAGGTGGACTGTGGAGAGGGCTTCGATTCCAAAGTCGGCCAAGGTCAATTCCTCATCGAGCTGTTTGCCTATAATAGAAACCAATGAATTTTTGATCTAGCCGGGTCCGTCCTCAAGCTAAATTCGACCAACGAAAAGTAGCTCGGTCAAATCGCTCTCGGGAGTCAGCTTTATGCAACAATTTACTTTATATTTTTTAGGCAATAAAGAAAACAATAGCTTTGTAGTCAGGAAAAATCTTGGCCATCGGGGCATGAAATGCACGCTCCAGACCTCAAAACATTATCTACCTAAACCAAAAGGACAAAAGAATGGCCAAAATCCTTACCAGCAAAGACAAGACGTTGCTCTTCAGCGGCGATGGCTTCGATCTCCTGGATTCTGGCCTTGAGTTCAGCAACTTTGGCGGTTGGGCTCACGTCAAAGGAGACGGTCTGTCCCTGGAGGTTCTTGACGAACACCATGGTTGACCCTGTAATCAATAATGATCAGTAAATAGATATTACACGAGGTTTGATAAAAACCGGATAAAAAGCGAACCTAGAACCTTAGAAAAGACCAAAATTACATTAAAAAAATTATTAAAAAAACACTCTAATGCTTGTAAAACAAATTTATATATATCTACGGGCATGTTCGACATTACACATTACATGCCTCAGCTAAACAATTGAAAAACTCCCTAAAACTTCAAGCGAAATGAAATAAAACAGTAAAAATATTTTTTGATGGGAGCGAATTCCACCGTATTTTTTCCCTGACTTTTCGTGTCGAAACCCAAGACTTTACGAAAAAAGACGTTTTATACGATGAAACGTTCCAGAATATCATGACAAAAATTGTCAAAGTCGTTTTGCCGCTTTTACGAGCGCTACGTGGCACGTGAAATTTTGTACATTTTCTTGTACAATTATCAAGGATTTTACACTTGAATTTCGTATGTTTATTTTCTTTTTTGTCCTTTCCTTATTTTTAGATATTAACCTTCAATTATTGTTGTTTTTACGGTTAGCACAGCAGGAAAACTTGTTCTGTTTGTGTACAAGGAACAATTAATGATCGGTTGCACTTTACTAGTCCGTCTGGAAAGTCGCCGGACTGATTTTTGGTGTTTGCACCGTGCGAAAAAGTCAGGGTGCGAGCGACAGCCCAAAAAAAAGCCTATAGCACGGTGCATAAAGCCAAAAATTGCACAGTGCAAAGTGAAATTTCGTTTTCGCAGAGTGCATGTCGCCGATTTCCGTCCGGCGACTTTCCGGACGGACTAGTACGGTCTAGCAGCTTGCTAGATCAGCGAGAAAGTCCATGAAAATAAGAAAATTCGGCCATTTCAATGTTTACCATTGGATAAATACAATTTTCTCGATGTTATACCGAAATTATCGGCGAAAATTTTGCACTTTTATTTAGGAGACGGTCGCAAGTCTCTGTTGGTCAATTTTAGTGTCATATTGGATGTCAATTTGCTCTGGAAACCATCCATGTTTCTCGAAAATTCCAGCTAATTTTGAAAACTCCAATATTTCTTGGAATCTTTTTGATTTCCGCCAACTATTTGCTGTCTGTCATCTCGGCGAAGCTTTGGATCTAAAAATACTACCCTCGGGCCATGTGCAAATACCAAATTTGTACTGGAGCCGGGCGTTATTTGCATAATATCAGTGATGTTTCTCGAAAATTCGCCTTTACACGGCGGCAGCGTGTGGGGCGGAGCCTGCGGGTGCAGTGGCGGTCGGGGATTGGTGGGTCGGTGACGTGGACCAATGAGGCGACGACCACGTCTGCCTTACACACACATCTCTACACGTCGGCAGAAGATTGTTCGGGGCGCTTTTTGTGGGGGGCGCCCAGTGCACAGGCACGGTTTTATAGAGCCGTTGTGGTGCGATTGGCAATATTTTGAGGTCGGCTGGGGTTATGTGAGGTTGTTGGTGAGCTGATTGAGGTATTCCTGTGGAATTGAGGTCATGATTATTAATTTAGACCCTCAAAATATGTAATATTATTATTCATGTTCTCTGTGGATCTCCTCAAGTATAATTTGGCCAGAATTTCGTTTATTTCGGAGCCGGTGACGACAGAATCGCTAATTTGAATCAGGTTTATTACAACGAATGTCTTTTTGAAACATTTTCTTCCTATATCTCCATACATTTGCAACATGCCGATGTTTTTCCCTAAGCCTCCAAAAATATAGCAAGTGCAACACAGATAGGGTCCTTTTGCAAGTTTATTGTTTATCAAACCGATTCGTTTTTTCGGAAACGGCGCAGTTGATCCATTTTCCCCAAATCGACCATATTTGTTTTTGCGAAACCTTCCGCCCTCGGGGGCACGCGTCTTCTTCCCTTCACTCGGTCCATTTTTGCCTGCGGTCGTCGGCTGGCCTAGTTTCGCACCATTTTACCCGTTCCTTGCGTACAAAAACTCCTCGTGGCGACTGGTGCGAGCTGACCTCGACCTTTCGGGTGGACGCCGAGAACCTTCGACGGGCCGCCCTCCCGATTCAACGCGTTTCATATTCTCCTTTGTCGCGTTGGCTTAATTTTATTGTTAATTGAAAACCTTTGTTTGCAGGTTGGTGTACCATGCACAAACTTACGGTTGGGGCTCTGTTGGCCCTCACGGCATTGTCCGTCGCCGAGGTGTACTTGAAGGAAGAATTCGGTAAGCATTGTTTTTCTTTGGACTTTGTCTTTAGGTCTTGGTGAGGATTATGATAGCACTCCTTCGAGATGTTGTAACAAAGGAAAATCAATTTTTGGCATAGATAAGGGTTGATTGAAGCATTATAGCGGAGGCTTCGAAGTAAACACGTTTAGCAAGTCTAAACTTCTTTTCAAATTTCAATAATTGATGGGTAACAAAAATTGATGTGACTTTAAAAACAGAGGCGTCATAATTTGTTAATCAGGTTCATTAGAAAGTGTGGGTCTTACGTCGTCTCGATAGGCAAAAATTCTTTGATTTTCCATAGGTTGGACTAGTATATTATCCTTGAACTTGACTTATGTATGTATATTTTGCAGGAAAAGGATGGGAAGACCGATGGGTACAGTCTAAGCACAAGGAAGACTTTGGAAAGTTTGTTGCCTCAGCAGGGAAGTGGTATGGCGATGAGGAACGCGACACCGGAATCAAGACTTCTCAAGACGCCCGATTCTACGCCCTCTCCACCAAATTCCCCAAGTTCTCGAACAAGGGAAAGCCATTGGTTGTCCAGTTCACCGTCAAGCACGAGCAGAACATTGACTGTGGAGGTGGATATTTGAAGATCTCCCCATCCAGCGTCAGCCAGGAGGATTACCACGGAGAGTCGGACTATGTGATCATGTTCGGTCCCGATATTTGCGGTCCATCCAACAAGAAGGTCCATGTGATCCTCAACTACAAGGGCAAGAACCATTTGATCAAGAAGAACATTGCCGCCAAGGACGATGACCTCACTCACTTGTACACTTTGATCCTGAACCCCGACAACACCTACGAGGTCCATATCGATGGAGCCAAGGTCGAGAGCGGAGAACTGGAAGCCGACTGGGACTTCCTGCCCGAGAAGAAGATCAAGGACCCCGATGCCAAGAAGCCCGATGACTGGGATGACAATGAATACATCACCGACCCAGAAGACACCAAACCCGAGGACTGGGACAAACCACAACACATCCCAGACCCGGAGGCCAAGAAACCCGAAGATTGGGACGATGAAATGGACGGAGAATGGGAACCACCAATGATCGACAACCCAGAATACAAGGGAGAATGGAAGCCCAAGGAGATCAAGAACCCCAACTACAGCGTAAGTGAAGTTTTGACGAGTTTTTGGATGTTAGAACAGAGTTGATCGTGGATAATATAGGAGTTGATGGAAAAGGAGGTATTAGGTCTGAAAGTATGACTCCGCCGTTTTTTGGCTCGACAATTTTAATCAAAACAAAAAAATTACATTAACGCTTATTTCATTATTATTACCACTACTAACTACGATATTTTCCCACAATTTGAGCAACTTTTGAATACTATCAGTGAAAACGTTTTTTTGTTTTGAGGCAACTTAGCCATCGGGCCAATTTTGGACATTTTTGTATTCAGCGAAGCGCTGCTGCCTCAGATCGAGTTTCATCGGTCAAAACAAGTGTTATTCTTAAAGAAGTGACCATAAAACAAAATCAATTTGTTTTATTCCGGTAGCTCTAATCGTTGTCAATATTTATTCATTTATTGTTTGCCCCCGGTCACGAATTGAGGCAAAAGGAACTTCTTTTCTGTCCTTCCATCAGAACTTTGCAGATTGTTTTAGGTCAATTAATATGGTACCAAGCTCCCTGCTCCCTGCATCTTTTCCATTTGTTGCAGCTTTATGAAACTACTTTCTGCTTTACCTTTAGCTTCCCGACTAACCTTCTTTTTGCGTCTGGGCATTGCTTTTATCGCATAATCTCCATCTTCAAATTTTTTGAACCGTTGAAGCCATCCCCGACGAATTTTTTCACACAAGACACTAGCGCATGCTTCTGTGAACGTTCTATGCGTTATCGGCGTTTTTCCTAACATTACACTGCAGAATAAAGTTTCCCGCAAATCACCTTTTCTTAAGGTGAAGATGGTCATCTTTGAAGCTTCATAATTAGAGGTGGCAATCGGGCCGGGCCGAAGTGACCAGGCCGGCCCTGTGCTTTTTCAAATTTGCTCAGGCCCGGCCCGGCCCGGTGAAAGCCCAGGCCGGCCCGGCCCTGTTTGGCCCGATACTGCAAAAAGGTTGGATAAAACTTTATGCACTCTCTACTGGAACTTTTTATGCCTTCCAGCGGGGTTTTACGTCTATATGAGTGGAATTAAAACGTCTAGTCGGCTGACTGGAACAGCCGAACAGGTACCTAAAACCTAGCCAAAAAGTTGGATTGTGTCGATTTTTTTATCCTATAGAAAGTTAGCTATGTAAAAATATGGACGTTATGAGGCTACATGTTTAATCAAAAACTGCGTAGATGCGTTCATTTACCTCAAGGAATCAAATTACAGCGAAATGTTTAAGTTTATCATCAAAAATTCGAAGATTTGCCCGATCCTTGCATATTTGGGTGGGATTTTACATATACATAATCAGTGATTTTAAAGAGTTTGAAAAGGTGGTAAAACAGTATATAAGTCAAAAAGGTTTGATTTAATATCCATCCAACAATTCTGCTAAGCATTTGTGCTTTATTTTGCTGGTTCAGTATTAATTTTTTTTCACTTATCCACCTTCCGGGCCGGGCCGGGCCGAGAGTCTCGGCCCGGCCGACGGGCCGAAGCGGTCAGGCCGGCCCTGGGCTTTTTCAAATCTGCTCAGGCCCGGCCCGGCCCAATCACCGGGCCCGGCCCGATTGCCACCTCTATTCATAATAATCGTTATATAAGGCCTCAACTCGAAGCTTATACTCCGCCGATTTAATTTGGACCAGCCTGAAACTCGAGAACCGTTATAGATATGAACTTCATTCCTTCAACAAGTTTGATCACCAGTCGACTCTATGTTCAACTGTAGCAAAATATTTCCTCTGCCTTGAGGCACAAAAAAATGTTTGGTTTTTTTAATTTTCGCTGTCGGAAAAGTTGGACCAGGGCAAGAAAAATTTGCATTTCTCTATCACTAGGTGGGATGAAGCCATGATAACTTGTGAAAACAATAGTGATTCCCTGCTGTTTCTAACGATATGCTATTCCGAGATCAGCGCTGTGTTTAAGGCCCTGAGGGGAGCTTTTAAGAAAACTCCCAAAATTCCAGAAACTTTTTGCCCTAGCGCTTGGGTAAGAAGCGTAAATCGTCCTAAATTAGTTTCAGTGAAACCACAGTATAGTGTACATCTAATTGGATGATGTTATAAAATAGTTTTACATCCAACCCAAGTTTGAAAGTCACAAATCCTCCAAGAACAAAAAGTTGTATAGTGTACATCTAATTGGATATCAATTTCTAGAATTTTGGGAATTTTCTTAAAAACTGCTCTCAGGGCCTTAAACACAGCGCTGACCTTGGAATGGCATATCGTTAGGACCAGCAGAGAATCACGATTATTTTCACAAGTTATCATGGCTTCACCCCACCTAGTGATAAAGAAATGCAAATTTTTGTTGCCCTGGGCCAAACTTTTCCGAAAGCCAAAATTAAAAAATCCAAAAGTTTTTCTTGTGGCAGATGAAATATTTTGCTTCAGTTGAACATAGAGTCGACTGGTGATCAAACTTGTTGAAGGAATGGAGTTCATATCTATAAGCGTTTTCAAGTTTCAGACTGGTCCAAATTAAATCGGCGGAGTATATATCATTAGATAGCGTTTCCAACGTCCTTTCATAGCATATAAACAGAAATTGCAAAATTGCATTCCAACAAAAAAAATGCAAAACAAAAAAACGGCGGAGTCATACTTTTAAAAAACCTAATATTTTGAAAATTTAAAAAAAAACCTAATATTTTGTTCGAATTTTAGGGAAAATGGATCCACCCCGAGATTGACAACCCCGAGTACAAGCCCGATGACGAGATCTACAAGTTCGATGACCTGTCGATCGCCGCTTTCGACCTGTGGCAAGTGAAGTCCGGAACCATCTTTGATAACCTCCTGATCACCGACTCGATCGAAGAAGCCAAGGCCCACGCTGCCGAGACCTTCGAGCCTCTGAAGGAAGCCGAAAAGAAGAAGAAGGAAGAGTTTGAAGAGGAAGAGAAGAAGCGATTGGAAGAGGAAAGAAAGAAGGAAGAAGAGAAGGCCAAGGAAGAGAAGAAGGACGAGAAGGAAGATGAAGAAGAAGATGAGGAGAAGGAACACGATGAACTTTAAGGTCTAGAGGGTGCTCAGGTTGTATATGTTGTTGTTCGGGGCATTTTAAACGTTTTAAGGATGTAGAAGGTCATGGATAAGGTAATTTTGCCCGACAAAGAGGCGTAATCCCTCAACTTTGGGTTGAATTATCTTGGAAATGACCTGACACTCCCTGAAGTTGTTCATAATTCCCCAAACTCTTATCGCTTTTCTCTACAATCCAACAATCCAAAGTCGCCTCAAATCTCTTTCGGAACCACCTTTAGTCGTGTAGATTTGTTGTTATATTTTTGTATCTCCGATTTTGATATAATTTATAATAATTATTTATTGTAATTTGTTACTGGTAATACGAGTCTTTTTTTCGTTTGAAGCAGTAAAAGATAAAAGAACTAAACTTGGACTTGATCTTGTTGGGCAAACGGAAGAAAGTTTAGAACTGATTGTATCTGGAAGAAGGTGAGGGTGAAGATGAAAGAGGAATTGAGTAGAGTATGGGAAAGGAATTTGGTTATGTAATAGACCTCAAGAGGGATTAGATGAGTTTCGGAGATTAGATACCTAGTGTAATATAGGTCAAGTGGAATGATGGAAAAGTGGAGGGAATTATTCATGCTAGATAGTATCTAAAAGGAAGAATACATTGTAAGAAGTATTTACAATAAATTTGCGCACTGCCTACAGTGATTTTTGGACAAGATCTTACATTGCTTTAGGTGCTATCAATGACTTTTTTTACTCTGCCTCGAAAACTTTCGAAGTATTGGAAAAAGAAGTGTCCATGAGTCATAGCCGCCAATAATGAACTTAGCATGCCCTAAGGACATTTGAAACCCAACTTTTTTATTCCAAAAAATCATCACAAATGACCTTGAACCCTCGAAAAAACCTCGTTATATCAAATGTGATCCGTTCTTTGATACTTCCAGGTCTATTTCCTGGTTTTATCAACCTTTGCAAGGCCTGTACTAAAAACATGAACCCCGACTATAAAATTGTTTACGCTTTTAAAGAGTGGTGTAAGGGTTACTTTTGAGCGCTGAAAAAGGCATGAAATTCCGCCGCAACGCCCTTAGCATACGTGCAAAGTCGAGGAACGGCCGGAAAAAAACTCTTTTTAGAATTGCCATAAATAAGTTTTTCGGTTCGGAGGTGGGGTCAGACAGCTCGAGGTCACCATTATTTTTGTCTCGTTTTCATGTGAATTACGAGAAAATGCAGTTGGCTGGTGGAGTGTAAAATAAAATTAAGAGCTTATTACACTTTACTTGGGCCAAAAATTAGTTGCCATGTCTAGTTTCGTCCATTTAGGACCTTATTTTAGATATTTTTTGACCAAAAAAGAACCTATTTCGTATTTTAACCTCTAAAAAACTTGTGAAAAGCAAAAATTTTTTCCCGAATAGACTCAATCAGGCTCTAAGCAATATTTGGATCGCAAATTCCACCTTTTTTAATATTAAATTCCCTTAGAATCATCAATTTTTCTTTTATTACTCTAATGTATAGTAAAATATCCCTCAAAATCCTTGATAAACCCCATTCCTCCTTAATTCCATTCCTCCTTTCTCTTTCAATCTCTAATTCGATTATTTCTAGACGATGAAACTATCTTCCGTCATACTAAGGCAAGTCATTAACGATAGTTTTTAATAGTAATATCAATTTTCTTCCAGCAATGCCCTAAACTATGATGTAGCGATTGTTGGAGGAGGTATTGTTGGTTGTGCGACTGCCAGACAACTCAAATTGGACAGACCAAACCTTAAAGTAGCCTTGCTGGAGAAAGAGCCTGAACTTTGTAAGCTATTTTATACTTTCTAGATCGTGTTTTAAATTTAGGCAAGAACATTACCAAAACGTGAAAGAGGACTCTGTAAATGTAAAATACGAGTTAACTGGATTAATCCAACTTTTCGATACAAAAAAATCGCCGTTTCGACCACCTTTTTATATTAACATAGGGCGCGAGCTGCCGAATCGGCGAAGCCTTCGGAATTGCAAATTTCGCTAATTATTTTACATTATTTGCCAAAGAGGCCAATATGAGACTAAATTAGCCTTTGCTTCCGTATTTCCATAGCCACAAAAGGCCCATAAAAAGCAAATGGCTTGGAAACCAATTGCAATCTCGGGCCCAAAAGCCTTTGTTTACATAATGTAGGCGGTGAATCATAATAGAGAAGCCTCTAAAAAGGTTTTGCGCCATGTAGAGAGGCGAAGATATGGTTGAGACACAGAATTATTAGCATTTGAAAGATTTTTTGCTGCGATAGTCATCATGAATAATATAGAAAAAAGAAAAAAATACAATTCAAAATTTTTACAAATGCTCAATTTATGGATTGAAACAGTAGAAACGAACAAATTTTTCTATTAATTAATGAGACTTTCCAGCATTTATATTACACATTTAGATATCAATTTCCAAATTTTTTTATGTTTTAGCCAAACATCAGTCAGGCAACAACTCCGGCGTCCTTCATGCGGGTATTTACTATCAACCAGGGAGTTTGAAGGCCAAGCTATGCGTTCAGGGCATCGATCTCGCCTACGATTACATTCAGAAAAAAGGAATTCCCTACAAAAAATGCGGCAAGTTGATCGTTGCGGTGGATAACAGTGAGATCGAGAATTTGGAGGTACGCAAAATACATATTAATGCAGTTTTTAGGTTCACGATAAACTCGTTTTTTTACTTGACTGCTTTTTGGGGGCGTTTTTTACAAAAAAAAGGCTAAATTAGGCTGAAATTTGATAATTAATGGCGATGGAAATAACATAGGGATCCTCAATTGGACACTCTAAAGTTATAGGTTCGTATTTTGACCAGATATTTTCAGAAATTATACGTACGAGCGCAGAAAAATGGCTGCAAAGAGATTACAATGGTGGGCCCTGAAAGAATCAAGGAAATTCAACCGGCCTGCAGGGTAAGTAATCAAAATCAGCAATCAGCTATATGCCAGATCGTATTTGACAATTTCGAAACCATTTTACCTCCTACAATACGAGCTAAAACCGAGTTTTAGGGAGTCAAAGCCCTCTGGTCACCTTACACTGGGATCGTCGACTGGAAAGTGGTCTGTCTCAGCTACGCCGACGACTTCAAACAATCCGGCGGAGATATTTACACCTCACATCCTCTAAAACACATCAAAGAAAGTGGAGACCCCAAGTATCCCATAAGAGTTGAAAGTGGTCCAGGAAAAGTAAGCATGGAGAATATCAACTAACACGAAGTTTAGGCGCCAATTCACGCATCCCAAGTGATCACCTGCGCTGGTCTCCAATCTGATCGAGTAGCACAGCTCACGGGCTGTAAATCTGTGCCAAAAATTGTCCCGTTCCGAGGGGAATACCTGTACTTAAAGCCCGAGAAACACCACTTGGTTACCACTAATATTTACCCGGTAAGTAGGGATTTTAAGGTGAGAATGGGGTTTGAAATGTGGTTGGGTGGTAAAACTAGAGTGTTAAAAATAGCTACAAGGATGAATTGGATAAAAAATATTGCTTTAGGAACAAAAATTTTTAAAATTTTTGCAGTGGCGGATCTATCCAGTGGAAAAAACGTACCATTTTGAATCCTGGAAGCACCAAAAAATTACGCAAAATACCTCCGCTCCAAGTGAAAAAAAAGTTTTAGTCAACTAAAACCTCCAAAACGTTTTAGTTGAAAAGGAGGCATTTTGCTACGTTTTTTGATACTCCAGGATGCAAAATGGTACGTTTCTTGCTACTGGATCAGGTCCGTCACTGTAAAATTAGGGGAAATTTTCAGTTTTAACTAAAAGTCGGCATGGTTAGTGGAGTTATGGCTTTCAAACGTTGTACTGGACGTCTTAGACTCCACTATGACCTTTTTTATTATCTCCAATTGTTTATTTTAGGTCCCAGATCCCCGTTTCCCCTTCCTCGGTGTTCACTTTACTCCAACCATGCGAGGAGAAGTTCTTCTTGGCCCAAATGCTGTCCTAGCTTACAAGCGTGAAGGCTACAGCTATTTCGACTTTTCTCTCAGAGATTTCATCGATGCTGTCAGCTTTGTGTAAGTTTTTTTTTGGAATTTTTACCCAAATTAAAATTTTTTGATGATAAGAAAGTCATTGCCGATTTTTCAGAGGCATGATACGCCTCATGTCCAAATACGCGGGCTTCGGATTGAGCGAAATGTATCGAGGCATCTTCTACCACGCTCAAGTCAAGCAACTTCAACGCTACATTCCCGAAATCTCATTCAGCGATGTGACCCGAGGCCGGGCTGGCGTCAGAGCGCAAGCCCTTGATGCCACAGGCGCTTTGGTCGATGATTTTGTCTTCGACGACGGTGTGGGCCCTTTGGCACCACGATTACTTCACGTTAGGAACGCCCCGTCACCCGGTGCCACCAGCTCAATGGCCATTGCAAGAATGGTCGTAGACAAGGCGGTGGACAAATTCAAACTATAGGTTATGTATAGACAGTCTACTTGTGATATTTTATAGCGTAGAAATAGTATATGGGTCTTCTTTGTATACGTGTTTACGTAGTAAATTAGATTAAACAGTATTTTTCGTTAAATTGAGGCCAACTTTTGATATTTTAAATAATTACTCCTCTCAAATAAGGGAAGGAGATGTCGTATTTTACAAAAACATATCAGAAATTATATCTACATTGTTTATTTACATCAAATTTCTTGCGTTTTAAAAAATAATCGCGAAAAATTATCATCAACTGATATTACCCATAGTGAAATTGAAAGATCCATAAAAATTGGTTAGTTTCCGTGGAATATCACGGCGATACGCGCAGATTATTGTCTGATTTCACGCTGAGCAGCTTTTCTCCACACCAATCTAGCCAGATGCCATCTCAGAGAGTAGAAAAGTGACCTCATCCCACGAATAGGTCGGCCCCAAAGTGACCACCACAACGCGCCATGAAGCCAGATTGGTCCTCCCGCCCAGAAGAGCGCTACATGGAGACCATAATAAGCGGCGGTGCAGGCCATTGCAAAAGCGGCCGAAAATGCAGTGGCTCGTACGGTTTCATGACTGAAAGTTGATGAAAATCATAAGCTTGATTCGCTTGTCAATGGCCTATTGAGTCCTTTTTCATACCGCTTTGAATCGTTTTATCTCTAAATTCCAACAAAAACAGAATCTTCTTACCTGACTAGCTCCCAACCCTCCTCATTTTCCACTTCTTCTGGTTTGGACATATTCGTACTGATTTGGAGGTAGGACGATTGACTAATAAGGAAGCTTATAAAGCTGAAATTTTCAAACGTCAATTATTTTTTTTCGGACGAACGCGTGCGATCACTAAAACAAGATCACGAGGAGTGTGTAACAACAAACAAAATCGAGAAATAAATTGAGAGAAACTGGTGTTTTATTGGGTAAACAGCAAGACCATAACGATTTCGACGTTTTAACATTAAAAATTGGAGATATTGCATTTGAGTTGGGTTAAAATACCAACATATAAATTTAGGTATACCTAAAATAACGTAAACATCGATTTCAATGGGGGAACATTGAAAGAATCATACTTTTTCAGTTTTTAAAAGCAAAACATATAATAACGGAGGTCTCGATCACAAAAGAAGCTCTAGAAACACCAAAAATTTTTCTCTTCCATCAAAAAGGAAAATATTTTCTCAATTTGCAGAAATTCCGTCAGCCAGACAGTTAAAAATGGCTATTTCTACAAATTTACGGAGTAACCCTGGATTTTTGGAGATAATACAGTCTTCGAAAAAAGTTTTCCGCAGGGGTGGCCACCGGGCCGGGCCGGCCCGGCGAAGCCCGGCCCGATCGGGCCTAAACGGGCCGGGCCTGACAAATTTTGAAACGGGCCGGGCCGGGCCTGCTTTTTACCGGGCCGGGCCGCGGGCCTGAGCCATTTTCAGGCCCGGCCCGGCCCGGTTTTGTCGAAATGCCAAGCGTTTGGCATTCAATGTTTTCGCGCCGGAAAAATTTTTGGATAGGTTTGTATTTTTAGTATATCAAGTTCTACAATAGTTTATTACTTTATAGTACTTTTTTGCATATATGTTATAATATAAGGTCCAAATTAGAACATATAATACATATAGGATAGTTCTTAGCAGATTTTAGCACACTACAGAGGCGGTAAGATCAAAGGAAAATTTCCAGCTCGCGCCCTAACCGGGCTTTTATCGGGCCGGGCCGGGCCGGGCCTGATTCCTACCGGGCCGGGCCGGGCCTGCAAAATTTTGAACCGGGCCGGGCCGGGCCTGGGATTTTGCCGGGCCGGGCCCCGGGCCTGAAATTTGGAAAAAGAGGCCCGTTTGCCACCCCTGGTTTTCCGACATAAATCAACTAAAAATTTTTCAAGATCCGTGTGTCATTATGACATATTTTCTGGAATATCCCAAATTTCTGTATAAACCAGCGAAATCTTGGTAAAATTGACAATAACAGTCAATATTCAATACAACCACGAGGCAGCAGGACGCATTTTCTGTCGATTGCCCCGCTTTTTCGTTCGCCTTTCTCTCGCAGCTGTGTAAAATAAGAAAACCCCATGACGCTCTCTCGCTTTCCCATTCCTTTTCGCTTGGCCTCACGTGAATTGTAGAGTTCAGTCTGGAGAAGATTGATCCTCATTTTTGGATTGGAAAACGATGATTTTTCTTGGTAAATCTAATAAGTTTATATTGGACATGACAAAACAGTGGCAAAAATTGATAAAAAGGTTTTATTTTTCAAAAATCAAGTGGAAAATGGCATTGATAAATTGATAAATAGTGAATTGGAAAGAGTAGACGTTCTCTCTGTTCGAGGTCAGAAATTTGTATATGTTATTCAATATTTGTATATTCCACTTCAAAGTTCCAAAAATCGAGAACTTTGCAGTCATCTAGCGGGCTACGTTTAGTCACGAAACCCACAATACTGGTCAATCTGCAATAAAACACCATTTTCAATCACCATGCAAAGTTTGACAACTTTTTCCAACTCGTAACTCGACTTATTGAGCCAACTTCCCTGCTATTAGAATTATTGAAAATCATTGCCCGGGCTTTTGGCAAAACGGCAAAATCCTTGGCATTCCGCAACAAAAAAGATTTTGATTTTCAAACTCCTCAAACATGGTGTTTTTGAAAGACATAACACTTGTTGAAACAAGAAAAATTCACTGAAGGGGTCTGTAGCTTTTTTTGTCCAGATTTTGTTCAATACCGGGATAAATTACAATTTTGCTAATTTCTCAAAGAAGCCAAAGAAAAGTATTTACGCCAACATTTGTTTTCGTGGCGTGACGCCACAAGAGTTCCGCGAAAAAAGCGTTATGTATTGCATCATCGGATCTGCGCTGTTTGCTTACAAGGGATCGGCAAATAGTTGCACCCTTCTTTCTTAATGAAGCCTTATATTGTTCATTAAGAAAGAAGGGTGCAACTATTCACCGATCTCTTGTTAGTATGGCTCGATCTCTTGTTATTCTTATCACTTTTTCTTTAGGATGACTGGTGTATTTTACGTCGATCCTGAGAGCGGATGTGATGAACAAGGAGATGGTTCGATGATAAAGCCGGTCAAGAACTTGTTCAAAGCCATGTTGTTGGCCGGCTCCAACGAAACAAAGTTTATGGTTGCGACAAGGGAAGAGGAGGGAAAACTCGAATGGAAAGAGGCGTCCAAAGCAGCTCTAAAGAAGAACGCGAAGAAGGTGGAAGCCGAGAAGAGGAAACTTCAGAAAGCTGTGGAGAAGCAAGCTGTCCAAAACCTTCCCCATCAGCTCGCCGAAGCCCGTCTTGAGGAGGCCGCGAACAATCTTCTTGTTCTCGATGAGACTTTGCCGACGCCAATAAACGTTAAATTGCGGGAAGTTGCGGCTCACGTTGGCCAAAGAGTTGTCGTATCCGCATGGGTGCATCGTCTGCGACGACAAGGTATGTGTCTAGTTGTGTTTTTATTTCTTTAGGAAAAAACCTCATGTTCTGGGTGCTGAGAGATGGTAGTGGACGTGTACAGGCCGTTATGAATGATGCGCTATGCCGCGCGTACGACGCTTCGCCCGTTCAGACAGAATCCTCAGTTTCCGTTTATGGCACTGTCAAGGAGTTGCCGGAGGGAAAAACCGCCGAAGGTGGAGTGGAATTGGTGGCGGATTATTGGTCCTTGATTGGAAACTCACCACCTGGAGGCGTCGATCATGTGCTGAACATTGAAGCGAACGTTGATGTCCTGCTCGACAATCGTCATCTCGTGATTCGTGGCGAAAACACTGCCAAGATTTTGAGGGTTCGAGCTGCTGTCACCCGCGCGATGAGGGAGCACTTTTATAGCCGCAAATACACCGAGGTGTTCCCACCCACCCTGGTTCAGACCCAAGTGGAAGGTGGATCTACGTTGTTCGGCTTAAAGTTCTTTGATGAAGAGGCGTACTTAACGCAATCCTCACAGTTATATCTGGAGACCTGTTTGCCGGCAGTCGGCGATTGCTATTGTATTGCCCAGTCTTACAGAGCGGAAAAGTCACGGACAAGACGCCATTTGTCAGAATTTTCGCATGTTGAAGCCGAATGTCCTTACATTACTTTTGAGGACCTCCTTCAGAGGGTTGAAGACATTGTTTGTGACACCGTTGACAGGATCCTGGACGATCCTGAAGCCAAGGCCTATGTGTTGGAATCGAATCCAGTAAGGTTGTGGACTCGTAGTTTTATGCTTTTGTAGAGTTTTGAGAAACCAAAAAGACCGTTTTTGAGGATGACTTATGCTGATGCAATCAAATGGTTGAAGGAAAATGGCGTCAAGAATGAAGAGGGTAAAGATTTCGAGTTCGGCGAAGACATTCCTGAAGGGCCAGAACGCGCAATGACTGATAAGATCAATCAGGTATGTTTTCTTTCCTTTGAATTAGCACATTGGCACTCCGACTAGAGGGGTTGCTTGAGAAAAAATTTATTCATTTACTGAAATTTTCGGGATGCGGCTTCGTTAAGGTTTTAGGTGGTACAGTGGGGGATCTGATCCAGTGGCAAAAAACGTGCTGTTTTGCATCCGGGAAGTATCAAAAATGTGACAAAATGCTTCCCTCTCCAAGTGAAAAAACTTTCAAAAGCGCGCCCGCTATTTTTGTGAGGGAAATGGCGCGCCCTTCAAAACGAAGTTTTTCACTTGAAGATGGAAGCATTTTGCCACATTTTTGATCCTTCCCGGATGCACATTGGCACGTTTTTTGCCATTGGATTAGGTCCCCCACTTTATCAATAAAAAAATCTGTACAACAAAAGATTAAAGGCAAAATTTTACATCTATCTCGCGCATTTAATATAATAATTGTGATCCAGGCCGTTCATGATAGCCGGTTGGATGTCTCTCGAAATGTGGTCGCAATCACATACCAGGGAAGTGTACAAACTGACCATCACCAATGAGTGATATTCACAGTTGGAAAGTGGGTATTCTGCAAACATAGAAGGCAGTCTCTAGTACAGGGTGGTCCACTCGAAGTTTCCGTCCTCTTTTTTTTAGATTTCTCCGCGGAGACTCCGCCGATTTGCCAAAATTTTCAAAAACATATTTATGTTTTGTATTGACCTTTCTTTTTGAAAAATTATTTTCGTGCCGAAACCGCTAAAACATATATTTTTGAAATTCAGCTGGTTGAAAATGGCGGGTCTCAGCTCCAGAAAAGTCTAAACCTTAGGAAAGATTTCTCAGCCTCCGCGGAGAAATCTACAAAAAGAGGACGGAAGCTTCTAGTGGCCCACTCTGTACTTTTTTTCAAGGGCTTTCCAACTGTGTATTTCACTAACTGATCCGTTTGTACACTTCCCTAGAAAGTGATTGCGACCACACTTCGAAGAGATCCAACGTTTTTTTATCGCTTCCCGGCTGAAATTTCTTTACTTCTCTGATTTCAGCCCATTTTGTTGAACCGATTCCCGGCTGGAATCAAGTCCTTTTACATGAGTCGTTGCGAAGAAGACCGGGAGTTGACCGAATCCGTTGACTTGTTGATTCCTGGAGTCGGCGAAGTTGTTGGTGGGTCGATGAGGATTTGGAAGGAAGAAGAAATACTATCTGCGTTTTCCAATGCCGGAATCGATCCCAAGAAATATTATTGGTATGTGGACCAACGTCGCTACGGTGGCTGTCCCCATGGCGGATACGGGCTTGGATTGGAGAGATTTGTTTGCTGGCTTACAGGCACTGAACATGTCCGCGATGTCTGCTTGTATCCTCGGTTTGTTGGACGTTGTACTCCATAAGAAATCAATCTTCAATTGTTGTATGTAATTAAATATTTATAATGTTAAATTGAGCTCTATTTCTGCGAGGTTTTAATACATACATTAGAAATATCCAGTCAAAAGTTATCGATCTGGTATGTGAAGTGTTGTGGAGCCTCAAAGGTCTCCACAATTCCCACGGAAATTAGCATACATGGAGTCATACAAAAGGAACACTTTCTCACCAATGAGCTCATTATCTTCTTCGGTTGTTCCCTTTGCCGTGAATAAAAGAACCTTGCGATTTCGTGTGTGTACTTGTTCCCCAACGATCGGTGGTCTAACGTCCCCCGATTCCCCTTCAACTTTGAGCTCCACTTCAAGGAAGTGGGATGGGAACTATCCTATAGACATATTTTGTAAAGCCGATGAGATTCCGGACTCTTCCGTCCTCAAACCTTGATAAAACCATGGCAAAAGTTTGTAAAAATGTTTTATTTTTCAAAAATCAAATAGAAAAATGGCATTCAGGCAGTGCGGAGAGAATGATGATTATAGGATTGTTGAAAGTTGAGGATCTCGTAGTAAGATGTGAGAATTTCTCCTTTTTTTCATCCAATACAAACGATACAAAATGCGGTCGTCAATCCACCGCCGCCGCCATAAAACGGGTTGTAGGCCGGCTGGTAAGACGGGTAATAGTATCTGAAAACAGTTTAATGGAATCCCGATATGAGATGGATTTACTGGCGCTAAGACTTTTCGGGTCGCCACAGTTCGGGGTCGGAGGCTTGAAGAAGGCTTAAATAGTAGAAATAATAAGATTGATCGGGTCCCAGGATAGTTTATCACCTATTTTGAGGTATTTTACATGTACTCGCATCAATAATATCTATCGAGATAAAAGTTACGGGTCTTCGTTTTTCCCCGCAAATTTTGGTCTTTTATATGTTGCGACAACTCTGGGTAAAGAAAACTGCCGTAATTAATAAGTAAAACAAGAAAAGGTGGTCATATTGTAAGTTTCCACGGAGCTTTCGCCGAATGTCCGCCGACCAGCGCAAAGCCTCGTGGGCGCTTCCTACAACCTTTTTTGGTGTATTCACCCGCCCTACGTATGAATCGATTTACTGTTGACCCGAGCTGTTGCGACCCGAAAAGTCGATTTTTTCGCTTGAAATTTCAACTTACATTGGCTCATAATACGTTGGGTAGTAATAGTAAGGCTGTTGATAATAATACCCTCGAGGCGTTCGATCGGTCGGAGTGTCTTTCTTGGCCGCAGTAGGAGTCTTTTTGGTAGTGCTCTTCTCATTTTCATCTCTGAACTTCTTCCTGTAATTCCATTGTGGCTTCTTTACATTGGACGCCGTTCTGGTCACAGCAGTGAAGTTAGCACTGCTCGTAGTAACATTTCTGGTGTCAGTGGACATAATATTGGTCAAAGTTCGTCGTAGATTATCCAACTTGGCTTTGTTTATTGTGGTAAACCTCGACTTTGTAGTTGAAGTGACATTTGTAGCAGTAAGATAAGTCGTATTAGCCGTAGTAATATTCTTAATAGGCCTTTTAAGGGTTACATTGGATTTATGTGACCTGAGTGGCCTAACAGTCGTAGCAATAACGGTACTATTTACTTTGGCTCCAAAAATTTTAGTCATCAAAATCAGTAGCAATAACAGTATAAAAATAGTTTTTGCCAGTGAACACATGGCTTTTACCCTGCACAAATTCTAAAGCCAAATTTCAATTTCTTTGGTAGTATTCTGAAAATGTAAACATTCGAAAAAAATTTTTCGAGGTCAAATCGTTAAGGCCAAAAAAGGAGGTTCGAAATTTGGAAAGAAGCATGCTTTGTGTGGAAAGCAAAACTCTCGGGGTCTTACAATAAAATAAAGAGTGATTTGAATGTTCGGGACGTTCCGGGTGATTGGATTTACGTGAAAAGTGAGGAAGCGTCTGGAAAAGCAAGTTTTATGGAGGTCTTGATGGAAAGGAAAATGTGACATTGGAAAATTGAAAAGAGAAAATTTAAATTTGCTTGCTTACAATAACAGGGTAAGTGATATAAATGAACTCAGAGATTCTTGAAATTCCGGACACACGTCGAGCATAACTCACTTATAAATTCGTAAAGATTTTAGCTTGCGTTTTGCAGGCGCAACCGAGATATTCGACGATCTTTGAAGATATATACCTCCCTCCATAACCATTGTTTATTATACAGTAAAGCGCTAGGTATACCATATATTCATGCGGCTGATATTAATATTTTTTTTGGGTTGATTAAAGCGTTCAAACCAGTCTTCGCTGGAACACCGAGCGGCTCTTTTCGGGGCAGGGGCAGTACTGAAAAAAATGGTATTAACAAACCATGCCAACACCGATGCAAACATAACGTATTCTAAAGATGATGTGTGGAAACGGAGTAATCAAAAAAAACTTACAGCTGCATCAGCTCCTGGATGTCCTGGCTGTCCGGGAGGTCCTTGAGCTCCATCTTCTCCGGGCGCACCGTTATTTCCAGCCATTCCTGGGGCTCCTTTAACGCCGGGAGCTCCAATTGGCCCTGTTTTCCCTTGATCTCCGGGTTGGCCCTGTTCGCCAGCTGGCCCAGGAAGACCCTAAAACTTGGAGTTATAATCGTTCGTCTATAGATTTTAGTATTTTTCTAAAAGAAGCCTAAAATTGGTCCTAAAATGATTAAAATTACCCGTCTTCCTTTCAGAGGAATCAATCTCATCGCGTTCTCTCCGTCAAGCCCTTTGACGCCGCGCTCTCCATCCTTGCCCGGCTCTCCCATTTCTCCAGGCTCTCCGGGGTGTCCTTGCTCACCAGGAGAGCCGGGCATTCCAGGGACTCCACGGGGTCCTCGAGGTCCGCGACGGCCTGAAAAAATGGGCTGAAGAGTGTGATTTTTGATAACAGAAGTCTCTTTGAGGGACTTAGAGGTAATGTTTATACTGTAACAAGCCCATCAAGAGGCCCACAAGATAGGAAAAAGACGAATCCAGAGAGACCTGAGGATCTAATGTCATTTAAAAAGTTGTTTGATGATTTTTAGCCCAGCCGAGAGTCTTCCCAAGCTTTTATAAAAAAATTATCAAACGCATGTCTTACCTGGCCTTCCATCCGGTCCCGGAGCTCCTTGCGGTCCGGCAGGACAATTATAACAACCTTGAGGAGGCGAATCATGTCTGTCGTGAGCATCTTGTCCATCAACCCCTGGGATTCCCGGTTTGCCAGGAATTCCGTTGTATCCGGGCTCTCCGGCTAACCCTGGCGGCCCTGGAGGGCAACGGTTCTTGGAATTGGCCGCGCATTCTGAAAAGGGCTTTATCAAACTTGTACATTAGCTTGAGAAGTCTTCAACTTGGGCCTTTAAAATTTACCGCAATGTACTGCAACTCCGGTTGGTGGAGCGTAAATCGGAAGAGAATGTTGGATTGGAGCGGCATGTGCTGAAATGGACTTTCGAGTTAGCATTTTTAGTAATTAATAGAAACAATAATACGCTTGAATCTGATTAGAAAGTAGGTTATTTACGTTATTTAAAAATGACATCTGCAATTCTGGGACGAGTGATTACCTTTCGCTTTGTTTTTTTTATTCTTTTTCTTGTAATAATTCTCGTGCGCCTCCTTCAACGACTTGTAAACAGCTCGTCGAGTTCTCGTATGCCCTTTGACTCCGAACGCCAAGTCATTCATCTGGTCGGTGAGATGATTCATTGAACTCTACATACCGTAAGATTACGTGTTTTACAATCAACTTACCGAGATGACAACCATGTCTTTCTCGAGGTAATCCGTCATCTCCGAAACTTCTTTGACGATGTATCCGATGGATGTGTACATTGCAATAAAGAAGATTAACATGCAAGTGACGAAAAGATTGATGAAACGAGCATGCTCTCGGACGTCGGCTGCAAAATTGTGATGGAAAACGAAAATAGGAATGTTTTTAGACTACGGCAAATTGTAGATTTTTTACCTTGATTTGGATCAATATACAACTTCTTAGCCTTCATAATGTCGTTGAGGTAGATAGGGGTCTTCTTTGGTTTAGAGAATAAACAGCCCTTTGTAAGCTGAAAAATTTACACGTTCTTTTTACCGTAATAGCAAGACAAAAATTTTTTTTAGTAGACCTTCCGGAAAGTCACCAGAGTAATTTTTGGCACGGTGCAAAGAAAACTTTTGATTTCTCACAAAACGTTTGATTTTCGTCGCCGATTCAAGCCCGGCGACTTTCCGGAAGGTCTAGTAGTCTGTAAGCTTGGCCAAGTGTCCCTGCAACGCTAAGATTTTCTTTAAGATTTGCGTAAATTTGGCCCTAAAACTATTCATGCTTAAACTCACGAAACAGTGTCTAATGTTGGCCTACTTTCAAGCAAGAGACCTCAGCAACTTCTGCAAAGCGTGAGCTAAAAATTGCTTATAAGCATGTCGTATTTTACGTACATTTACGTACAAATTTAATCTAAATTTGTGCCAAGGTTTACTAAAGGTGGAACGTCACGAAGTGAGAATTTCCTTTGTCATATCAGTCTGTCAGGAAAATAGTGGTGGATCGTCGCATCAGAATCTTTCGCCTTCTCGAAAAAGGGGTGCCTACAACAAATTTCCTGCTGCGGCCAGCCATCGCAATGAAAATTATGATGGTCGATTCCAAGTCGCGACGGCACGCCACTATTTTTCCGATAGACTAATAATTAAATTGGCACCCTAGACTACATCAACAGATGATTCAAAACACGAAACCTCCTACCCAAAATCACCAAATCAACCTCTCACTTACCGCCCTCAGCACATTCAACCGCTAACTGGCACACTGAACAGCTCATGGCGAATTTGAATTTCGGCGTTGGAAGCGGTCCGCCCTCCGGCTGTGCTCGAACGTGTTTTTCGCATAAAATCAGCCGAAGAAACAAAGGCAAAAATAAAACCCCCCGCGCATATCGATTCGGGTCAGTGGTTTTTGCGGATTCGAAAAACAACGGAGCCGCCGAAACCTGAAAAGCGCTGATAATAAAAAAAAAACGCCTAATGTAAATCCAATTACAATACCAAGCTGTCGCCGCCGCAAACCCTATGAAACCAGAATCGAGAGGCGGCTTAAGATCACGGCTTTCACGGGGATTAGATCATCTCGAGAATGGAGGAGAAAGTCGGGATAGCAGATTACGGGCTGGAGAATGATTGGTCAACGGCAGTAAAATTTTATGGGCATCCGAAGAGAGTTTGTGTGATACCAAGTCTCAAAGATTAAATGATCTTATAGTGGCAAGTCAATAACAGGCATCAACCTCCTGTCGGAAAAATAATGTGGGTTTGCCGCGGCAAAATTTCTCCCTTCGCCGTAGTCGCGCACAAAATCTCCAGAGGCGGCTAGTCGTCGTAAAGCGATAATGGGCGATTCTAAATCACAACGAATCCATATTATTCTCCCGACAGAATGATAAGCAGTAAATAGTCAAAAAACAAGAAGAAAAAATGTAAAATATTTTATTGAATAGCTTTGTTGAACAAATTCATTTTGACATAAAGTTAACTAGTTGGGCCTTTGAAGCATTTTTTTAGACAGGTTTTTTTGTACAGAGGTTGCTGAACCAATAATTGTACGTCAAAACGAATCGATTTTTTGGGAGTTTTAGCATGATAAGATACAGCTTTTTTCGAGACGACATCTCCACGAAAAGTTATTTTTATCCAAGTAAATTTGGCTGATATATGGCAAAAAACATCTTCCTCCTTCTGATCGCTCTCCGTTCCTCGAATGCTGCTTTTACTCATTGCTGACAAGGGAAGTACTCCAAGTGCGACGCTCAGATTTTCTTTAAATTTTGCACACCCGTCGGGTATGGACTAAATATCAAGAACTGAAAGTTCTAGCTCGCGCTTTGCGGGCGCCGCCGAGATATCGAACGATTTTTGCCGCCGAGAGAGCACGCTAAACGTGGAGAGCGGTCGGAGAGAAAAATGCTTTTTGGCCGTAACTTTGGCAGTTCGTGCGGAAAAATTTGCTTTTTTGTAGAAACATTATTCTTTACGGTAGAAATAGGCATGAAAATTTTCATGCCGAAATTCGGCAAAAAGTCCTAAATTTTCGCCGACTTTCCATCTAAAAATCTCAGTTGTTTCTGCAAAGCGCGTTCTAGGATTCTCGCATATATCTTAGAAAAAATTGTTTTAAATTTGTTCCAAGTTTCATCAAAATTTGAGCGTCGCACTTGGAGTACTTCCCCTGTGAATATTTTGGCCGCCCTTGCATCGCAGAGGCTCAAATTTCCAAATGTTGATTTGCAGCCTACGTAAGCAGTACCTCCAAAATTTTTAGAAAGTCTAAGCTTCTTTCCCTAAGGTACCTTTTTTTTTATCTTTTCTGTTATTTCATTAGTAACCTGTCTCTTTCTCGCTTGGATATAAAGATCAAGACCTCGAAGAATCCGAAAAATGATGCGAGCAAGAGATCAATGGGTTTACGAGAAGTTACAAACTCCGCAGAAGTAACCCGTCTCGTTAGCGACGTGTAATAGCACTTTTATCTAAAAGTTCAAACGGAACTTTATGGAATCCGATTGCTTTTTTGGCGGCATTGCAAGAATTCCACGACGGTGACAAATAAAAAAGATTTGGAGAAAAAAAGAAAGGGAGAAGACTTGAAGCAGTTCACGATAAATATTATAATGTAAGTCAAAATTCAGTCAATACCTTTACAAAAAAAAGGAGGGTGGAAAGATCTCGGGTTCAAAGAAAAGCATAAGAACATGCACACTTGTCTTCAATGAAATTCTGGCCTGAATTTTCCGGCCGTACAAAGGTAACGACCTCCCAATTTTGCGGAATAAAAAAGACGAGAGAAAGAAAATACTGTAATTTTGGCAACTTCACCGACGGCTTGATCGGCCGAATTGTCTCAACTGAAGCCTACAATAATATTTTTAAAACCATTGATTCTTTGGCCCATCCAAACATTAAAGCTTCAGCAGAACACTGATAAAACAGGACGTAAAAGGTTAAAAGAATCGTTTCGGCAAATCTTCAAAACTTAAGTTGGCTTGAGTTAGAAAAACATTGTGCTGTTCTGCATACTACTGTTATCTTAATTGGACTCAAGGGAGTGCAATACAACGATAATGTCGTAAAGGAGATGATAGAAGATGATCCCCCGTAATCGAATTTAAATGAGGAACCGATAACCATAATTATCCGCTGAAAACACAAGCAACTTGTAGGCCTCGAATTCCGTTTGTCACACAATTGTATAACTTGGCTTAAATGTCTAGATAAGACGTTTGAAATTGTCGGTAGTATAGAGAAATTTCCTTGTAGAAAGGTTGGTTACGCAGAGGTCCTACTGTAATTGCTTTTTTAGCAATTACAGTGAGATTTTTTTCAAAAAGCATATTGCATCATTCTGCCTAAAGAATGATGTATTGTGCTCGACAAGAGGCGTACAATTTCGAAATTCTGCGGTGAAAAGGTCAGATTTCGCAATTTCCGTGTGCGTAATTGGTAAACATTGTAAGAAACGTTTCCCCTCCAGACTTTCTTATCGCCGTTGAAAAGGCCGGTACAAAAGGAGTTGTCATCACAATCATTTCTCAGTTCAGATTGTCAATTCGGGTGTGGTTTATAAATAAAAATTGTTCCTTTGGTTTTCAGCGGACTTTCTTTTTGTGCGCTTTTTTAACGGATCTCTGGTCAAGACTAAAAGGAAGAGAGCACTTTTTCCACGGGGAAATTTTGACAAGGAAAGTACTTTTATGGGGGCTCCTACTTTTTGACGGGACATATCTCAAAAAATCAGAAAAAATGTGCTGATCAAGGATATATAAATCTTAGCTGCCCATTTTAGGTTTTTAGGGGTGAAAACTCAATCGGAAGATGACTTAAAGCCCTATATGAACCCCTTTTCGCTTGATTTTTCACAGGTTTACAATTTTTATTTTGGCTTAAAATTATGTTTATTGAGTTTCTAAGACGTAATAAATCAGTCTTGGCACAAAAATTTATTTTTCCGACCTTCAACTTCAAAAAAAGTTGATTCAGCCCAAAAGGGAAATCGAACCTGTGCGGCATCCCCCCTCTTGATTCCCAGACTACGGCACTAACCACTCGGCCACACCGCTCTCTTCCGAAGGAAGAGACCGAGTGCGCTTTTTATCGTTTCGAATGCCTGCGCCTTTTGTAGGGAAATTAAGCCAGTTTTTGGGCATTTTCACCCCTAAAAACCTAAAATGGGCAGCTAAGATTTATATATCCTTGATCAGCACATTTTTTCTGATTTTTTGAGATATGTCCCGTCAAAAAGTAGGAGCCCCCATAAAAGTACTTTCCTTGTGAGAAGAGACTGTTGCTCTTTCAGCTGGGAGGCATTTTAGGTGCAATAAATTTTTGTAAAGTTTCGTAAAGCGGGTTGGTCGGTATACGGCAACCATTGATTACTAAATTTTTCTTGCCTAGTTCTTTGGATATTCAATAAACTTTGTAAACAGCAGAGATAAAATTGCTATTCCGCAAAACCTGTCTATAACAAACGTCTTTCAGGGTTCCTAGGAGTCAGTTTTCGCCGAAGATACGACAAGTACTTTCCATAACAAAGTAATTTTATAGTATCCGATTTGCTGTACGGAGACTTGACTATGTTTACTTTTTTTCAACTTGCAAAATTTTCGTTTTAGAGTATATTTATACATACATAGTTATATGGGCCTTACGATCATTAAATTTCCCTATGTCTCCCCTTAGGACAGACCGGGCATTGGAAAGCAAAACCGGGAGATATAAATAATCAAATCTTCTCAGAAAATTAATTCTTCGTCTCCACTGTTTTCAGGAACGGTTGATCTCAAAATGGCCAGAATCAGAGCCATTTCTATTTTGTTCGTTTATGTTCTACTAGATCTGTTATTTACAATAATTCCTTATGGACTTTATATGCAAAATTTTGGCTTCAATTTTAACATACTGATAAAAAATTTGAATCCAATTCAGTATGATCCGCGGTCGAGCGGTTTTGACTTTTTCATTGCCTATTTGCTGAGAATTATCCTCTTGGCGATTGGAACGGGTTTGGTGGCTCTGGCCAAACCGTTGCTGTTATTTTCATTCATTTTTAATAGTGCTGTGGCATGCTCAATCTCATTTTCATTGGCCAAGGTGAGCGAGATCTCTTACTGCTTTGTAATTGGAAGTTCTTTAGATTCTCTGCTTCGCCGAACACCCTAACCAATTACATTTCGTTGGTGTTTGGCTCTCTCTCCTGTGGAACATTCTTGGCTCATTTTGGGCGCTGTATACCTTTAATAATGTAGTTGTAAACGGGCTCTTTGCGCCTGTCAATTATGAGCGAATGGCGGAGGAAACAGAAACCAACTTGGAAAATGCAGAATCAGCGTCAGATGCTGGGAATTCTGACAACATTAATGGGAAGGATGGTGAGGAAGAGCCGATTACCAGAAAGTCCGTCATAGCACATGTAAAATTCTTGATGAAGTATGCTGCAAAATATTGGCCTTGGTTTAGTATGGCTGGTGTGTTTGTTGTCATTTCTGCTGCAGGTAAGTTTGTTTAGCTACAATATTTTCTGAAGTGGGCGTTATGACTTTTGTGGGTAACCACATTGCGGGCAGCCTACATTTTCCGATTAGAATACGATTTTCCTCCTGTTGCCTACGTAGTATCACAGAAATTTTGCATTGACAACTCCCTGGTACTGATAACTATACGAATCTATTGAATTCATTTACCGTGTTATAATAAAATTTATGGCTATTTCTTTAAAAAAATGTTTTCTGAGCCTTTAAAAATACCTTCATAACTTCATAGTAATTATTCGTACGCCTGGAACTTCAATTCGCAACATCTAACTGCCAAATCCATTGTTAGAATTTCCTGTTCTAAGCAAATGTTGGCATATTTCGAAGCATGCCCGCAGAATCTCCGTGGTTCTTTTAGCTGTCTGCAACTGTGGGCCAGCCCTCAAGTGCCGCAACTTGTGTATATTGCTGTCCCATTTCAGCCCGCTCCGCCATTCCATATTACACTGGAAAAGTGATATCCAATATTTTTCACCAGGATAAGAAATCAAGCGATGCTTTTTACTCAACCTTGCTGGTTATTTGCGCTCTAATTCTTGTAACGTAAGATACAAAATCTTGTTAAAAGAAACATCAATTTGTAGTTCCGTGTTCGCCGGGCTCCGCGGCGCCTTCTTCAACTGGGCTGGAGCGCTGGTCAACCGACAGATGCGTAAAGATCTCTTTGATTCGTTAATCCGCCAAGAAGTTGCATTTTTCGATAAACAGCAGACCGGTGCGATCCTATCTCGACTCACAACCGATTGTCAGACAGTGACCTCGATCATCGAATCGAACATGGAAATGTTCATGAGAGATTCGGCGGTGATGATTGGCTGTTTAATAGTCATGCTCAATGTTTCGTGGAGGTTGACGGTGGTCACGTTCGTTTTCATCCCACCGTTGGCGGTGTTCACCAAACTTTATGGAGATTATTGTGATGTAAGCTGACATGTTATGGCCGGTGGGGTACGAGTATAACGCTCAGATTTTCCTTGGATTTGGCGTGTACAGCCAAATCTTTTTATAACGGCGAAGGGTCATTCAATTTATTCGTTATAGATGGGATTAGTTTAACGGTGGTTTGTGTTGCCCTTGAGGCCACTAGGTTAGAAACAGTTCTCGGTTTTGGGAAACTTCCACCTGAAAGCCCAGTTGAACAAAAATCACGCACCCAAGATTTTTTATGAAGCAGTTCAAGGCCTTTAAAAATATATATACACCCTAATATACTCTTGGTCTTCAGAAAATCATCGAGAATGTACAAACAGCCATGGCCGAGGCGAATCAGGCCGCTGAAGAATGTTTGAGCACGGTCCGCACAGTCAGAGCTTTCGCCTGCGAAAACAAGGAGTCAAAGCGCTTTGATAAACAACTGGTTGGGATTGTCGGGATACTCAAGGCAAGTTGTCATCGTTGACAAGGACATAAGCTTGCTTTTCTTAACCGGAATGTTTTTATTATAGCACAAAGCAATAATGTCATTTGGTTACATTACCCTCTCGGACAGCATTGAGTACTTAGTTCTTGTATTAATTCTTTTCTACGCGGGTCATCTGGCAAATGCCGGCGACTTGACTATTGAACAAATTACCGCTTTCATTCTTTATCAACTTCAATTGATCGAAATTTTTTATGCAAGTCGCTACGAGCATTACCTATTATTTTTTCTAGAATATTGATTACGTGTTCGCTAACATGATGGGAAGTGTTGGAGCTTCGCGAAAAGTATTTGAATATATGAATAAACTGCCGGAGATACCGTATGACGGGACGGTTGAAAGAAAGGTTGAAGGGAACATTGAATTTGAGGATGTGTCGTTTGCTTACCCAACCAGACCACATTCGGAGGTGTTGAAGGTGAGGGGAGCTTGAAAATTTCATTCTTCAACATGTTGCTCAAATAGTTTACCTTGTGTTTTTAGTCCATAAACATCTCTATCAAGCCTGGAGAAACAGTTGCGCTAGTTGGCCCCTCTGGCGCTGGAAAATCTTCTATTATTTCGTTACTTGAGTACTTCTACGAGACAACAAAAGGTGCCATTAAACTTGACGGCGTGAATATTCGAGAATACGCCCATCGCTTTTATCACCAACAAGTCTCGTTGGTCAGCCAAGAGCCGACATTGTATTCCGGCTCGATAAAGGACAATATCCTGTATGGGTGTGAGGAATGGTGTACTGAAGACGACATGATTGAAGCAGCGAAGTTAGCCAACGCTCATGGCTTTATCACAGAGCTGGAGAAGGGATATGAGACAAAGTGCGGAGAGAAGGGAGTGCAGATGAGCGGTGAGTAGAGCGGTATACATACTTTCTGGCGGGGTATAGGACATATGAGAACTTTTGCTGCAGAGTAATAGCACAAAGTTTCTTTCAGGCGGTCAAAAGCAGCGAATAGCCATCGCGCGAGCGCTTGTGAGGAAGCCGGCTGTCCTGATCCTCGATGAAGCCACTTCTGCTCTCGATTCTGAATCAGAATACATAATCCAAAAAGCCCTAAACCAATGTGCCGTCGGCCGCACTGTGATCGTAATTGCCCACCGTCTGAGCACCGTGGAGAAAGCTGACCGGATATTTGTCATCCAGAAAGGAGAAGTGGTTCAAGAGGGCAATCATCAAACACTGATGCAAACTGATGGGCTTTATAGGGATCTAGTGAAGCGACAACTCTTTGGTGGGCATACGAAGGACGACGGAGATGTTGCAGATGTTGTAGGAGGTTCGGTGACTCAAGAAAATCATACAACAGAAACCTCTGCTGGCTAAAAATGAGCAGAGAACTTCTTTATTTACGATTAGCGTTCTTCAATGGGCGCTAGCTGACCAAAACCTTGTTGAATTTTGTCTTGTTTTTGTTGCAGTTTTTAAGTAAAAGGTTTCATCAACGTTGGCGAGGTATTACATGAATGACTGACGAATTGGTATATATACAAGTAGGGGAAATGCGCCATTAAATCAATGTGAATTACATCGCATTTATCCCTTCTTAATTTCGTTCGTTTATAGCCAATTCAAATCGGGGCCCTACCCTGTATATACATGTACTACATATATGCAATTGCCAGCATAATCAACAAGATTCATGGCAAAATACATCCACCTGTTTTGTCTGCGGCTTCACTCATTCCTCATGACATCATGCAATAATTGAAAGTAAACAGGTTCGGTTCAAATTAGACAAGTTATAGTAACACATACGAAATACGAATGGAGAAAATTGTCTCAGGAGCTATACCCCAACTAGACTTGGACAAAAACATATGAGTCTTTCTATAGAAGCGCGTCGTTGTACGAAGGTTGATTTGGATCCTAAATTGAGTCTTGAAACCTGTGAAACGCTTCGTTATAGACATGCTTCGTTGTTCAATAGGATGCTAGTTAATTTAAGATGTAAACACTTCAACGTCGTTATCAGCAGTTCTGAAATGATCTTGGAAGGCTGAAAAATATTTGCTGAGCATACTGTTCCTGTGTTTTTGGCAGTTTTTTTAGTTACATCTATCTACTGCAATATAATTTTATGCTGAAAACAAAACGGTTGATTTGATAGTTAATAGGTTCACAATCAGTTAGAATGTTTGTTTTCAATTCAATTTATTTCACTCATCGCATGTAAAAATCATGGAGTGAATTAGTATGGTTTCAATTTTCTAGTCAATGCAACATCCGGTGAAAGCTCCTTACTCTGGCCACAACTTATAACTTTGCGGAAACTGGACAGAATTAACCCAAATTTGGCATGCAGGTTCAATTCATCGTTGTCAATGGTCGGACAGTGGATTTTAGTCAGTGAGGTACGTTTTTCTACGTACCACTTTACCCTTCATAAACGGCTGCAGCCTGCGCTTTTACACTTTATACGATGAGACCTGTCCTAGAACTAACTGAGTCGTCATCGCCTTTGTAGGTACCCTTAAAGCTATAGAGCTATTGTAGCAATTCAGTGACAGCTAGGTCGAACCTTTCTTCCTAACGTTAGTTCCCAAGCTTGGGCGCAGTTCGAAGAGTACCTTTGTTGAGGCCAGAATAAGGAACTAGTGCTTAGTGCTTTGGTCCTTCTTATCCTGGACCGTCCGAGCGGGTGTGTGTAGGAGGTGTGCATTCCAATAGCATCAACGCCACAACTGAACAGTACATATCCCGAGATTTGCTCCACCGTTTTCTTTTTTCCAACTTCCCCTCGGTTCGAAATGATCAACATTGACGGTACGAACTCGAACTCCAATACGGTTGATGGCAACTGTCCCAAACCCCCTTTGTGCCCGCGACGGCATGGGTGGACAGGAAAAACCGACCGCTCTTCGAGGAGAAAAAATCGGAATCCGGGATTTGTTTTTGCAACCAATAACCCGACTTTTTCAGTAACAATCGGCCAGTCCAGGGAAGTATATAGGATCGAATGTTTTTACTCCGTGCTGTAAACTACAGTTTCCACAATATTGCAAAGGGCCAATTTCCAGCAAACCCCTCTTTATGACTGACTGGATGTCATATGTCACTTCCCGAGGAAAACCGAGTTAAATTCGGCCGAGGGGCGTGGACTCGCCTCCCAGCACGCTACTGGATGAGAACGCCGGTAAAAGCGCGCTTATTGTGTTAGGAATTCGGTAGAGTGTGCGGTGATCATGGATTTGATGATACGAAGACATGAGTTCTTTGAGGCCCATTGGAACTGCTCGCAATACAACGCTAGTGCGATTCCGGAGAGCGAGCGACGACATCCCTTTTATGGACTGTTCTTGTTCGGCGTCAGTGTGGTCTACATGGTAAGGGAGGTCTTAATTTGCTGATTTTAGGGAGTTTTTGAGTCAAATCACAGGGCATATTGTGAACATTCATCCACTGAAGTTTTACTCCGTTTTTAACGGCAACGCGATGTTCAACGGGCTTCTTTACAAGAGTACGAAAAATCCCGAAGGGTCAGCCAGACAAAAAGGAACTTTATCTGTCTGGCCCACTCTCCACATTTTGCGTGCTCTCCCGTGAAAAGATCGTTGAAATGCCGCTGAAAAGCCCGACTAAAGCTTCCGAGAATGAATTGAAGACTACGAACTTAAAGTTTTGCATTTAACGCCCGATCTATTGCAGTCGGGAAACGAGTTCAAGGGATACGCCCAGATCTTTCCGCAAGCTTTATAGCTCCAATTATACAAGATTTTAAAGGTATATTAAGTGAAATTGCGGGGCAATTGTGTAAACTGAATTTCACGCTATTTTGTTCCACGTGTTTTCTAAGTTTGTAAACATCGGAAAGGTTATTTATTTCGAAAATTTCTGGAATTTCGTGGATTACAGATGCTACCGTAACACTACCAAGTTTCCAAGGAAATAGTTACGGAAGATGTAAATGGAAACAACAACAACCTGAGATTATATTACTTCAGGTACTGTACGTCCCATGTTTGTACGCGATGACCAGGAAAGAGCTCTACGCCAATCCCTGCTACAAGATCATGGTCCAGATGGCCTGCTACGACTGCATTACCATCCCAATTACCGGTCTTTTATCCGGATTTCTCAGCTTTTACGGAGTGATGTATTGTGATGCAAGATTGATGAATAATATTGTTGGAACTGTACTACTTGGTAGGAAACTTTATTTCCTATTTCGACAAAATCATTAAATTTAAAGTTTCGTAGTCTTTACACTATTTGGATACAAAAATGATATTACAGTTGACCTTTTAAGGGTTTGGATGGCATACTCCTGGGCGGCGGTGATCCTAGCGCTGAACCGCATTGCCTCACTAACTGACAAGAAACACTGGTTCCGAAAAAATCCCGTCTACTTCTGGCTGTCCATCCCCTTGCTGGTTGGCCTGGTGTCTTCGGTTTTTGGAACCCCAGTCGCGTACTCTCCCATCTTGGGAAGCTGGACGTTCAACCCATTCATCGAGAGTGTGGTGGATGTAGACAACTTTGTAAGAACATGTTCTACATGGACGTATCACAAAATGTAGCAAAATACCTCCCTCTCCAAGTGAAAAGTCTCCGATTTCAAAAGCCGCCCGCTCTTTTTGTAAGGCATGGTTCAAAACGGAGTTTCTTTAGTTGTAGAGAGGCATTTCGCCACATTTTTTGATGCTTCCCGTATGCAAAATGGTACGTTTTTCGCCACTGGGTCAGGTCCAGCACTGTAAAATCTTGATATTACGATGATTTAATTTATGTCCCAAAATAATAAAAGATATCTGACATACGCCTGAAAATCCCCTATAAGGTCCGTTTTCAGTATTCCATGCCAATTCACAATGCAGACAACCTGTCCTTCAGCATTATACTGCCTACAATTTACATCGTCTTCTTCCTGAAAAACCGAGCCTTACTAAAGAGTAAAAGTCACTCAGTAGCTTCGAAAAAGGATTTCAGTGTAAGTTTACTCCATCTTCTACAAGGCAAATGTATTTTCCCCAATAAAAGATTGATCTTTGTTAAAAACGAGATCACCTGACCTAGTACAATATAAATCTGTCAAAAACCCTATAAAAAGCCTATCTTCAGCTGTTCATTCAATGCTGTATAATCAGTGCCTGCATCACTGTAGCTGCCACCGGCTATACCTTCATTCAATTCTTGCCGCTACCTTTGTGGATCGCTAAAGTTAGTCACATCTTGTGGCTTCTAGTGCAAGGTAAATAAAACTTATCCGAAAGGATATTAATCCCCTAAAAATCCATTAAAATATTATCTGCAGGCTCTCCACCAATAGTCTACCTTCTAATCAACCGGAGTATTCAACGAATCCTCCTCAAGAAGATCCTTTTTCACGTCAAATCGACGTTGGCCAGTAACTCGGGTGGTGGAAATTCGTTTGGAAATGTGATCGGTACCGCTCCGAGCAATGCATATTCCTAAATTCGAGGATGGAAGTCAGTTGGGGTCAGTGCTAATCGCGCAATAATGCTCTTTTTCTTTTTGTAAAATAAAGATTTCTTGATCCAATCAATAGTGACATTTTGTTGTTTCGAGATGCCAAAAAATATTATTAAATGGTTTCAAAAACAAGCGTTCGCAAACATGTTGATGACGATTGAGTACGGAAAGGTCCGCTGCGGAAAGGTCCGCTAAAAAAAGCAAAGAGGAGGGCGGGGGAAGGGTGGGAGGAGGTTTTCGATGGCGCTGATTTCGAAAATCGTATCAATTTTTTTATGAATTTTACAATTTTGCTTAAGCAGTAGTGTCATTTTCGCTGTAAAGACGAAAAAAGCGTCATAAGTTTTCTTACAATATCATACAAGTTTGACCAAGTTTTCACCAATTAAAACGTTTATTTTAAAGAATTGAGGAAGATAGGCAAAAATTCAGAAGAAATGATACAATTTTCAAAATCAGCACCACCAAAAACCCCTAAATCCCTTAATAAATTTTTTTTTTAAATTACTAATTAACACTACTGCTTAAGCAAAATTGTAAAATTAAGAAAAAATGGATACGATATTCGAAATCAGCACCATCGAAAACCTCCCCCCTACCCGCCCTCCACTTTTCTTTTTTTAGCGGACCTTTCCGTCCTTCGTGGTTGATGACTTGGCTGATTTTCATGGTAATTTGGAGCGTTGCGACTCACAGCGTTCCGAACAATTTTTCCGCCGTCGACCGGTGTCGAAAAGTCGAAAAAATAAAAAGTAGTGCTTGCCGTTCGGTCTTTTCTTCGCTAGCAACAACAGATGTTACTCAACAAAAATGAGTATGTTGGACTGTAAAAGATTGTCATTCGATGTATATAAATCGCGTCATCATAGCTTGCGTTAATACTGAGAAAATAAAGATCGAAAAAATTAAAATTTCAGCCTTCAGGTTATAAAATGTATTTTCCGAGCCAGAAACAGATTTTTTTTCTTCTTTTCTGTGGAAAATTCAGAGAGCTATAACATATTCAAATTTTGTAAATTTCCTGGGCCTTTCAGCATAGCTGTGGTGCTACAAAAAGGCCGTTTTTGCACTTTTTTCACTTTTAAGGTCAAAAAGTGAAGATATTCTATATACAACGGTTTGTCAAGATCATTGTGGTCATCCATGCCAATTTTCAACTTTTTCCGACGCCAACGAGTCCGTCAATAAGAATATGGAACCCAAGTGCACTATTTCTGTTGATTAAAAGCACGCTGAGTGCTCCAAAATCGCGCTTTGAGCCTACACATATTGCCCAAATACACTCTATGCCAACCTTTTGCCATCAAGCCAAAATATGCCTTTTCATTTCGAACGTTGAGTTCAACAGATAATTCTGATCAAAGCCGAGGTGTGAGCTTGCAACCACTTACTCAAATCACCCGTAAAGCTGAGTTTAGCCTTTGTAATCTCGGCCAGAGATTCATTGAGACCAGCAGTGCTGTAGTTCATGCCAACCAAAGATTTCATTACTCTTTTCTTACAAGTCTGAAGATACGAAGTTTCCATCTTGACATTCGTATTCAACGACTCGTTAGCGTCGGAAAAAGAGGAAATTTGGCATGGATGACCACAATGATCTTGACAGCCCGTTATATATACAATGTTTTCATTTTTCGACCTTAAAGTGCAAATAAGTTAAAAAAGTACAAAAACGGCCTTTTTGAGCACCATAACTATGCTAAAAGGCCCAGGAAATTTACAAAATTTTAATATGTTATAGCTCTCTAAATTCACCACATAATAGAAGAAAAACTTTAGTGTTTCTGGCCCGGAAAGTACACTTTTTATAACCTGAAGGTTAATTTTTTCGATCTTTACTTTCTCAGTATTTTAACGCAAGCTATTATGGCGCGATTTGTATACGTGGAATGGCAATCCTTTACTGTCTAACGTACACTTTTTAGTTTAGTAATGTCTCTTGTTTCTAGCGAAATACACACCGAATTGTAAGCACTATTTTTTTCGACACCGATCGACGGCTAAAAATTTTTTCTAAGCGCTGTGTGTTCTTTATCTTTTTTTTTGCAAATTCTCACGTTTGTTTTGCAGATTTCCATTAAAAATTAAGTTTTCATCATGTATAATAGAGTATTTTCGGTGAAGACAAGGTGAAAATTGTTTGCAATCAAAAGGTTTTGGTGTCATTAGCAAAATAAAGACCTTATCCAATTATTTTTTTTGCAATCTTACAGGGTGACAAAGAGAAAGTGCAACTTTCATTAATGGGTCCTGCCGCCAAAACTTGATCGAAGCAGCGAAGTTAACCAACGCTCACGGCTTTATTACAGAGCTGGAGGAGGGATATGAGACAAAGTGCGGAGAGAAGGGGGTGCAGATGAGCGGTAAGTAGAGAGGTAAATAAATACATACATACTTTATGGAGGGGTATAGGATCTATAAGCACATTTAATGTAGAGTAATAACTCAAAGTTCCTTTCAGGCGGTCAAAAACATCTTGTGCGGAAACCAGCCGTCCTGATCCTTGATGAAGCCACGTCAGCTCTAGATTCTGAATCAGAGTACATAATCCAAAAGGCCCTACACCAATGTGCCGTCGGCCGCACTGTGATTGTAATTTCACACCGTCTGAGCACCGTGGAGAAAGCTGACCGGATATTTGTCATCCAGAAAGGAGAAGTGGTTCAAGCGGGGAACCATCAAACCCTGATGCAAACTGATGCGCTTTATAAGGATCTTGTGAAGCGACAGCTCTTTGGTGGGCATGCGAAAGACGATGGAGACGTTCCAAATGCTGTAGGAGGCTCGGTGACTCAAGAAAATCATATAACAGAGACCTCTGCTGGCTGAAAATGTGTAACGACTTTTTATTAACGATTACCGTTCTTCGATGGGCGGTGGCTGTCTAAAAACTTATTGAATTTTGTTTGTTTTTTGTTGAAGTTTTTAAGTAAAAAGTTTCATATCTTTTACGAGATATCATACATAAATGACCAACAAATTGATATATAAGTAATGAAAATTTTCCATTCAATCAGTGTGAATTGCATCGGATTTGTCGCCAGATTTCTTAGTGGTGTGCTCGGGATAAAAGAGACCTTCTTCAAAAGGCTGTAGCGACCTCAGTTTGCACTTAAAAATCTTGTTATTTCGTAGGCAAGAAATAATGTCGCTTAAAAATACATATTCCAAAAACGAACCCTCTGCGCCGCCCCCGCCGAAAGTTAAAGCCTCCTACTTTCCTCCACGTTTCTTGAAAGACCCTGTATTTCAACAAGATCGCAGAAGTAGGTAAAAATTGTATTCAAAAAGGGGCGGATTATTTCGAAAGCCTGAGGAGAAAAAATCGGACATCATTTCACGATTTCCGGGGGGTTTCATTTGTAATCAACAAAAAAATTGTCTTATCTTATCGCTGTTTAAAAGTTTGTTATAAAAGAAGCTGACATCATAGAGAGTTCCTAACCACGGCGTACTTGTTCGTTCGTAAAGTTGCTGGAGTCGTTTTTGGCGCTGGAATTGTTCTAACAAGGAAAGTACTTTTATGGGGGCTCAATTAGCTGCCCATTTTATATATCCTTGATCAGCACATTTTTTCTGATTTTTTGAGATTGTCCCGTCAAAAAGTAGGAGCCCCTATAAAAGTACTGTCCTTGTAAAAAAATTTTAGGATGCGAGCGACAGCCAAAAAAACCTAGTGAAAAAAGCAAAAAATGCACAGGGAAAGGTGCACTTTTGTTTCTGAACAATGCATGTCGCAAAAATCAATGCAGCGACTTTGCGAACGTACAAGTAATGAAACTGTTTTTGTGGTTTTGAGTGCTTCAACGTTCCTTTTGGTTTTTCGCACCTCTTCAGACGGAACTTTGCTCGAGCCCGGCTAAAAGAGAGTGCTTTTTCCGAGCACACTTCCCTTCTCCTATGATGCAATAGGAGGGGAAAATTTGTGTTTCTTTTTGTTACTTCTGGCTAAAAAATGCAAAAAATCCAGCGAATTTTCTGCAAATTTTGTGGAAATACTCTGTATGGGGCGAATATTCATTTATAGGATTCTTGGGGTGCGAAAAATTTTCTTTCAGATCCATCTCCACCTTTTCCAGGAAGATCTAAAAATGGCCAGAATCGGAGCCATTTCTGTTTTGCTTGCTTATGTTCTACTCGACCTATTATTTACAATACTTCCTTACGGATTTTATGCTCAAAACTTTGGCTTCAACTTTAACATGATGGGAAAAAATTTGAATCCAATTGAGTACGATCCGCGGACAAGTGGCTTTGACTTTCTAATTTATTACTTGCTGAGGATTATTTTCTTACTCGTTGGAATGATTATGGTGGCTTTTAAAAAGCCGCTGTTGTTATTTTCCTTTTCGCTTAATAGCGTTGCAGCGTGTTCGATTTCGTTTTCATTGGTCAAGGTGAGTGGGTTTCGATTTCACGATTGTTTTTTGTTTCAGCTACGTATACGTATGCGCATACGGATATTTTTAGCCAAAAAATCGTATCCAATAAAAAATTGGATGTACCGTATCTGCATCCAAGTATCCGAATTTTGCAAACCCCTTCGGGTATGCTTCTTTTGGAGCTATAAATTTGACCCAGTTAGCAAAAATTTATCAAAGAACTATTTAAAAAAGTTATAAAATAAATCCTTAATATTTTTTAAGTAAAAGATACCGATACCTAATTGCTGTAACTAATTTTTAACCCGTGCTTGCAAGCGCCATTGATGTAGAACGATCTTTGCCGCCGAGAGAGCACGCGAAAACGCAGAGAACGGTTAAAGAAACACTTTTTGGCCATAACTTTGCCAGTTTCGTGCGGAAAAAATTTACTTTTTGTGAAAATATTACCCTCTACGGTAGAAGGGTATGTATGACTTTTTGCCGAAATTTGGAATAAAATGTCGGGGTTTTTCCGATTTTTGATCTAAAAACCTCGGTCGTTTCTGCAAAGCACAAGCTATGATGCTTGCATATCTTTTAGAAGAAACTATTCAAAATTTATGACAAAGTTTCCGAAATCTGAGCGTCGGAATTGGGGTACTTCCCTCTTAGAAAATTTTGAAAACACACAAAAATTTAACAACTATGTATAAGATTGCTCTTGAAAATTTCAAAAAATACAAGTTTTTAAGATCCTCTGCTTCGCCGAGCGCCCCAACCAACTCGAATTCTTTGGTGTTTGGCTCTCACTATTCTGGAACATTTTTGGCTCATTTTGGTCGTTATATATCTTCAATTCTGTTGTTCTAAAACAACTTTTTAATCCGGCCAACTATGAGCGAATGGAAGAGGGGGCAGAAACGATGCTGGGAGACGCAGAAGCAGCGTCTGAGAACGCTGGTAATACCGATGAGAAGGAAGACGGGAAAGAGCCGATCACAAGGCAGTCGGTTATGGCACATGTCAAATTCTTGATGAAATACGCCGGCAAGTATTGGCAGTGGTTTTGTTTGGCTTTTATTTTCCTGCTGATTACAGCTTCTGGTAAGTTGCGTGGCAGAAAAATGAGAATATTTTATGCTAGCCGACTTGTAGGTTTATGTTCATCATAACTAGCAGGTACCCTAAGTGCGACGCTCAGATTTTGATCAAAACTTGGCACAAATTTAAAATAGTTTTTTACGAAACATGCGAGAGTCTTAGCTCGCGCTTCGCAGATATGAGCGGATTTTTTGGTGGAAGGTTGGCCAAAATGCGACACTTTTTTGCGAATTTTATCATAAAAACTTTCCTGACTATTTCTAATGTAGAGGGTAATGTCTCTGCAAAAAGTCAATTTTTTGCCCAAAACTGGCGAAGATATTGCCAAAAAAGTGTTTTTTTACGTTGTCTGCGTTTCTGCGTTTCGCGTACTCTCTCGGCGGCAAAGATCGTTCAATATCTAGGATGCGCCTGTACATAGCAAGCCAAGATTTTCAGGAATTGATATGTGGTCTATGCCCAATGCGTATGCAAATTTAAAGAAAATCGCACTTCAGGTCCATTTTTTATATGTATAAGATAAAATAGCACAGCAAACAATGTATATTACTATCCAATTGCAGCAAGATCCTTCATTCCCTACTACACTGGAAAAGTCATCGCCAACATTGTTCATAGGGACAAAGAGTCAACAGATGCTTTTTATTCGACGTTGTTTGTTATGTGCGGTCTCATTGCTGTCGCGTAAGTTGAAAGTTTTGAATTGAAAACCAAGCCTTTTTTGCCGCAAAAAATCGGAGAAGTCAGCTATTAAAATTATTTTTTTCCTTCTGACACAGTGAGCCAAAACATTGTCTTTTAACATCTAAAGTCAACCCAAAAATGACAGTGCTTTCAGCTCCGTCTTTGCCGGTCTTCGCGGAGCCGTCTTTAATTGGGCCGGAGCTCTTGTGAATCGTCGAATGCGCAAAGACCTGTTCGACTCATTGATCAGCCAGGAAATTGCGTTTTTTGATCAGCAAAAGACCGGTGCCATCTTATCCCGACTTACCACCGATTGTGAGACTGTGACCTCAATTATTCAAACAAACATGGAGTTGTTGCTGAGGAGTGTGGCGATGTTAATCGGCTTCACAATTGTTATGCTCAACGTGTCGTGGCGACTCACTGTGGTCACATTTGTGGTCATGCCGCCGTTGGCTGTGTTCACCAAACTGTATGGGACTTATTGTGATGTAGGTTGTTGGATTACATTTGGGATACTGTAGGTGTACAGTAGCATTTTCGTATTTAAAAATGAGAAGGATGTGAATAAAAAGTTTTGCTAGTCTTTCTTTAACACCCCAGTTTTTCAGAAAATAAGCGAAAATGTGCAAACAACCATGGCCAAGGCGAATCAGGCAGCTGAAGAATGCTTGGGCACAGTGCGAACAGTGAGAGCGTTTGCTTGCGAAAACAAGGAGTCCAAGCGCTTCGATGAACACCTTGTTGGGATTGTTGGGATACTTAAAGTATGTTGTCATCATCGACAAGGGAATTTCCTCTCTTTCTCACAAAATAATCTTTTCTTGGCTAACAGTGGAAGCACTCCAAGTTCGACGCTGAGATTTTGATGATACTTGGCACAAATTTAGAATAATTTTTTCTAAGATATATGCGAGAATCCTAGCTCGCGCTTTGCAAAAACAACCGAGATTTTTAGATCGAAAGTCGGCGAAAATTTAGGACTTTTTGCCGAGTTTTGGCACTAAAATTTTCATGCCTATTTCTATCGTAAAGCATAATGTTTCTACAAAAAATCAAATCTTTCCGCACGAAACTGCCAAAGTTATGGCCAAAAAGCGTTTTCCTCTCTGACCGCTCTCCACGTTTAGCGTCCTCTCTCGGCGGCAAGAATCGTTCGATATCTCGGCGGCGCTCGCAAAGCGCGAGCTAAAACTTTCAGGAATTGATATTTAGTCCATACCCGACGTGTGTGCAAAATATAAAGAAAATCTGAGCGTCGCACTTGGAATACTTCCTTTTTAAACTAAAAAAAGTTTTTTTTTAAGCATAAAGCGGTAATGTCGTTTGGTTACATAACGCTCAGCGAGATATTGGAATACCTCGTCCTTGTCGTGGTGCTTCTCTACGCCGGGCATTTGGCAATTACCGGCAACCTGACTGTGGAGCAAATCACCGCTTTCATTCTCTATCAGCTTCAATTGATTGATATCTTTTATGCAAGTGATTCCTACGGGAAACAATACAAAAAACTTTTAGAATATAGACTACGTGTTTGCCAACATGATGGGAAGTGTTGGTGCTTCACGAAAGGTGTTTGAGTATATGAATAAGCGGCCGGAAATAGCATATGACGGTACGGTTGAAAGCAAGGTTGAAGGGAACATTGAATTCGAGGATGTGTCGTTTGTTTATCCAAGTAGACCACATTCAGAGGTGTTAAAAGTAAGAAAAGATTGCTTACATATAACTTTATTCTTCAACGTGTTTCTTAAAAGTTTACTCTGTGTTTTTAGTCGATCAACCTCTCTATTAAGCCTGGAGAGACAGTTGCGCTAGTTGGTCCCTCTGGCGCTGGAAAATCATCCATTATTTCGTTACTTGAGTACTTTTACGAGACAACAAAAGGTGCCATTAAACTCGACGGCGTGAATATTCGAGAATACGCCCATCGCTTTTATCATCAACAAGTCTCGTTGGTCAGCCAAGAGCCGACACTGTATTCCGGCTCGATAAAGGAGAATATCCTGTATGGGTGTGAGGAATGGTGTACTGAAGATGACATGGTTGAAGCAGCGAAGCTAGCCAACGCACATGGCTTCATTACAGAGCTGGAGGAGGGATATGAGACAAAGTGCGGAGAGAAGGGAGTGCAGATGAGCGGTAAGTAGAGCGGTATATACAAACATATACACTCCGTTACGAAAGCATACCTACCCCATGGAAAATTGCAGTATCTAAGGTTTGGTAAGAGATATCAAAAAACTTCTAACGCCATTCGAAAGAGCACGTTTTGAAACCAATTAACACATCGAATCAGCTCGTGGAAAAATTTTTGGCCTTTTAGGCAACTATTTTAATATTTTTGGCCGTTTCAAAAGTATACCTACCCCTGACGGTTTTTTGGCCAATCTGGCTCGGGTTTTAACTAACCCGCCTCGGTTTCATTCCGTCGTGTACCCTATAGTATTAGGAAGTATATTACATTCATTTCAATTCCACTTTACCCACGTAGTGCTTTTGCGAGCCATCTCTGACCTTGTACATGAGATTAATCTTAATTTCAAAAAATTTCTTGGCTAGGCTGCTTTCTTGGCAGAAAAACTACAATACTTGTTGTGGAGGGGTATAATACCTATGAGAAGTTTTACTGTAAAGTAATAACACAAGTTTTTTCTTTCAGGCGGTCAAAAGCAACGAATAGCTATTGCGCGAGCGCTTGTGAGGAAACCGGCTGTGTTGATCCTTGATGAAGCCACGTCGGCTCTCGATTCTGAATCAGAATACATAATCCAAAAAGCACTAAATCAATGTGCCGTCGGACGCACTGTGATTGTAATTGCCCACCGTCTGAGCACCGTGGAGAAAGCTGACCGGATATTTGTCATTCAGAAAGGAGAAGTGGTTCAAGAGGGGAACCATCAAACGCTGATCAAAATTGATGGGCTTTATAAAGATCTTGTGAAGCGACAGCTCTTTGGTGGACAAGCGAAGGACGATGGAGACGTTCCAAATGCTGTAGGAGGCTTGGTGACTGAAGAAAATCATACAAAAGAAACCTCTGCCGGCTGAAAATGTGTAACGACTTTTTTATGAAGAGTTACTGTTCTTCAATGGGTGGTAGCTGAGTAAAAAAAACCTTGTTAAATTTTTTGTTTTTTGTTGGAGTTTTTAATAAAAAAATTTCTTCAAATTTTTAAACATAAATATTTAGAACAACTTCTGTATAACTTTTCATTACATTGTAACTATCGAGACCACGGATTTCCTTCTCTGTTCCCAGAAAATTTTTGTTATTTGTCGACGAAACTGGCCGACCAAAACTATCGTCGAAATCGGATTCAGCACTGGAATCCAATTAGGGAGTGTTCCCAGGATTATCCACGGAATTCTGGACTCATTCTCCATTAACAAAGCCCCGAACACCATGCTGATTGGCAAGAGGCAGCTGATAAACGGAATTATCACCTGAAACAAGCCATCTACAGCCCGGAAAGCACAGTAATCTCATTTTGTTTGAGTCCAAAGTCAGACCGAATTAGCAAGAGAGAAAATTGATTTAAAACCTACTTGCCTGTACGATCATAACTTTGTTAAGAGACGCCTGCAAGCGACGCGTTTTGGCTGACATTTTCTCAAAATTGCGTTGAAGATAAACATGAATGGAGTAGCCGAAATAGAGGGCGCCCGAGTAGCTGCCAACAACAAGAATTGGCCCGGAAATCAACAAGATTCGAAAGCCCGTGGAGTCCTAAAATTTAACTGCGAAAATTAACTTGAATAATGAGAGAGAGAGAGCGCTATACCACTTCACGAGCGACTCTGTGCTCCAACGATTACCCTGTGAATGATCGGCAGATCCAGAGGCAATCCATTCTCCCACCAGTCCGGGTGATTTGCGAATAGAGTAAGCTCGATGCCCGGATTTTCTGCCTTGGTGGTGTGGCCCGCGTAGAGAGCCAGCGAGGAGTCCCAGACCGCCCATAATGTGGCAAGGAACATGAATCGATAGATTTCAAAAGGCGACATGATGTGATGACTAAAAGAAAAAGGTTAAAGATGAGAATAGTGTTAAGTCATCATTTTTGCATTTTTGGGGGCGGTTGCTTGTTATAATGTAAATCCTCGCAGTTTCGTGAATTGTTATATTACAGATGAGAGAAAAAAGATTAATGAATATTTGAGGGCTCAGATTTGTCATCAACATGTTTTTCATGATTCAAAATCTGCCCATATTGCATTTCTTGTTGATCTCTGGCCACTCAAGCCAAATCAGCAGCATTCTTGGGAGTTTTCAAAGGTTAAACTGACGTATAATGTATAACACAGTGTTTCTAATTATTTACCCCACTTACTTGCAAACCATTTGATATCTGAAATGAAAAATCAATAAGATGGTAGTTGATGCCAACGTCAACACAACCAAATGGAAGAAACAAATCGTATGCATCGCATTTATCCCCAAGTGTCTCAGCGGCGTGTATGTGAACAAAATCGCATACCCATCCACATACTCCACCTGCTGAAGGCCAATGGAAACAAACAAAGTGAAGATCAAATCGTTGATGCATAACGTTACAATCATGCGTTGGTACGCGCGGAGAACCGGGTTGTTTTCACATTTTGTCAGATAGATTAGCAGAGTGTTTGCCATGACGGAGAGAGAAGCGGCTAGAATCCCATTGAATATATGAAAAAAGTATTCCCACATCGAAAAACCTTTGGTGAAAGTTGTAAGTTCTAAAGCAAGGTAACTTTTTATAATAAATAATAGTAGGATTTTCAATGCAAAAGGACCTGCCTAATTCCGCGGTTTAATGGAATTTGACACAAATCATAGTCTTACTTTAGGAACCGCAGAAGCGCCTTCGGTGTTTATGGCAACGTTTTTCGTGCAAAAAGAAAAAGTGATGAATTTAAACAAAAAAAAAGTTTAATTTTGTTGTACCTACTTTATGGAATTACTAATGCCTTTACAAGTCCCAACCAAACTACATATAATATGTTTCTTGGTGACTTAAAATCGAGCTGGCTGCTTGTAAATAGACGCAGCAATCGGGCCGACCCCGGTGATTGGATCGGGCCTGAGCAGATTTTCAGAAAGCTCAGGGCCGGCCTTACCGCAAAGCGCCGGAAAAAACGGCCCAATCCGACCTCCAATCCGAGAGCGGGGCCATTTTTTAACCGAATCTTTAGGTCGACTAATTCAACTTTCATGTTCATGTAAATTTTGCATCAATAATACAAATTCTTGGAGCTTTAGCTTTTTCATAGTTATAAAAATTTGACTTTCCCACGTATTATAAATTCAAGTTTTGACCTTGAAGATCGAATTATTCCACAAAAAATTCAATTGGGAAATTGAGCTCGGCCACACAGCCCCATTATAGAAATGACCTCTAATTAAACCAAAATTCAATTATTATATCATACATATTTTGCACTAAAGGTATGAGACTGGCACCATGAATTATCGGAATTATTCTCATTACGTAGAAAAAGATCGATCGATAATTCTTGTGGTGTTTTGCAAATTTGAATTTACTGAAAGGACACATTTTTCTTGACGTGAACAGGGAGGGTGGGGTTTTCCACTGATAGCGCTCCGCTAAGATAGCGGAGGAACGAAACTGTTGTTCTCAAGACCGCGTTTATCGTCTCTTAATGCTTGGTGTTTAAGAAGCAGACATTATAGAAGTTTCAAAATTTGTTATTTATATTTTTTCCGGATAGACTATTTGAAACTAACTTCATGGAGTCTTAAGCAAATTGGATATCTCCCCTTTGTTCGTGGTTTAATTGGCGGGCCCACACTTGCGAGCAACCGCGCGAGTAGCTAGAAAACCCATGAGGATTCTGCTGGCATGTTCGGAAATCAGCCAACATAAACTTACGTCAGGAAATTCAAACGATTGATTTGGCAGTTAGACGATGCGAACTATGGGGGACCTGATCCAGTGGCAAAAAACGAAACATTTTGCATCCGGGAAGGATCAAAAATGTGGCAAAATGCTTCCCTCTCCAAGTGAAAAAGCGCGCCCGCTCTTTTTGTCAGGAAAATGGATACAAAATGGTTTTTTTGTCACTCTTTTTTTTTGCCACTAGATCAGGTCACCCACTGTATCATAGGGTTAAGATTTTTACCATTTTTTGAAGAGAAACTGCCATAACTTTGAAAGCAGTGGGTGAGTTCAAACTTATCAGTACCGATGCCTGTACTTACCAGTACCAGGAAGTTGTCAATGCAAAATTTCTATCGTAGATTACGGTAAAAAATCGTAATTCTAATCACAAAATGTAGGCTGCGCGCAAACTGGTTGCCCGCAAGTGTCTCCACGCCCAAGCAAAACTTCTAACTATTTTTTTTAATAAAGGTGATCTCAAAATGGTCAGCATTGAAGCCATCTCTGCGTTGCTTACTTATGTTATCCTTGATCTATTATTTACCACTATTCCTTATGGATTTTATGTGATAAACTTTGGCTTCAATTTTGATACACTGATAAAAAATTTGGGTCCAGTTCAGTATGACCCACTGACAAGTGGCTTCGACTTTCTAATTCTTTGCTTGCTGAGGATTTTCTTCATTATTGTTGGAGCGAGTTTGGTGGGTTTCAAGAGACCGCTACAACTATTTTCTTTTACCTTTAATTGTGTTGCAGCATGTTCAATTTCGTTTTCGTTGGTTAAAGTGAGTAATGCCTTTAACTTTTTAGCAGATTGAAAAATTCAAAACACAAGTTCTTCGGTTTTTTTCTTGCAATTGGCTCGATTTTCAGTCCAAAAAATTATGGCACTGGAACTGAAAAACAAATGAAATGTTTTTACCAGCAAATTTTCCAGATTCTCTGTTTCGCCGAACACCCTAACCAATTACATTTTGTTGGTGTTTGGCTCTCTCTATCATGGAACATTATTGCCCCGTTCTGGGCGTTATATATCTTCAACACTGTTATCGTATATCGACTGTTCAACAATACTAATTACGAGCAAGTAGAAGTAGAAACTGAAGTGTTTTTGGAGAATGCTGAATTAGCATCTGATGCTGAAAATCAAAACTATGGTTTTCGCGATGAAAAAGATTGTAGACAAGAGCCTCTCACCAAGAAGTCATTAATCGCACATGTAAAATTCTTGATGAAATACGCTTTGATATACTGGCGGTGGTTTAGCATAGCGTGTGTTTTCTTGGTGCTATCGGCGGCTGGTGAGTTTTTTTTCAGCAATAATTTTGAAAATATTAGTCTGTCGGGAAAATAATGTGGAGCGACACCAAATTTCAGCTCGGTCCTTTATCCCCTACTACACTGGCAAAGTAATTGCAAACATTGTTCACATGGATAGCGAAAAACTTAATGCTTTTTACACAACATTGCTTGTAATGTGCGGTCTTATTGTTGTAACGTAAGTTCCATTTTTTCTACATTATATTTTGAGTCAACAAAAAAATCAAAATAATTTTCAGCTCCGTCTTTGCCGGTCTTCGCGGGGCCATCTTTAACTGGGCCGGCGCTCTGGTAAATCGGCAAATGCGCAAAGATCTTTTCGACTCTCTGATCCGTCAAGAAATTGCCTTTTTTGATAAACAACAGACCGGCGAAATTTTGTCCCGCCTTACGACTGATTGCGAGATTGTAACGTCCATTATTGAAACGAATATGGAGATGTTTTTGCGAGACTTTGTAAGGCTAATCATTTCTTTAATTGTTATGTTCAACGTTTCCTGGCGATTGACTGTCGTCACGTTCGTGTTCATCCCACCATTGACGTTCTTTGCGAAACTTTATGGAGATTATTGCGATGTAAGTGTTTTCCTCTTATATCAAAAGGGATCGGAAAATGTTATAGTTGGAAGCTTTAATCTTAACGAAACTTATATCATTTGAAAGAGCATTAAAAATAATCTATAACGCAAAGAAAATTAACTGCCTAATTTGCCCTAGGGCGAAGTTATGGCCGTTTTATGAAAGGGGTTACATGCGGCAAAAATGCCGGTTTTTTATATCACAGTAATCCTGGCGGCTTGATCTTCATTCGTTTCCTAATATCCCAAGTCGTCTATCACGGTCGTTTTATGGCTCATTTTGCATCCGGGAAGTATCAAAAAATGTAGCAAAATGCTTCCCTCTCCAAGTGAAAAGGATCCGTTTTGAATAGCGCGCCCTTTCCCTCACAAAACGAGCTGACGCGCCTTTCAAATCGGAGTCTTTTCCCATGTATGTAGAAGGAGGTATTTTGTTGTGTTTTTTATACTTCCTGTATGCAAAATAGTACGTCTTTTGCCATCGGATGAGGACCGCCACTGTCTTCTTGACTGCCCGTAATTTTCAGAGGATCAGCGAGAGAGTTCAAGCAGCTAAAGCAGACGCAAATCAGGCCGCTGAAGAGTGCTTGGGAACAGTGCGAACAGTCAGAGCTTTTGCCTGTGAAGCCAGGGAGTCGCAGCGTTTTGACACGCACTTGCTTGGCATTGTCAATATTCTAAAGGCAAGTTTTCATCAATCACAAAAAATACCGCTTTTTTGACGAAGCAATATTGAGTTGAAACGTTTTCAGCACAAAGCAAAAATGTCATTTGGATACATCACGCTGTCCGAGATCACCGAGTACCTTGTTCTTGTCTTGGTCCTTTTATACGCCGGTCATCTTGCATTTACCAGTAGTTTGACAATCGAGCAGATTACGGCTTTTATTTTGTATCAAATTCAAATGATTGATATCTTTTATGTAAGCTGTTACTCTTGTTAATCATTAAAAAAATTTTTTTTAGAATATGGATTACGTGTTTGCCAACATGATGAGAAGTGTTGGTGCGTCACGAAAAGTGTTTGAATATATGAATCGACAGCCGGAAATACCGTATGAGGGGATGGCTGAAGGAAAAGTCAAAGGAAACATTGAATTTGATGACGTTTCATTTTTTTATCCAACCAGACCCCATTCAGAGGTGTTGAAAGTAAGGAACAGAAAGCTTATTTTACAAAGCTTTGCAAGGTACAGTGAGGGACCTGATCCAATGGCAAAAAACGTCTCATTTTGCATCCCGGAAGGGACCAAAATGTCTCCAGACCCTTCCCTTCTCTAAGCTAGAAAACCCCGCTTTGAAAAGCGCGCCCTTTCCTTCAATAAGAGAGCGCTAGCTCCCACTGCTTCCAACAATATTAGCAATCAAAAATCGCGCGCTTTTTTCTTTTCTCGCATTCTCCTTCTCCGGGAAAAAAACAAAAAAATTCGGCAAATACAGAAAGCCAAAAGAAAGGGAGAAGCGCAAAAGGCGCGCGCTTTTTGATTGCGAATATTGTTGGAAGCAGTGGAAGCTAGCGCTCTCTTATTGAAGGAAAGGGCGCGCTTTTCAAAGCGGAGTTTTTTAGCTTAGAGAAGGGAAGGGTTTGGAGTCAGTTTGGTCCCTTCCGGGATGCAAAATGAGACGTTTTTTGCCATTGGATCAGGTCCCTCACTGTACATCCTTCTACATGCATCTCAAAAGTTCATTTCGCGTTTTTTAGTCGATCAACCTCTCTATAAAGCCTGGAGAAACAATTGCACTAGTTGGTCCTTCTGGCGCTGGAAAATCTTCCATTATTTCGTTGCTTGAGTACTTTTACGAGACAACGAAAGGTGTCATAAAACTTGACGGCGTCGATATTCGAGAATACGCCCATCGCTTTTATCATCAACAAGTCTCGTTGGTCAGTCAAGAGCCGACATTGTATTCCGGCTCGATAAAGGACAATATCCTGTATGGGTGTGAGGAATGGTGTACTGAAGATGACATGGTTGAAGCAGCGAGGCTAGCCAACGCTCATGGCTTTATTACAGAGCTGGAGGAGGGATATGAAACAAAGTGCGGAGAGAAGGGAGTGCAGATGAGCGGTAAATAAAAGCTTTATTTGCCCTGGTAAATTCTAGCCATTGCGTACACACAAATAACATGTATGCTTATTTTTGCCACTATTTTGGTTGAGTAATTGTAATTTTTTCTTCCAGGCGGTCAAAAGCAGCGAATCGCCATTGCCCGAGCTCTTGTGCGGAGACCGGCTGTCCTGATCCTTGATGAAGCCACGTCAGCGCTCGATTCTGAATCAGAATACATAATCCAAAAAGCCCTACATCAATGTGCCATTGGCCGCACTGTAATTGTAATCGCTCATCGGTTGAGTACCGTGAAGAAAGCTGATCGAATATTCGTCATCGAGAAAGGAGAAGTGGTTCAAGAGGGGAACCATCAAACACTGATGGAAACTGACGGGCTTTATAAAGATCTAGTGAAGCGGCAGCTCTATGACGTGCATGTGAAAGAAGACAGAGACGTTTCAGCAGCTGTAGGAGGTTCGGTGACTCAAGAAAACGGTATTGCATAAGGAGTGCTGCATATTCTTGTTGAATTTTTCCTTGTTTTTTTAAAATATAAATAGTTTTGGAAATAGTGTTCAACTAGACTCGTATGGTAAATGTTTAAAAAGTTGGATACTGCATTCGAAAACCGTGTTGTTGAAAGGAGTAAACTCCGGCGGATCTTCTCCATCGTTTCTGCTGAACTTGGACTTCTTGAGCAAAATTCTATGCTCACTTCCAAAACCCAGACATCACAATGTTCTTTTGGAGCATATACCGACCAACTGGACAATTGAAGGCAACTCGGAGAGCATGTGTATTCTGAAGAGTTCCATAAACTCTAGCGGCGTTGGAGGAATGACTTATAACAATACAATCCGGGGTTTCAGAGCATCAAACGCTGGTAAATGTAAGGAAAACAATTACAAATGAATCTTGAGTGAACAGAAAATCTAGTCCTCTCCTGGCGGATGCGATTCAAAGCTGTCAAGAGAAAATAGACGCAAAAAGGTGTGCTTTGGGGCTTTTATTTGACCTTTTCCTGACTTCTATTGTTCGCCAAGTTCACAATTAACATCATCGTCTCGCCTTCAACACCTAAATTCGCAGACCGTGAACAAAATTCTTGAATTTCCTTGATTTAATCGCATCTAATCACTGTAGCACACTATTTACATCACAAAGAATGTCTGACATGACGTCAAGAACAATTATTGTCAAATTAAAAATACCTAGGATGGATTTTCTAACCTATAGGATTACAATCGGCATTCTGCGCCTCCGGTGGCGAGATGCGACTCGCCCGTCACGAAACTGGCATCATCAGAGGCCAGGTAGGCTACAGCCGCCGCCATTTCTTCAGGCTGCCCCATTCGGCGGATGGCCCAGATTGACTGTTTGACTTCGACAATTTTGTGGAGTGGGTGGTTTGGGTCGTACATCTGCAAAAGTAAATCAGTAGGTCATTATTTTCCCGACAGATTGATATTATCAAAATTTGGTGTGGTCCAGTGATTTTAGCCAAAAAAGAGGCTAGAAGAAGGCTTACAGTAGGGGCCCTGATTTAGTGGTAAAAAACATGCCATTTTGCATCCGGGAAGTATCAAAAATGTGGCAAACTGCTTCCATCTCCAAGTGAAAAAACTTCGTTTTGAAGGGTGCTCCCTTTTTCCTTTACAAAAAGAACGGGCGCGCTTTTGAAATCGGATTTTTTTGCTTGAAGAGGGAGGTATTTTGCCACATTTTTTTATACCTCCTGGATGCAAAATGGTACGTTTTTTGGGACTGGTTAAGGCCCCCACTGTATTACGGGTGTTGTATAATATTTATATTTGACGATTAGCCCCAAAATGAATGCTCGAAGAATAAATCGGCCCCTTTGAACTTACAATTCTCCCCATTTTGGTCTGAATCAGTCCCGGATTCACAGTATTCACTCTAATTTTGTATGGGCCAAGTTCGTGCGCCAAGGCTTGAGTCAAACTGATCAGAGCCGTCTTCAAAACTCCATAGGCTCTTACTCCTTCAAGCGTCTTATAAGCTCCAAAAGTTGCGTTGAAGATGATTACACCGCCACTGAAATACGAAGGAATGAATAACAATCAAGATCTATCCGAGATAACCACCGGATTTCGAAAACTCACCCGTTCTGTTTCATATGTTCGGCCACGATTTTAGTCATCAAAAACGTCGCTTTGATGTTGATATCGTAAATTTTGTCGAATTGCGTGGGCGTTACTTTCAGCATGTCGCCGATGGCAGGGTTAATTCCAGCATTATTGAAGAGAATGTCGACTTTCCCAAACTTCTGCAAGGCAAAATCAAGCAGATGTCGACGGTGTTTCGGATTGCCAACATGGCACACTGTGCCCGCAATATTGTCGGGGTTAATTCCACTCTCAATCAAATGTCGAAGAGCCTGTTTTACGTTGGCTTCGTTTCGAGAGCTGATCACAACTTTGGCGCCTTCGTGAGCTAACCGATCGGCGGTAGCTAGACCAATCCTGAAAGCGAAAGTTGTGACCACTCATTCCGATATCGCTCCCAACTTTTCGGGTCGACAACAGTTTGGGTCAACAGAAAATCGACAGATACCGACCGTAGGGCAGGTGGATACCCAAAAAAAGGCTTTTGGATGGTCGGTTGACGCTCGGTGAAGGCTCAGCGGAGACTGGTAATATGTCCACTTTTTCTAATTTTAACTATTCATTGCTACGTTAGCTTTCTTTACCTTGAGTTGTTGTAACATATAAAAGATCAAAATTTGCGGCAAAAACCAAGAATTGAAACTTTTATCTAGATGTTATTGATGTGAGCACATGTAAAATACCTCAAAATAGGTGATACGGTATCCCAGACCCGATCAATCGTATTATTTCCCACTTCGCGGACAAAATTTGGGGGGTCACACTTGCGGGCAGCTGAAACATTGCGGGCAGCCTGGGATATTTGCGGGCAACCGACACTGCGGGCAGCCGACATTTGCGGGCAACGGGCACCTGATGGTAACAGGGTGGAGGTGGAATGACTACTGCGATATTTTGGAAATTTGCCGACATTTGCGGGCAGCCGACACTTGCGGGCAACCGAAAAAAGACAAGCACGCAGATTGTATTGGAACTTTTGGAACTGTTTCCCGCAAATGTCGGCTGCCCGCAAGTATCGGCTGCACGCAAATGTCCCAAGCTGCCCGCAAACGCCGGTGGGCCGCAAATGTCGGCTGTCCGCAAAGTGGTTGCCCGAAAAATGGTTGCCCGCAAGTGTGCGCCCGCCACTAAGCCTTGTCCTAGCCTCCCCCATGTATACAACGACACACCGCCTCGATCCGTAGTATCGTTGACCCGAACTGTCGCTGTGCCGAAAAGTTGTAGCGCCTCCGATACATCTTACCCTTCGGTTGAAGCTGTTAGCAACGCAACCTTTCCTTCGAATCTCCGACAATCGTACTTGTGGTTCAATGTGTTAAATGCCATAGCGTTGAAACAAACTAAGAGAAGAATTCAAATGAAACGTTCGAGCTCAGGGGCTAAAAAAGTAACTGGTGGTTTCATTGAACCCTGATTTATAAAAAAATGTTTCTACTTTCACGACGCATTCAAGTGAAAATAAGCTGTTTAAGTGACCAAACATGAATAGATACGTTCTATATCTGCGCCTGCAAAACGCGAGCTAAAACTTTTAGGAAATGATATGTGGCCTATTCCCGAAGTTGATGCAAAATTTGAAGAAATTATCAGCGGCTCACTTTGAAGCCTTCCCCAATAAACGTAGAGCGACTGTACCGTTTTTAGCCAACTTTTTTTGCGACCATTATATCACCGCACAAAAGTTTACAAAAAAACGATTGGAGAAATGTTTCAAAAGAGAGAAGAGACTGTTTTGAAGCTGATATAAGAATGATAACGGTAATCGTGGAAAAAATTTATTTGTTTCTCCGGGGTTCTTAAATATAATCGCTAAAAGTGAAAAAGTCAAGGACGTTGACGATCGCATGACAATGTGGGTAATGTTTCAATCAGCAAAAATTGAGCTCGGTTTAGAGCAGGGGGTTGTGTAATACCGAAAAATTACTATAAAAAGCTCGACAAGGTCGAAAACCTGCTTTAAACGGAGTCTTGTAATTTCCTAGCATAAAATCCCGAGGAATATGTGTCATGCCAAAAAGAAGAGCTGGGTTGAAAGAGGGACATTTGGGGCAACCACTTTGCGGGCAGCCGAAATTTGCCTATTAGAATTACGATTTTCCACTTGTAATCTTCGTAGTATGATAGAAATTTTGCATTGACATTTCCCTGGTACTGATAAGTTTGAATTCATCAATGGCCTTCAAATTCATGGGAGTTTGTTTTCAAAAATTGGTAAAAATGTCTGTTTGACTTTATGGTAACTATTCAAGCCACTTATACGCTAGGAAACTTAACCCGCAACATCTAACTGCCAAATCCATTGCTTGAATTTCATGCTGTTGGGAAATGTTGGCTGATTTCCAAACATGCCTGCAGAATCTCCGTGGTTCTTGTAGCTGCCCGCAAAGTGGTTACCCATAAGTATGGACCGGCCAAAAGATGCCTGAACATGTTACCCTGACTTTAAAAACGCTTGTAATAGACACAGGCTTCATTCACGAGTGATTGCAACTAAGGCCACCCAAACGGCCACAAACAAGGCAAATGTGTACCAATTTTTTTACGATATATGTATATTCTCTACGGACTGTTTTTGAGAAACTAACAAGATAAAATACCCACAAATTCTACAGCTCTGACGAAAAGCATTTCGGATATCAATTTTATGAAACATCCACTCTGTAAACCATCAAATCACAACGAGCTGGTGTTTGAGCATTTGATTGGGATTCCTCAATGGAAACAATTTTCCGTTGATAATTTGATTAGCTAAAGTTGCTTTAGAAACTGTCACGTCCGACTTGCTCATTGGTAGCATCAAAGGTGTAGTCGAAAAAGGATTTTTTTTTGCAAAAAGATGACAAAGACCGAAGGTTCAATTAGCTCCTAGAATATTTTCCTACCCAACTTCTCCCATATCAAACAAATATCAGGATACGTAAGTTGTAGTACACCTTTCTCCGAACACGACACCAAGCCACTGCTGAACTGGGAAAGCCCCGAAAAACAACGATTTTTTTGTGCCTCAAGGCATATTTATTGATTTCCTTGATTTATCGACAATTTTCAAAAAAAATATAGAGTGCAAAAATACATAATTAAAGAAGAACAGCTCCAGTTACAGTCGACATTCAGCTCCACCGGTGGCCAGATGCGATTCGCCAGTGACAAAGCTGGCATCATTCGATGCCAAGTAGGCCACAACTGCCGCAATTTCTTCTGGCTGTCCAAGACGTTTGAGGCACCAAATTGGTTCTTCAATTTTCACGAGCTTATTCCTAGGGTTGGTGGGGTCAAACATCTGAAAAAAATTTGGTAAAATACGGCATAACGGAGTTTAACATTGGGATATGAGGCAAAGAAAAAAGCTAAAGCAAAAAGTAATGTATTCTGTTTAAAAGTGGGAGGCGTTTTAGAGCAGTACAAGTATAAGAAATGGTCCTTCTCTCCCTGCAATTTATATTTTTACTATGCTAACCCCTTCATGACTAGAAACATGACAAACTTGCCCATATATGCGACCTTTGTGATGACTGGATCTGTTCTATATATATTGTAAATATAAACTAAACTCACTACTCTCCCCATTCTTGTCTCAATTAACCCCGGCCCGACTGTGTTGACTCTGATGTTGAATGGGCCAAGCTCATGTGCCAATGCTTGCGTGATTGAAATCAATGCGGTCTTCAGTAGTCCATAGGCTCTAACTCCTTTTAGTGGCTGATAAGCTCCAAATGTTGCATTGAAAATTATGACTCCACCTCTGAAAACAAAAATGCTTACAAAAGCATCAACGATACCTCTACATAAAATTAGATGTAATAACAAATCCCTTCTTACCCATTCTGTTTCATATGCTCAGCCACAATTTTGCTCATCAGGAACGTAGCTTTGACATTTACATCGTATATTTTGTCAAATTGCGAAGTTGTCACATCCAGAATACCACCAACAGCAGGGTTAATTCCGGCATTGTTAAAAAGCACGTCAACTTTTCCGAACTTCTTTATAGCAAAGTCCAGGAGATGCCGCCGATGCTGTGGGTTGCCAACGTGGCACACTGTGCCGGCAACGTTGGCAGGGTTAATTCCACTGTCAATGAGATCCTGAATGGCTCGTTTTACGTTCTCTTCGTTGCGAGAACTGATCACAACTTTGGCTCCTTCGTGAGCGAGACGGTCGGCAGTGGCTAGGCCAATCCTGGAATTGAATGATGATGATCAAAATGGGAGTTTTATACAGCGGCGACATGTATGTACTATAAAGGTTTCGATGGGCAAGAATCAAGGGCATAGCCAAATGTCCTGTGAGATTGAATAGGAAAGGTCACTATGTAAAAAATCCTAGTGACCCAAATAATAGGTTACCTTGGCCCCCTCCCATACCATTTTTTTCTTCTACTCCCCTTCTTCTCCTCCCCACCCTAAAGCTACGCCTCTGGCTATAATAATTCGTATACATAGCTACATGTAAAGGGCTTGTGGTGGAAGCCTCACCTTTCCTTACTTATTGACAACCTGACTGTCCAGAGGACCCAGAGACATTTTTACAGGCGAGCGGACATAAGAGTGAAGAAATAAGATCGCACGGCGCACAGCATTCCGAACTTTTTTCGTCGCCGATCGGTGTCCAAAAAAATGAAAAATTAAAAAGTGCACATTACATTTTCATGTGTGTAAGGGTAGCCAGAAGAGATACCGGCAAAAACAAAAACTCTTTATGTAGAGTAATCAATTTCCTTTCAGAGTATGTAAGTTTTGTCTTCAGGTTGTCCGCTACCTTTGAGAAAATCGTCACTAAAAAATGGAAATTTCGATTTTGAATGCCAAAAAAATGTACTTTCTTGGGGCCACCAAAAAAGATGTTGGAGTCTATCGTAAAGAGAATTTCAAGGGCTACAACATATTAAACTTTCAAGATTTTTGTGGGGGTTTGAGTCAAGTTAGAGTGAAAAAACCCCTAATTTTGCACTTTTTCTTGTTTTGTTTGCACTTTTAGTGCAAAAATAAAAAACCATCCGTGGGCGATGGAATCTGTGTGTCATGTCGGATATGCATGCCAAATTTGAAGCTTCGCCGACGCTCCGGAGTCGCTGAATATCCGTTTAAATACGAAACCTTAGAGTACTATTTCTATTGTTTGAAGTCGCTTTATCTGCTCCAAGATCCCTTTTGATCAAAAATATATTGTCTGTATACAGTGTATAACAACTTCTTATTATTTACTCACGATATATTTTTTTTCATTTCGAAAATTTAATTTGGCAGATAATCCTTCACAGAGCCAATTTTTTGTTGCAACAACCAATTAAATTAACCGCCAAGCTGAGTTAGACTTTTGCAATTAAGTCGTTATGCAGTTGTTATACACTGTATACAGACAATATATTTTTGATCAAAAGGGATCTTGGAGCAGATAAAGCGACTTCAAACAATAGAAATAGTACTCTAAGGTTTCGGATTTAAACGGATATTCAGCGACTCCGGAGCGTCGGCGAAGCTTCAAATTTGGCATGCATATCCGACATGACACACAGATTCCATCGCCCACGGATGGTTTTTTATTTTTGCACTAAAAGTGCAAACAAAACAAGAAAAAGTGCAAAATCAGGGGTTTTTTCACTCTAACTTGACTCAAACCCCCATAAAAATCTTGAAAGTTTAATATGTTGTAGCCCTTGAAATTCTCTTTACGATAGACTCCAACATCTTTTTTGGTGGCCCCAAGAAAGTACATTTTTTTGGCATTCAAAATCGAAATTTCCATTTTTTTAGTGACGATTTTCTCAAAGGTAGCGGACAACCTGAAGACAAAACTTACATACTCTGAAAGGAAATTGATTACTCTACATAAAGAGTTTTTGTTTTTGCCGGTATCTCTTCTGGCTACCCTTACACACATGAAAATGTAATGTGCACTTTTTAATTTTTTATTTTTTTGGACACCGATCGGCGACGAAAAAAGTTCGGAATGCTGTGCCGCGGTGCACCGGTCATTCGAAGCAAAACGTTAAAAACGCTTTCCTCACTTTTTCTTAAAAAAATAGAATGGAAAAAATGAGGCTGACATGAGAAAAAAGCTCGAAAAGCAAATTTAGCGTATTTTTCAAAATCTCAAAATCGGCCTTATTTCTTCGTTCTTACATGCAAGAACTGTAACGGCTAGAATCTTGTAACTATCATAGACATGGTTTTCGAGCATCCCCGATTTTTGCCCACGGTCCAGAATCATTGCTCTCCGTTACAATTCCTATACAATTTACAATTTCTTTTTCTGTTGAAGGACTCAATTTATACGTCTTTGAAAACATTGCTTTTACGTCAAATCGCATGCATCCTACCCGCAAAGTGTCATCTAGGCCAGAGAAAATAAAGCAACATAGCTCACCCTTCCGTCGACGCCGTCAACAACGCAACCTTGCCCTCAAATCTCCGACAGTTGTACTTCAATTTAGCATCCGTCATCGTCCAGCAGAACCTCTAGAATAACCTCGACAGAGACCGTCAAATGTTTCTTAAATACCCTTTTACAGTGTTTATATAAAAGTCAATTAAAGGGTTCGAGTCTCGGGGTTTTAATAGCATTAGTGAACCCTGCTATCGAAACAACTCGGTTGTAATGCATTGAGGTGTGTGATAACATATCACATTCAATTTGGGTGTTCCAGTTCCGCACCGCTTTCGAACAACATGATCCCCAATTACAACGCCACAGTTGACCCAATGAGATTGCATTTCTCATGTTTCAGCGGGATTGATGAAACGTTACACTAATTCGACAAGACAGGTTAATTGGCTTAACGCGAAAAATGTCGGCGAATCAGTCTTGGAGTACGAAAAGTCGAGTGGGAAAGTTGATTTTGTAGCGTGAACAAAAGCTTTCTGAAAATGTTGTTTTCCCTGAACCCGCTGACTCTTGAATTGGGATTAGGAGAAGCTTCTGTAGACACAGCCTACTGATTACACAAAACGACTTTCGAGAAAACTTTCTGTGAAAAACTGCGAAGATTCTAGGGAGCTTCTCTCCGACTGTTTTGGAACAACTTTACGAAAACATAAAGCGATCAAAGACGAGTTGCTCAAGCATCGCTAAAGTTGTAGGAAGACTAAGAATATTAAACCGTCAAAAAGTGAAAGGACCACCTTTTAAAGTTTGAATAAACAAGTCCTTTCTGTTTACAACGATGGACCTGATTAAGTGGAAATCAATGTACCATTAGGTATCCGGGAAGTATCAAAAAAGCAGCAAAATGCTCCCTCTCGAACTAAAAAAACTCCGCTTTGAAGGCTACGTGCAATTTACCTCACAAAAACGCCGGCTCACTTTGAAATCGAAGTCTTATCTCTTCATTTGGAGGGGGAGGTATTTGCTGCATTTTTAATAATTTCCAGATGCAAAGTATATTTTTTTGCCACTGGATCAGGGTCCGCCACTTTAGCCTTCCTTACCGCCCGATATTTTCAGAGGATCAGCGAGAGTATTCAAACAGCTAAATCGGATGCAAATCAGGCCGCTGAAGGCTACGTGCCATTTCTCTCACAGAAAACGCGGGCTCACTTTGAAATTGGAGTCTTATCTCTTCATTTGGAGGGGGAGGTATTTGCTGCATTTTTGATGCTTCCCAAAGTATATTTTTTTGCCAGTGGATAAGGTCCGCCTCTGTAGATCGCAAAATTTTGAAATAAAAAGCAGAGTCTTTTGACTCTTTTCTGTACCGGCATGATACAAAGGAGTACCTGATCCAGTGGCAAAAAAACGTACCATTTTGCATCCGGGAAGTATCAAAAATGTGGCAACATGCTTCCCTCTCCAAGTGAAAAAACTTCGTTTTGAAGGGCGCGCCTGTTTCCTCACGAAAAGAGCCGACGCACATCAAACTGAGATAAGCTAAAACAGTCCGGTGAATGGATCGGCAATTTGCCAAAAAAAGACGCGAAAAAACGTTTTGTCGGGGAAGAAATGGGGAATTTTTGGGGCGAGAGAGTACGTTTTTGCGTGCCTTTTTTTCTCTCTTTCTCTGCGAAATCAGGACGAAGTGTAAAAAACCGATAGCGAAGAGTCTATTCCGGTCACCGGACTCCTCAGCTTGACGTGCGACGCGCTTCTGAAATCTGACTTTTTTTCACTTGGAGAGGGAGGTATTTTGCCACATTTTCTTGAAACTTCCTGGATGCAAAATGGTACGTTTTTTCCCCACTGGATCAAGTCACCCACTGCACATTTTCAAACTGATAAAGAGTTCAAGGTTTCTTTTCAATACTATGCAGCCTCGTGTGTCTTCAACCAAACTTTGAAATGCTTGTTTCCGGTCTTCCGTTGAATTTAACGTAAGCAAGCATCTCTCACGCCATATTAGGTTAATTTAGGGACTTGCGCGCTCTATCCATTTTCCAGTCATTGACAATTCGCACAGACTATATTTAAGTCATATAAACGTTGAGTCAACAGTTAACTACGCTTCGTACCACCTATCTTACAGTCTACTGGAATCTCAACTGACTGCCCTCCGAACCAATTCGAAAACAAAGTTTTATTACACAATTCCGACAGCAGCTGATTAAAAAAACAAAAAGGAATTGCAAATCACGTTTTCACCAAAATATTCAGATTCAAATCATCAGACAAATAGCCAAGCATACATGTTGCGTTTTCTTTACAATCTAGCATCAGTTCCTCCACTAACAAGATGGCTTTCGCCGGTTACAAAAGCTGCATCATCTGAAGCAAAATAAGCCACAGCAGCGGCGATATCCCTTGGCTGTCCAAGGCGGCTCAACCAACGCGTAGGTCCCTTAGACTCCACTAACTTGTAACGTGGATTGTTTTTGTCGAACAACTGGAAAAGCGATTACAAAGAAAATTATAAAATTAAACGATAAATCAGCCAAATAAACTTACAATGCTTCCCATTCGAGTCTCGATAACGCCTGGAGCCACTGTGTTCACTCGTATGTTGTATGGAGCCAGTTCATGGGCCAATGCAGGAGTCAACGCGAGCAATGCCGTCTTCAACAGGCAGTAGGGGAGAATGCCCATTTTGGTCCTGTAGGCGCCGACGGTTGCGTTGAGGATTATTACGCCGCCACTAAAAACGCGTGACGTACTATGCGGACAACTTTCTTGCTTCAGCGGGGGACCTGACCCAGTGGCAAAAAACGTACCATTTTGCATCCGGGAAGTATCAAAAATGTGACAAAATGTTTCCCTCTCCGAGTGAAAAAAACTCGAATTTCAAAAGTGCGCCCGCTCTTTTATGTAGTGAGGAAAAAGATGAGCCCTTCAAAAAAAAATTTTTTTTACTTGGGGAGGGAAGCATTTTGCCACTTTTTTGATGCTTCCCGAATGCAAAATAGTACGTTTTTTGCCACTGGATCAGAGCCGTCACCGTAGTCTTCTTTTATTTTTTTTATTTTGGGGTTCTAGTCTCTAAAGGAAAAATTCTAATCTCTTTTAAGATTTGGCAACTTCCTGGCCGAACGCTAACACCAAAAAGTGATTCAACAGTATAGAGATTAATTTTAACCTTTGCCTAAAATTGACTCTTAGAATATCAGAAATCGTTCGTTGCAGGCAGATATTGTTTCATGGGAGTTTGTTGTAGACGCTATACTCTATTTACAAAATTTACGTGATGATACTGCATCAATTATTATATCAACAGACTTTTGGCATCTTTCTTACTCACCCATTCCGTTTCATATGTTCAGCGACAAGTCGGCTCATCAAAAACGTCGCTTTTATATTTACATCCATCATTTTGTCGTATTGTGACATTTGAACATCCAAAATATCGCCAACTGACGGATTGATCCCGGCATTATTGAACAAAATATCAATCTTTCCAAACTTCTGCACAGCAAAGTCGAGCAGATGCTGACGATGTGCTGGGTTGCCTACATGGCAGACTGTACCAGCCACATTTTCTGAAGGGATTCCGCTATCAATTAGTTGTTGAAGAGCTTTCTTAACGTTGGCTTCGTTTCTGGAGCTGATCACAACTTTAGCTCCTTCGTGCGCTAGGCGTTCAGCAGTGGCATAACCAATTCTGCAATGTTGTAAAAGTGTCATTTTAATGTTAAAACTAACAAGGAAGTGTTACGCAATTGCCAAATTGCAATCAAGATTTGAGTTGTACACTTCCAGCAGTTGAATATTGAAAAAATTAAAAATTTTTTTAAGAAACCATAGATTTAGGATGACCTTCTATGGCTCGGATTTCGACAGATTTTTTTCAATCAACCGTTTTCCCGCTTTCTGTGGAAATTAATAAAAAGATACCCTTCCGTCGATGCCGTCAACAATGCCACTTTTCTTTCCAATCTCCGACAGTTGTACTTTGAATTCGCCATAAGTTAGCGACCGAATTTTATCTGGAAAATCAAACTTCATTATACGAATTTCATAAAAATCCAGATTTATTTAGCGGTTTTTGAGGTCATTGAACGCGATTGTAGGTTGCAAAAAGTATCCCTGATGTTTGTTCATTGATAAGAGCTAACTTTACTGCGCAAAATTCACTGCAAAATGTTATTCACGTGGGAAAAAGACGTGAGAAGAGATCGAATGAAATGTGTTTTATAGCAGTCGGAAAACCTTATGCTTCCCAAAAATAATATTTATATTCTATTGTTGATCAATCAGGGGTTAATTCCTCGAGGCGCGTTATCTAGACGGGAAAAAGCAGAGAGATGGAACTCAATTTTCAGTGGTAAGGCTTTGAATCTTTTTGGATAAAATACAGGGTGCGCCAATAAAATCTGGACAAAACTAAATTCCATATAGCCTTTTTCGGATGGCCTGAGAACGGAAACTTTTAACACTTTTAGAAAGGGTAACAACCGTGCTATACAGCAACAGTAATGACCAGGTCGATGCCTATTGCAAGACTGAAAAAATAATCAAAACTTTTTGGAGGTGCAGAAATTTTTTTTCCAGATGATGACTGGGATATTAATTCTTCCATTATTTCTGCTAATAGTCACTGACGTTCTTCAAATTTATTGTATATAAAGTACGTGCTGTTGTCTTTGTAACAGCCTACGGAACCAGGGTTGGTGGCCGATCTGGCGGCGCTGGTGTCGGACACAAAAAAATACCCAAAAATTTGGATTTTTGTGTTTTTAAGGATCTCAACGCCAGATTATGGCTCGTGTCGCTCCAAAATTCCGTGATTACAGAGCGTATACATAGCCAATTATTATGGTGTAAAAGAAAATCCGCACATACAAGGGGACCGTTTTTGCATAAATAAAAGTTCATGGGGGGAATTCAAGGCACGGTCATTCGGAACTTGAAACGTTTTGGCAGTTTGCAACAAGTATGAAAGGCCTTGAGCGTAAAAATCAACATAGAGTTGTATACTGGATAAATGCTGATGTAGCCAAATCACTTTTAGAAATATCTAGTCCAAGCTCACTCGAATAGCGAGGATATAGTAAATTATGCACCTACAGCCACTATTTCATCCCCAGAGGCAGCAGATAGAAAAATCCTTTTTGAAAGGCGACTAGGCTGACTCTGGTTATCCTTGCAAAAGTAGTTCTGGTGCTTAATAAGTTTGGAATCACACAGGGAAACTTCTACATAAAAATCTTTGATTTAACGGAAGTTTTCGGGAAAAAGGGCCCGTTTTTAAGCCAACTTTGGCGAGCTGTAAAAAGCCTAATTGTCATAATGAGGCAAAATCAATTTCAGTGCATAAAAACCAACCGGAGCTCTATCAGAAAAAGTAAATTTCAGTCCATAGCATAAAACGGTAAAGATAGCGCAATCATTTTTTGACCAATTTGGGGTCCGTGTTTCAGGCGCCTTAGTTGTAAGCACTTATAATGGCAAAACAAGTGTCGTAGACGATTATTTTGTCTGAAACTTTAAAGATAGCTTCTTGGACGTATTACACGTATCCACAATCGCCCACTTTGTTCTCGTACTGTTACAGCCTGCAGGGCAAGCAAAAACATTAGTCCAGATTTTATTGGCGCACCCTGTATAAATTTTTGTGATCAATTTGAAATTACAAGGGAAGTACTCAACAAGCCACCTTCAAACATTTTGTAAACGTCACAAAACTTAGGGTAATTTTTTCTATACCAAGTGCGACGCTCAGATTTTGATGAAACCTGGCACAGATTTAGAGTAATTTTTTCTAAAATATATGCGAGAATCCTAGCTCGCGTTTTGCAAAAACAACCGACACTTTTAGATCGAAAGTCGGCCAAAATTTAGGACTTTTTGCCGAATTTCGGCACGAAAAGTTTCACACCTATTTCTATCGTAAAGGCTACTGTTTCCACAAAAAAACAATCCCAAAGTTATGGCCAGAAAGTGTTTTTTCTCTGCCCGCTCTCCGCGTTAGGCGTACTCTCTCCGCAGAAAAAATAGTTTAATGTCTGGGTGGCACTTGCAAAGCGCGAGCTAAAACTTTCAGGAATTGATATCTGGTTGATGCCCGAAGTGTGTGCAAAATTTGAAGAAAATTTGAGCGTCGCACTTGGGGTACTTCCCGTGTATACAAAAAAAACATCTCCCCGCAAAAATCTTTGGATATATCAGCTGTCAGTGCAAAGCTCGAGCTAAATCAGGAAAGAAGAGCCTTCGAGACCTATAGATTCATCAATATTGGAAATGATTTCTCTACCTCCCTGTCGTAAAAAGTATGCGACTGTATTGGTCACAACTCCGGAACACATCCCTTTTATACCCTACAAATTTCCAGTAAGCCATAAACAGAAGACCACTTCGAAGAATACGCAATTTGTAGCACCATATTTCTGCACACAACGACGTTTTAAGAACAATATCTATCACTTTATCATAACATTAAATGTTTTTGTTAAGGAAACAAGGAGCACGCATCGAACGAAGAGGAGCAAAAACCTTTCAGAAGTTCAACTGAGCTTGTTTTTATTAATAATTTCTGGCTTATGACTTTCTTTCGGAAGCTGAAAGGGAAGAAATTGCGGGAATTTTTTTTATTGATTGTAAGCTGCTTGATATTTTAGTTAAAACAACACCAGCCAAAACGATTTCCCACCATTCTTCATCACAATTTTCATAGTGTAATATACATGAAACAAATAATCAAGCACCTCTGGTATGTTTTCTTTACAATCTACAATCAGTTCCGCCGGTAACAAGATGATTTTCGCCAGTTACAAATTTGGCGTCATCTGAAACCAAATAGGCCACAGAAGCAGCGATGTCGCTCGGCTGCCCGCGGCGATTCAACCACCAGAAAATTCCGTTAGACTCCACCAACTTGTAACGGGGATTGTTTTTGTCGAACATCTGGAAAGACGATTGTTAGGAGTGTTAAAAAATAAAACGATGAATAAGCCAAATAAACTTACAATGCTCCCCATTCTAGTCTCGATTGCGCCTGGAGCCACTGTGTTCACTCGTATGTTGTATGGAGCCAGTTCATGGGCCAATGCAGGAGTCAACGCAAGCAATGCCGATTTCAACATGCTATAGGTGAGAATGCCCCTTTTGGCCGAGAAAGCGCCAACAGTTGCGTTGAAGATTATGACGCCGCCACTAAAAAAATCATCCGAAAAATACATAAAAAGGAAAGGGCGAAAAAGAATCAGCATCCCGACTACAGTGGGGGACCTGACCCATTGGCAAAAAACGTACCATTTTGCATCCGGGAAGCATCAAAAATGTGGCAAAATGCTTCCCTCTCCAAGTGAAAAACTTTTTTTAAAGGAAATTCCCCCACAAAAAGAGCGGACACGCTTTTGAAGTCTGATTTTTTTCATTTGGAGAAGGAAGCATTTTGCCACATTTTAAATACTTCCCGGATGCCAAATGGTACGTTTTTTCGCCACTGGATCAGGTCTCCCACTGTAGATGTCTTGCAAAAGTTGCAAATATAAGTACAATCAAAAAACTGTGTATTTACATGTAAAATCGCAAAAAGTAATCCAGTATACATAGATGATTTCCTTATGGATTCGTTATAAATTGACTTGCTGCATGGAAACTGGAAATTCGTTATAGAGGTTCCGCTATGTTTACAAACTTCACCCACGTACTGGGCATCTTTCTTACTTACCCATTCCGTTTCATATGTTCAGCAACAAGCCGGCTCATCAAAAACGTTGCTTTTATATTAACATCCATTAATTTGTCGTACTGTGACGTTGTCACATCCAAAATTTCACCAACTGCCGGATTGATCCCGGCATTATTGAACAAAATATCAATCTTTCCAAATTTTTGCAAAGCAAAGTCGACCAGATGTTGACGATGTGCTGGGTTGCCTGCATGACAGACTGTACCAGAAACATTTTCTGAGGGGATTCCGCTATCAATTAGTTGTTGAAGAGCTTTCTTTACGTTGGTTTCGTTTCTGGAGCTGATCACAACTTTAGCTCCTTCGTGAGCTAAGCGTTCAGCGGTGGCGTAACCAATTCTGTAATGTTGCGAAAGTGTTATAATGACTAAAAATGGAAGTGTCCCAGGTGCTACCCTCGTATTTTCTTTCGATTCTTCCCACATAATGGGTGGTAGACTCGAATCAATTTCCGAAAGTTTCAGCTCGCGCTTTGCAGAAGCAGCCGAGATATTCAGTGGTATTTTCCGCCGAGAGGATACATAGAATTCGCATAATTTTAGTCCAAATATGTGCCAAGTTCGCTCAAAATCAGAGCGTCACACTTCAAGCACTTCCCAATGGAATATTGAAGACTTTTATGAGACTATAGATTTTGGCTGATCTTCAAGATGGCCTATTAAATACAATGGCGGACCTGATCCAGCGGCAAAAAACGTACCATTTTGTATCCGTGAAGTGTCAAAAAATGTAGCAAAATGCCTCCCTCTCCAAGTGAAAAAAACCCAATTTCAAAGGCTCGTACGCTCTTTTTGTGAGGGAAATAGTGCGCCCTTCAAAACCGAGTTTTTTCGCTTGAAAAGGGAGGCATTTTCCTACATTTTTTCATACTTCTGGGATGCAAAATAGCAAGTTTTTTGCCACTGGACCAGGTCCCTCACTGTAGATTTCGACTTATTTTTAAAAAAAGCTATGATCGTCCGTTTTGCCCTCTCAAGTCTAAGCTATCGGTCTGTCGGGAAAATAACGGCGGATCGTCGCGCCTCGGAATCGCGCATCATCGCGCTGCGACTGCAAGCCGCGGCTTGGGATTTGGAGCGCGATAGCGGCGAGGCGAGACATTTTGCTGCGACCATCCGCCGTTATTTTTCCGACCGTCTGATAGTAAAAACATACCCTTCCGTTGACGCCGTCAGCAACGCCACTTTTCCCTCCAATCTCCGACTGTTATACTTTGAATAAGCCATAAATGAGCTACCGAATTTTATCTGAAAATCAAAATTCGTAGAACGAAATTCAGCAAAGACCTCCCTTATTTAAACAGTTTTTGAGGTCAATGAACGCAAATGTAAAAAGCAAAAACATCCCACATCGCGAAGTTCATTGATCACAGTTCTCTTTACTGCGCAAAATTCACTGCAACATGGTGCTCACGCGGAAAGAAACGCGCGAATAGGTCGAATGAAATGTGTTTTATAGCAGTCGGAAAAGATCATGCTTCCCAAAAATAATAAATTTTTCTTGATACATCGAGAGTCAGTTTCTCGAGACGCTTATCTAACCGGGAAAAAGCCGACAGGAGGAAAATTGACTTTTCAGCAGTAAAACATTGGATTTTTTGGATAAAAACATAAATATTTGCAGTTGTATGACAGTTTGAACTTAGACAAGACATGACTGATATGATTGCAGATAAAAACACGTTTTTAAAACCTCCAAAGAGCCTTGGAAAGTTCTAGATTCATCAATATTGAACAATGATTTCTATACCCCGTATCGTATGCAAGTTGTGACCAATTACATTACATTGGTCACAACTTGGGAAAACATCCCTTTTATACCCTACGAATTTTCGGTAAGCCGTAAATACCAGACCAGTTCGAAGAATACGCAAGTTGTAGCACCACCTTTCTGAACACAACGACGCTTTGAGAGAAATATATTATCGTAGCAATAAATGTTTGTTTCTGATAAGGAAACAAGGAGCACGCACCGAACGGAGGAGAGGTCAAACATCTTTTAGAAGCGATACTAAGCTTCTCTTTAAATAAATTCTGGCTTATGACTTGTCTCGGAAGTTGAGAAGGAAGAAACTGCGGGAAAATAACTCTCAACTGTCAGGGGCGGCACTTATGGCAGCGCTCAGATTTTCTTTAAATTTTGCAGACACGTCGGTCATGAACTAAATATCAATTCCTGAAAGTTTTAGCTCGCGCTTTGCAAGCGCCGCCGAGATAATGAACGATCTTTCCCCGAGAGAATACGCTAAACGAGGAGAGCGGTCAGAGAGAAAACCACTTTTGGACCATAACTTTACTATTTCTGTGCGGAAAAAATTGATTTTTTGTGGAAACATACCCTCTATGGTAGAAATAGGCATGGAACTTTTCGTGCCGAAATTCGACAAAAAGTGTCAAATTTTCGCCGACTTTTGATCAAAAATCTCGGTTGTTTCTGCAAAGCGCAAGCTAGGATTCTCGCATAAATTTTAAAAAGGGTAAATCTTTTTCGCATAGAAATAAAAATGCAAGCGCTGCACAAAAAGAAGTTCAATTTCATCTACAGTGTGGATACAGCCCAAAAAAATTACAATTTTGTTTCCAGGAGGGAATGAAAATCCCACAAAACACCTCCCTTCTCTGACCAAAAGAGCACTGTTTTGGGGAGACCGCCCTTTCTTTGAGGAAGACAGCACACACGAAATGCATCCCAATACCAATTCAAAGCGATTTTGCGAAATTAATATTCCCTCCAGGAAGCAAACTCGTGCAGATTTTTTATAACTGGATCACGCTCGCTACTTTACATCAAAAAGGTAAATCTGAAGACAGCTCGAAAGGTCCTCTGATTGTGAGGCAGAAACAGAAATCACGTCAAAATTGGCATGCACTGTGCACAATCCGTAAAAAAATCTCTGCGAAAGAGGCCACTCAACACTCATCTCCAGTGCACTGTGCAAATTCAACCAAAATTTTCAATTTCTGCGCGGAAATTCGTTCCCTTTCCGACCTGCGATAAGATTCCAACCGCACTGTGCAAAATCTGCCGGGATCCAGAGAGAACGAAGGAAACAAAGAGGGCGCAGAGTGGATTCCCATGGAATCGCGACAAACGCGTTGCAACGCACAGTGCAGAAATTGTCGCCGAACGAAATGACATTTTCGACAGATTTCCAATATTTGTCGAAATGCGATTATTGATTTTTTTGAAAACCACCGGATTTCCCGCCAACGAAGTAAGTCGATGTTGCCTCGAATTGTCGATCTACTTTGTGGAATATTGGGTGTCCAAATTTTTACCGACTAGATTTAAAATTTCGGGGTTACTTACTCTTGTTATTTTATATCGGTAAATATTATATTATCCATGGACGACCCTTGCGAAGAGACGAAAACTCCGCCTGAACTTCGGGACAACTCTGAAGTTGAGGTAAGGATTTTATGATTTTTTATTGTTTGTAGATTTTAGGTAACAATTGGGCGATTGTTTGAGTTTTTATCGGTTCTCTGACTGATGTTATACTATCCATAAGACCTGTTTCTTCAGCTCATTCTCGACTAGATTGCTTTAGCATTGACAGTGTAGTCACAGGGGTGTCGGTTCTGGGATTCGCTGGAAAAATTTTTATTTTTTATATGTTTATTACCTAAAATTACCTTCTCCATGAAATTGCTATGCCTAATGCGGAATTTTTCAGTCTAAATGTGATCTCGGCCAGGAGTTTGGCAACCTGTCGACAAATTGTGACACGGACAGCGAGATAGACGTTGGAGAACCCCCTGTAGCCGGTTTTTACGAAGTTTTTGATAACATCGAGAGGTTCAACGACGTGCAGGTTCGCCGGTCTGAAAGACCACGAAAGAAAAAGGTGTTTGATGACACTGTTACCAGTTTCTCTGATTCAGACTCTGATGTTGATCTCAAAGATTTTGCGGAGAAGTTGAAGACAGATGTGCGAGTTTTTGATCGGTCCAATGGAAAAAGACAGTCAGCTACGAGAACGAGGAGAATCACAGTAATTTTTGACGTTTTTCTTTTGAATTCTTAGGTCAAAACTGGGGAAGTGGTGCGACATTTCTGCTAAATGTTGCAGTTTTGATTGCAAACCTGCAGAATCTTACCTGGCGACCTTATTTTAGACATCACAGCTCTTTCGAGTGGAAGATCCGGAAGCTCCTGAAGACCCGGAGCTCACCCAGTTTCTTCGCACCGGGACCTTCAAAACGGTTGCAGAACAAACATCGAGAGAACAATTCGACGCCAAACGAATCGATGAGAAGAAATTTGAACGAACGGTGGACAGCATTATCAAGAAGTCATGGTTCGAAGATGATGTCAAGGCGGGGATAAAAAATGCAGTCGACGCCATATTATGTCACGGGATGACTCAAAAAAGAGCTGTTCGGCAGTTCAAACTGCAGTGGATGGACTTGGATTCAATCTTGACCAGGATTTACGAGAAGTTCGGATTTGACGAATCCGGATTCAAAGTGAAGAAAATTAGGTAATACCTGGATTCAGAGGGCTATTATTACGGCTTTTAAGGTGCATTGACTAAAGTTTCGAAATGAAAAAATAAAAAAATATTTTTTAGTGAATTTACATTATTTTAGGTATAATGTTATCGAAACTAAGGGTATTTTTGTTGTGAAATTTTGTTTTTCGTACCAATTTTTTTTCTATTGAGCGTTGAAGCCCTAATTCAACTATTTTTGGTTTCAGTTTCCCCAAATTTCAACCAGAAATAAGAAATTCTGATGAAAAAGACGACGAGTTCGCTCCTCCGGAGTCTCAAGATTTTGAGTCGTCTGAGGATGAGCAAGTCAGTGGATCCGATGGAATTGAAGTTCTCTCCAGATCAGCGGAACTACAGATGTTCGGAAGGGAGGACGAGTCGGATAAATCGAAAAGAACTAGCAACAATTTTGCAATCCTTGGAAAACACGCCAACGGTCGGAAGTATGCTCGTTATGGGATTTATATCCCGAGTCATTGGAAGAAATACAAGGATGGTGGGTCTTTTATTATTTTTTTGTTGCATTTTAGGGCCGGCTCGAGATAATTTTGCCAATTTTTCAGCAATGAAGGCTGGAATTTGTCGATCTTTGGAGTTCCACAATTATCGTAGCCAAAGCATGCTGCAAAAGCGCGTCGGAGTGGCTGATAAGTACCTGGCAATTGAGGACGTACTTGTTAATGGTGGTAGTGTCAAACGCAACGCCATGAAATATAATGTAAGCTTCATTTTGCAGAATTGTGTTGGAGTGTGTTTAGTGTAATATCATACGGTAAAATTCGGTGTTGAAGGGTCGGATGTATCTGAAAGTCTCAATATGGCATTAAATCGGTGTGTCAGTGTTATTCAGCCGATTGAGATGCGTTATTTTAGATATCAAAATTATTTTTCTGAACTTCTTACCTAAAATAAGGTCAGGGGTTATAAAATTACGCAATTTTAGACGTAACCACTTTTAAAATCGATGGCTTTAAACCAAAAAATTGTTATCACGATTCATTGCATTTGCAATCCTTTAGATCAACTACTCGACCCTCCAAAACTTCTCCCATCGAGCCATCTACGTCATCTCCAAAGTCCTCGGTGAAACCAAAGTCTTGCCCGAAACCGTATCGCGGCGAGAAGAGGATCAGCCATGGGACGTAATCTTCCGTGAGATGGTGTCGGAGGCGCCGGCTTGCTGTGTTCGAGTCATTTTCAAACGCCGGAAGTAATCGAATCATCTCAAGGTTCTCAGTCTTTGTAAATCTCTCAGTTTTTATATTGTCGGACATCCGTACATCATTTTGTTGTAGCTTTATCAATGCTGTTTGCTTTTCAAAAGGAATTATATCGGGTTTCTCCTAAATTTTGCCAGGTTAATAAATTTTTTAATTAATACATTTTAAAATTTTTTTAATTTTAATGGTAGAATCTCTGGTTTTATTTAATTTTTTTGCCGTAGCGACTGCAATTATTGGTTATAATTTTACCTGTCAACATTTTTTCAAATTGGTATGATTTTGTCTCATGTGGAATTGATCTTGTCAGATTAATTTTTTTATTTCTGGCTGCAAGTTTGCCCTGCAAAGCACCGGATAAAATTTTTCAAGCTCTGGCCGTCGGACTTGTCCCGTAATTAATTTCCCGCCCACGCATTCTATTTTCGTCCGCCCGTCTTCTGATTTTGTATTCATCCACAGTCGCATGTGTGAAAGACAAAATCACATCCTACATTCGGCATTACACTACATTAATTGTCGACCAGCAATTTCCCTACCAAAATTATTTCATAGTACAATATAATTATCGCTTGCGTTCTCTAACTCCATTTCATCGGCATAGAAACCCACATTTCGTTACTTTCGAAGCTCCTGATATTGGCTTTAGGTGTAAATATTTTGCGTTTTTGTGCCAAATTGGCTCCATATTTATATTAGGTTATACCCGATTATTTTTATTACTTCATAAATTCAAAAAAGAGCCTCCATGTTTTCCTTGAAGGCGTCATTTGTAGTCGACGGTTCATGTCACTACGACTTGCAGCTAATCGTATTTCCCCGTTTCTCGTCGTCATTGTAGACGGGAGGTAGGGCAGTCAAATGCAGGCCGGACAAATTAATTTTCTGTCTAGTATTTTGTCATTTCCATGTCAGGTTCAATGAAACCTCAGCTTTAAATAATGATTTTACGTAGGCTCATTATCAGAGGTAGAGAACGATGTCCTTTTATTTACCTAAATTCCAACAGGACTTTTACACTTCCGCCTTGTTTGTCCTTTGAGATGAAAGCTTGTGATGCCGGCCGCAACCCATTATCTTCCTCCTCGCTCATTACTGTTCGTGGGCAAAACTATACCTATTGTTGTGGTTGGTCCGCAAAGTCGCTGGAGTGATTTTGGCGACATGCACTTCGCGATAGCAAAATTTTTCTTTGCACCGCGGTGCACCGTGCCGGAGTTGGAGAAAAAAGACGGTTGGGGAAAAGGACGAATGGGAAAAAGTACGATTGGGGAAACCGAAAAGTATTATTTTTCTTCGATGCAAGTGTCGAAATTAGGATAATCGAGGGTGCTGATTTCGAAAATGACATTCATTTTTTTTGATATGTACTTTTTTCCATAAGTAGTACTGTAAAGAAATAATTTTTTGAGTTTTTATCAAAATACTCGGTTTGGTGGGTTTCGATCTTGCTGATATCGTGAATCTTATTCATTTTTTCTGATTTGAAAGCAGCACCATCGAAAACCCCCAAATCGAGTATTCAAGAAAAAAACTCAAAAAATGACTATATTACAGTATTACTTAAGGAAAAAAGTAAATATCTAAAAAAATTAATGTCATTTTCGAAATCCGCACCCTCGATTATCCCAATTTCGACACTTGCATCGAGGAAAAATAATACTTTTCGGTTTCCTCAATCGTCTTTTTCCCCAATCGTCCCAGTTGCGCATCATGAAGTAGGCCTTGTGTGGCGTCGCACGGTCCAAAAGCCAAAAAGCAGAGGTGCTGTAAAATAGACGTTTTATTTTAGCCCGTTTCTTGTTTTTTCTTATTCTCAAAATTATGTAGTTTTTTTGCAACGACAAGCGCCGGCTTGATTGCCTATTAATAGTAGTGCCTGTTTTGCAATTACCCAATCATTGGGCACGTGTGGGCCACCGCTGGGATGGCAAAGGCGCTTAATAAGCATATTGTTGTATTCCATATTCTGTAATCTTTGATGATCGATTTAAACGTACAACATGTTGTACGTGTACGTACGAATATCCTTTATATTTATCATTGGATGGTAATTATCCAGTTCAAAGTAGTTTTCAGAAAGGGTAGTAGCTTAGATGATACCATCATAACACGATATGTAATTTTGCTGTTCTACCGTCAAAAATAATTGATTTTATGCACAACACTTCAAAACACAAGAGGTTTTGCAAAATTGTAGGGGTGTTTTCAAAGCCGAAAATTTTCATTATCACCCGTTGATGGAGGTGTTGAAAAACAGGCCAGCGCGGTGCAAACCTCAGTTCTGTTTTTTTTTTATCTTGCTACATACGTACAATTTCCTGATACAGTCAGCCTGTTACAGGAACAGCCATCCGTTCCGACTTAAAATTGGGCCCATTGCACGTCAATCCAGCGCATTTCCTGAACCGTTTCGAAACTTGGTATCGTTTTCATTGATTTTAAAGAGAGACGAACTGTCGCGAAATTATCGGCACTTTTTCTCGCCCGAAATAATTGTTTTTCCTCGAAAAGAAAGAAGAAAGATAAGAAAATGCTTTTTATCGGATAGTGACATTTCGTTTTGAACGAATCACCAAAAAGGGGCGGGAAATTTTTTGTTCTAAATATTTCGGGTTGACTTGCATTGGGAAATTTTGCGTGAAGATTTGTTTTTCTAGCGAAGTAATTCTCTTTTCTTTGGCCAAAAAGTGTCGTCGACTTTTGTTGTACTTTCGCCAAGCAATATCATAACACTTACTCATGCTGCCGATCACATTATTTATGCACGTAACAACCTTGCACCGTCATTTCTTTAAATGCCTGTTCACCACGCACCCTGTAATGGGACCGTCAACAGTGCATTAAATATGAGTCGTAAATTGGCAGCCCCCAATTAACCCGTAGGGCCCCGAGGAAACGCGGTAAAGTGTAAAATTTAATTTACTCAAAAAAAATTGTGTATGAAGGTCCTTGGTAGGGAGTGTTGGGAGTCCCGTTCTTGGGCCTTTACCCCAATTGTTGCAGGACGGTAGTGTCTGGTTGTATAGACATTTTGAGATATTTTTGGGGGTTTCCTCGCACCTGTCCTTTTCATTGTGTTTTTCTTTGACCTTGTGGGGCTGAAATCAGCTGTAACCGTATTTACAGGGAAGGTTCTCTAATCGAAAGCTGGGAAAAAATGACCATTTTTTTGCGACTTTGGCTTGAAAAGTTTCATGCCTATATGATACATTTTGATATACATAATGTACAATTTCTACTAGACCTTCCGGAAAGCCATACAAAACTGTGCAATTGCGATACTTCCCTTGTTTGTATTTTCTGAAAAATGCTGTCTTTATTTATAGCAAAATATTTACAGAATTTTAATCTAAAGTTACAAAAAGTATACCAAAATTTGTTCTTCGCCTTCTTGTTTCTCGCTTTAAATATTCACATTTAAGGAATATTAATATTTAATAATTGGGAATATTAAGCACTTTAGCACGTTTTATTTGTTTTTATTCAGGAGACAGTGATTCACGTGTTATTTTTTATCAGCAGCTATGCCAAAGGTCGCCAATTTGGAGACTTTAAATCCGTATCTAAAAAATCATCATTTTTTTCATTTTACCATGGCTTTTCGACGTGTGTAACTTGTATGGTGAAACCGGAAATGTTATTGTTTTTTCAAGGCCATTACAAATCAGAAATGCATATTTATTTTGATACAAGATATTTCGCGCTTTCTTTATACAAAATACTGCTTCATGGCTGGCCGAATTTGTAGTTTTTCGATAGTAGTCACTCCAAATTTTACAATCCATCTCCGTTCTCCATTTATTTGTTTCTTTCGGCACGAGTAGGCATTCAACTCGCACCAATTATTACATTTCACAAGCCCATGCGACTTTTTTGCCGACAAATCAACCGGCATTTATTATAAGATACAAGTTATTACACTGCTAGTTTAAAAATTACACTTTTTTTTATACCCAGCGCGAACTTGAAGTTGTCTCGTCCACGTTATACATATGTTGATTGAACGTTTCGCATTTGAAAGGTTTCGACTTTCTACCTTGAGGCTATGACTTTCTGGGGTTCCTACAAAGCGCGATCTAAAAATCTCGGAATTAACTAAGGCCTTATCTAAATCTTTGCCAGCCTTACGTCACTTTTATACACTTTCTCTGTCGTAATAACGCAACTAAAGGTCAAAAAACAGAATTCAATTTTATAATGCATATTTCATATATTTTCAATCTTTGGAAAATATTTTGTATCTTACTTTTAGCCCTTTGTGATCAGCGTCGCAAAATATAATATTATACAACTCATCGTGCCATCCGTCACAATAAATGTTTTGTCGAGAAACAAATTCTTTTCTTAACAATTTTTGCTTTCCAAATATTGGGTGTTTACTTTGTTTCGAATTGTAATTATGAGCTTACGACTTTCTAAGCAGTGTTTGTTTCAGAAAATAAATATAATGTAGAAGCTGCTTGTTCTCGGAACCTCGCCGACTTAATAAATTGTGTTTAGAGAGATTGTCATAAAACATAAGGAGAAAAGTTCTGTTTCATACCTCGAACTCATAAAAAAAACTGTCCGTAAATTTACATAGCCTGTTTCATACAGTGGGGGACCTGATCCAGTGGCAAAAGACGTACCATTTTGCATCCGGGAGGTATCAAAAATGTGGCAAAATGCTTCCCTCTCCAAGTGAAAAAACTCCGATTTCAAAAGCGCGCCCGTTCTTTTTGTGAGGGAAAGGGCTCGGCCTTCAAAACGGAGTTTTTTCACTTGGAGAGGGAAGCATTTTGCCACATTTTTGATACCTCCCGGATGCAAAATGGCACGTTTTTTGCCACTGGATCAGGTCATCCACTGCACATTTTTAAACTGAAAAAGAGTTCAAGGTTCTTCTTCCCTCACTGTAGAAAGCTGGAATGCCCAGAAAGAAGTGCTTGAATTTTTTTGTTCTTTAATTTGTTTTTATAGGTTTAGAAGAGACACACCTGAAAAATTTCCTCCATAGCATTTGTAGTAAGAGAAATTAGAAATGTCCGCCGTGCTTCTACAAGGGCTGATTTTTCCGTAGGACACTACAACCACTTTGCTCTCTATTTACGGTTTTGGAAACGAAATTTCTATAAAATTTCATGGTCTACATTGTGACAGGAACGAAAGGGAAAAATTGTGGTGGCATTTTACGTGCGCACAAATAATTATTTTGTATTTGCCATTTTTCCCGACTTTGTTTTTGTGACAGGTGACAAAAACTTTTTTTGACGTTTCCAAACCTGTAAAAACCTCAAAAAAAAATAATAAAATATCTGTTCTAGTTTGAGCGGAAGGCTTTTCTGGCATTTCATTTGAACTTTTTGGTCACAAATACTTTGCTGAGCACAATAGTGAAGTCTGCCCTGTAATCATCATCTATTTCACGTCCATACCTCACACACTTTTCGCATTTTTTACTGGGTTTTTCTTTCATTTACAGCCTTCATTTTATTCCCTCTAATGAACCTCTCTTCAACTCTCAATTCGCCCTTTTTATTGCAAGAAAATATGGCATTATTGTCGCAACAAAAAAGGCCAATCTTCGATCGGCATCAAGTGCTGCGAGGGTCGCGTTTTGCCCGATATTTCATCCAATGTCATCCTTTTTTGTACGCCGTTTTTTCAGGCAAATAACATACCGTCACGCTATTAATTACGGGGCTCTCGGAAAAGTTGCCAAGTCCCGAGGATTCCCGAAGTTCGAAGCCTTCGAATGCGGCCGAATAAATAGCGGCACATTTATTTATTGGGCACTATGCGATAAACAGTCGACGAGAGCTCGATTTCCCGAAGCTCACACGCTGCAAAGGGCACGAGGAGGATGGGAAATTGCCAGTTGAGCGGCAATCAGCCCGATAAGCGGGCTGATTTGATGGCCGTGGACGCCGTGCCAAGCAAAGACGTAAGTTCAATTAAGAGATAGCGGAGCCTCATTTCCTGTCTTGTGGAAACAAGAAATGAGTTTTGGTGGGGGTGGATGAGGGAGGTGGGATTTTTGGTTGGTGAGGAAAACTGTTCTACTCACAAACGTCTTGGCAGAGGGATATTTTGATGTCAAACCGTTTTATGGAGACGCAAAAGACTTGTTTCTTTAATGGGCGTCTTCAATTTGAAAATAGGATGGCTAAACTTATCTAGTTTTTTTCAGGGGTGGCCACCCGGGCCCGTTTCGGCCCGTCTTACTTATCCCGAACTTTTTTCTGAGTAACCGAATGGCTTTGAAACTTCGGCTAGCCCTAGGTTTAGAAGGGTGCTGACCCTTCAAAATGTTATTAGATTTTTGATATCTCTTCTCCAAAACGAGATATCGCAATTGCGGGAAAAGTAAGACGGGCCGAAACGGGCCCGGATGGCCACCCCTGGTTTTCTTTTTGCTAAATGTTTATCATAAATCGAGATTTTTTATGTCTCAGAGGTACACTGGGTGTGAAACCACAAACGGAAAGTCCGGATTACATATTCCGATCTGCCATAAATTCTGCATACCTGCTCTCTTTGGGCTGCACATCTATATATGATGACAAGTTTTTTTTATGCTTTAGACATCAACAGCTAAAAAGATGAATTTTTTTTCAATTTACCCTCTAAAAACGTCAGTGTTTTCTGCAAGGTTTGAACTAAGAGTCTTGCAGTTTTTAGAAAGCATTATTCTAAAATTTTGCCGATTTTTTTTCAAAATCTTCGAAATTGAGTATTTCCTCTGCCGGTTAACTTTTATCTCTAAGAAGTTTACCTGCTGTCCACTCATTTCCTGTCTTGAAGTTCAACTAATCGATGGAGCTGTGTGAAAATTTTTGTCTACTCGGAATTCGTTTATCTTTTGATAAAGGTTTCAAACACGCGGAGAATTGAGTTAAGGTTAGAGTTTTTAGCTTCCTTTCCCATTTTTTTATTTACAGTAGACTCCGCGGACCTCCGTCTAAATTGGTCTACGATCGTCAGACAAAAAAAAAGATTGTAGTCTTTTGTGGTAGTGTAGGGCGTTTTTTGCAGAAATTGCAATTGTCAAACGCGATGGACTTTGGCATTTATGTATTATACATGGAGTCCAATACCTTGATATTTCGTTTGTTTCTATGTAATACAATTTGTAAAGGAGTTACCGTCGAGATGCGGAGAAATGTTGGGTAATCGTTTTCTATGTGAAATAATTTTTCCTTTGTGTTTTGCAGAAACCGTTAAAGAAATTTACAAAGAAAAGGCTCTAATTCTTTTTTTTATCGACTACCTGTCCTCGTTGCTGTCTGCAAAGAGCGCTGAATATATCAATTTAAGTGCCACTGATAGGTCCAAACTTTACTTACCGGTGGTTTGAACTCTTTTTTATTGACATGCCCTTTGCATCTATCTGTTATGCAACTGTTCAACCAGTGCCCAATTAAACATCCCCCCTCCCTGCAAATCATTCTATTTTTATCGATTTCGACCTCAAAATTACCACTTTAGTAGCTGCCAATTAGTTCGAAACGATGGTCTTTCTAATTACCAGTCCCCCGTAACTCTATTCTTTCACCGTGCAATTAGTCGATAAATGTCGCTTCAGTTCGTACACTTCTTTGGCATTTTGTCGGCTAAAATGCAAAGGCCTTCCGACCCAAATAAGATCAACCCGTTTGTAATGACTTGAATTTGGGGTTCACCTCAAATCTAATTGTTTTGGGAACACTTCATCTAATTACCTTTGAGGACCAGTTGTTCAATGCATTAATGTTGTTGGAGGATTAGTTAGCTACTAGTTTAGGGATCAAGTTTCGGCATAAAAATGAGATTTTTTAAAAGTTTATTGGTGAACTTCCAGACATCTTTTTACAATGATTTCTAATCCTTTTACATGGATTTCTAATCTCTCATTTTCTCTTCAAAAGTTTCACCGAAAATAATTAGCCAATCTGCCCCAACGACTGGCGGAATCCTGTCCAATAATCGGAAAAGAATCTCGAGGCGTCCCCTCGCCGGTTATAATGAAATGACGCAAATTGCCCCACAAAGTTTGGCCCAAATTAACTTTGTTTGGGGGCACGCCTCGGGCGCGGCCTTAAAAATATGTTGTTGCTCCTCTCTCTACGGTAATTCGAAAATTCTGAGCGAACGCGTGTCGCAGGTGGAACTGCGGAATGTCATTTCGAACCATGTGGAAGTCCAAGAAGAAAACTGTAAGAAGTGGTTTAGATACGGAGCTTATATAGTCGGTAATGCGTGTAGACTGCGGTTCTGGAGTTGGTGGAAGGATGTGTGTCTTTGACAGGCTTGAAAAGGACTGGGATTGGAGAGGATATTAAAATTTGTTATTTGTCTTAGCGTCTATATGAAAAAAATTGGTTTTTAAGCGATTTGTCCAAAAAATGCTTCCTGTTTGTTCACACTCCCATTTTTAGTTGCGTTCAGCGGTGGCGCGGACCTCATCCATCGCTCAAGCGGTGACGCCCATGTCCACCATGAATGTAGAGAATCCCACGCGCTACGTGGACGCCAAGTCTCCAAATCCCGAGCTTTACGTGAAGGCTGCCGAAATCAGCAAAAAAATTGATGACCAACTGGTGAAGGATCACATGGCCATGGAAAAAGTGATCAAGTTGTTGTTGCTGGGTAAGGATTTGAGGTGTTTTGTTGTCGTTGGCGCTAAATTCTTTCATCATGAACTTTTTTTTATTTTTTCTTGTTATGTCAGCTTTCAAAATTAAAAGAAAAACGTTTTTTTTTGATTTTTCAAAATTTCTAATCACCAACTTTCCAGGTCCCTCCGAATCCGGCAAATCCACGGTGCTAAAGCAGATGCGAATAATCCATTGCAACGGTTTTTCCACGGAAGAATTATGGGCTCGTCGCCCTCTAATCTTCCTCAATGTCCTTCAATCAATTGCCCAGCTGATTCATGGAATCGAAAAACTCGGGATGATCCTGCCAAAGGAGCTGCAACGAGATGCGGATTTGATTTTTCAAGCTTTGACTGATGAGAAGAACATTGAAAATCAAATCCCCAAAAATGTTTACTTTGCCATCAAGCGGTTGTGGGCGGAGGAAACGATTCAAAAAGCGTATGAAAGGAGGAATGAGTATCATGTTATTGACTGTGCTAAATAGTAAGCGGTTTTGAAATTTTTTAAAAATATTTCTTTTTCTTCAATTTTTTTTTTTATTTTTAATTTAAACTTCGGTATTTTTGAGTTAAAAAAACATTTTTAAAATTGCTAGAATCTACCGTACATTATTCGTATCTTGTTTTCTCCACTTTTAATTTTCCAATAAATTTTGTGACATTTCGTCATAGTCATAAATTTCATTTGTCATGATTTTTTTTCAACATCTAAAGTTTTGATTCAAGTTTCCTCGACGACATTGACCGACTCCAAAGCTCGAGTTACGTGCCCACAGTGAGCGACGTTCTTTACGCACGGCAGGAGACGATTGGCGTGTCCGAGATACGATACTCGTACAAGGAAATGGAATTTAGGTGCGTTCAAATTTTCAACACGCTATTTTTAACGGTTTTCTAAAAAAAGAGTTTCCGTAAAAATTTTTAGATCTGGAAAAAACGCGTAAATTAAAAATTTGTTTAGGATATTCGACGTTGGTGGTCAGAAAACGGAACGAAGGAAATGGATTCATCTCTTCGACAACGTGAACGCCATCTTTTTCATTGCCGCCATTTCGGAGTACGATCAGAAAATGAGGGAGGACACGGAAACGGTAAGCTTGACAAATGGGCTGTGAGAAATTGGCAAAGAGAATTATCAGCGGAGCTCTGATTTTGACGGATTTGAGAAACAAAATAGTTTTCATAAGGTACATATGAGATTGATAGCTCACACTTTGCAAAAAAATCCTCATTAACGATGCCACAAATTTTTTTCCAAGCAAAATAACAAAGACATGGAAAAAAGAAAAGTTTTTCTCTCTGACCGCTCTCTGCATTTTGCACACTCACTGCAAAATTTAGAGCAAAGATCGTTGAAATCTACGCCAGCGAAAATGCAACTAAAATTTTAGAGATTTTATACATCTATACAGGGGGGACCTGATCGAGCGGCAAAAAACGTTCCATTTTGCATTCAGGAAGCATCAAAAATATGGCAAAACACCTCCTGTTCAAGTGAAAAACTCCGATTTCAAAAGCGCGTCCTTTGTAAGGAAAGTTTTTTTGCGAGGGAACTTCAAAAACCCTTCAAAACGAAGTTTTTTCACTTGGAGAGGGAAGCATTTTACCACATTTTTGATACTTCCCGGATGCAAAATGGTGCGTTTTTTGCCACCGGAGAAGGCCCCCACTGTATATTACAATCTTTGCAGAACCGACTCCACGATGCCATAGAATTGTTCAAGAACATTGGGAATAACCCAATCTTCGCCCGGGTTCAACTCATCCTCTTCCTCAACAAGCAAGACTTATTTGCGGAAAAGATCAACAAAATCCCATTGTCCATGTGCTTTCCAACCTACCAGTGTAAGCTCAAACAGTTTTCACAGTCTTCAAAGTTAATTTTCATTTCGAAAAAACAAGATTTTCTTTGCAAAACGCTATTCTTACTTTGTTTACAGTAAAAATTGCGTTAAAAGTGTAGTGTTATTAATGTTTTTTGTAATTTTGATAACGTTTCAGTGTTCTGCGAACGACTCAAAGCCCTGAGGCCACAAGAATATGATGGTAAGTCATATTTTGAATCTAAGCTTTGATTAGATAACAAGTCTTTGGTCCTCCGTTACATAGTATAAGATTGTATTTTGTTACCGGAATTTAAAAAAAAAAATATAACTTTTCAGACAAAAACGAATTCAAAAAAGCGGCCTTATACATAACACGCAAGTTCGAGAAGCAGATCAACGACAAGCAGAAGATGATCTACACCCATTTGACCTGCGCCACCGACACATCGCATCTCAGCTTCCTGATGAACAGTATAATCGACTACATTATTTCCGAGAACTTCAAACAAACCGGTGTGCTGTAAATTATTGTATATTTGCTTTTACGAAAAAAATTTCTTACTATGTTTGTATTGCGCAAAGTTGCCAGCTATAAACGAGTTTCCCTCTATTTTTATTAAGTCATCATTTTCCACCCACTCGGCCCAGTGGGCCGAATACTAAGCGCGAGTCGCGTTCGATGCTCGCCGTTTTTTTGGTGAGTTTCAGACGTTTCCCACGCAAACTGAGAAGGACTTCAAAGCAGAAGACCAGCGTGGAAGCGGCGCAGAGGCCAAGCCAAACGTACATCAGACCGCGGTAGGGACGTTGGGCTGAAAATAGCGGGTGTTTATAGGGCAGTAAAATGGCAGAAGATTCGGTTTTATTCAGCCAGTCTCTCAGAATACCAAACCCGCGTGAAATATTATAAAACCTATCTGAAATGAACGATACTCAAGGTCCCAGGAAATTCTTACGTTAGGGAAAAATGAATCTGCATATTCCAAAACCATTACACGGTGGGGGACCTGATCCAGTGGCAAAAAATGTACCATTTTTCATCCAGGAAGCATCAAAAAATGTGGCAAAATACCTCCCTCTCCAAGTGAAAAAACTCAGATTTCAAAAGCGCGCCTGCTCTTTTTGTGGGGAAAAACGGCGCGCTCTTCAAAAAGAAGTTCTTTCACTTGGGAGAGGGAAGCATTTTGCCACATTTTCGATACTTCCCAGATGCAAAATGGTACGCTTTTTGACACCGGATCACGTCTTCCATGTATAACGATCAAATTTGTTTGATGCTATCCGCTTCCTTCCTACCGTGCGAAACTTACTATCCGGACGCCGTCTTCCGCACTGCGCCCTTCCTTTGGTCAACTGCCCCCTGTATTTGTTGTAGACCAACGCGATCGCCGGCACTTTCTTCCGTATGAAAGCATTCAGGTCCTGAACCAGGCGATCCGGTCGATTTTGCCGTAGGAGAAATCGTCGGTCGATACTTTCAATCGCCGTATTAATCTTTTCCAAATTACACAATTCGAGGACTTTTTGGAAAGATTGAGTGTCATCAGGCAACAGAGCAACGCCATCACCGTCGTTCAGGTGCTGATAACTCTGGTTTATTGTGACTCGACGGGTTGGATTGCCTGGAAGAGGATGATATTAGGACGAGCTTAAACTTCCAGAAGTCGATACAAAGCTACGGAAAGAGAGATATGCCGAATTTGATGAGAATTGTAAAAAACAAGCTCACGTTGCAGTGTATTTCGAATATCCTTGAACGGGAAAACATTGCTCGACTCAATCTCCTCGAAAAACCAGTCGACCGTGCCCGTATACTCTATCAAATACTTTTGGCCACTAGACAATTTGTTGATCAAGTCCTGGTATGAGGTGATTGTCCCATCAGTATCCGCCGAAAGCCGATTCGACACTATCCATGTCGAATATAGACCGAGCAAAATTGGAGTGTTGATAAATGAGAACATTAGACGATTGAAATTGACTGCCCGAGAACGTTTATTGCCTTTGGTCGACTGACCAAGCTGTAGGGCAAGCGCTGACCAGACAGACTGAAAAAAGCCAACTTGAGGTTAATTTGAACCTTCAGGGGGCTGAATTGAGTCTTCGGACCAGATCATGTGGCAAAAACACCATCCAAACGCATCTGAGATGCAATGAAATACCTCCCTTTGCATCCATCTCTGACCGAAAACGGCTGTCTGAGAAACACTATCCTCGGTAAGCGAAGGGATGCAAATACAGTGAGGGACCTGATCCAGTGGCAAAAAACGTATCATTTTGCATCCGGGAAGTATCAAAAATGTGACAAAATGCCTCGATCTCCAACTAAAAAAACCACGTTTTGCGCGCACTTTCCCTCACAAAAAGAGTGGGCCCGCTTTTGAAATCGGAGTTTTTCACTTGGAGAAGAAGGTATTTCGCTTCATTTATGATACTTCCGGATGCAAAATGGTACGTTTTTGGCCAATGCATCAGGTCCACCACTGTAGAGGCAATTCATTGAATCCGGGATGCATTTTGACATCTTTTTGCCACACAGTCCTATCAATAGTTGCTTACATCAACCGCAGCGTTATACGGAGATCGGCGCTGAACATCGAACAGCATCGAATGAGTAAAGTAAAAAGCCACTTGGAGAAAGATAATCGAACCCAATGCGAGGACAACATCCCTCCCGTAGATCGTAAAGAAAGAGAAGGTGGACTCTGTGTCGCCAAACGACTTTCGATGTATTGGGTATATCGGAGACTAAACATAAACTGGAATAATAGAAAGTTCTGTGGCAATTACATTGTATAGAACATCCGAGAAGTCGTATTGTTTTAGTCTGATGGCAGTCTTCATAAATCCGTAAGCAATAGTATCAATAGTTCCATTTCTAAGTAGTTCGAATGCCATTCGCCAGTCGCCGTTTTCCTAGAAATATTCGAAAGCGCCTATACAGTGGGGTACCTGATCCAATGGCAAAAAATATACCATTTTGCATCCGGGAAGTATCAAAAATGTGGCAAAATACCTCCCACTACAATAAGAAAAACTCCGTTTTGAAATGCGCGCCCTTTCCCTCACAAAAAGAGCGGGCGCGCTTTTGAAATCGGGTTTTTTCACTTGGAGAGGCAAGTATTTTGCCACATTTTTGATGCTTCCCGGATGCAAAATGGTCCGTTTTTTACCACTAAATCAGGTCCCCCACTGTAATTAAAATACGATTGATTTGAGCGAGAAAGAAAAACAACTATGGCAAGGCTTCCTACATTTACAAGAACATCCAATTCCGCATTAACATAAGGCCGTATCTGGTAGTGAGAATAGCTGGCGAACATTTGAATATACTGGAATACCGATCATTTTCTACGCTGTTTGCCTACCTCAACAAAAAGCCCAGGCCATGGGCATTTTCTCAACACCTGATGCTCTGGGCAGTGTTCGTTTACTGCCGGAAATGTCTTGGGATAGTAAACGGTAATCACTTTATTGGACTTCATAGAAATACAGGCTTTATCCAAAGAATACGACGATGAATATCTCATGGATATCAAGGATATTGAAGGAATTAAAAATTTATGCGGGATTGTCGAAAAAAAACCCAGACAACGCAAGACAAAGACTTGAATTTTGGTTCCCACGGTGTGACGGAAAGACAAACTAACCTAAAAATAAAAAGCGTTTGATGATGATTCCTAGTATTGAACAGAAATAAATCCGTTGATCTTACAAAATAAGGGCACAAATTATTGCTGATTTTGATAAAATTTCTTATTGCGCATTCCTAGACTGTTTTACGAAAAATTTCTCCCAAAAATAGGTGTCTGCGTATTATATGAGCTTGCAAATTAGACGACAATGAACCACAATTAACAATGTCGCAACTGTTCAAACATGGCTTAATAAATACGTCAGTTCGAACATGCAGGCCTATTCCTTTCACCCTGGCCTATATGGATGTGGTCTCCAACTGCCATCTATTTCTCTTGCTTTCTACTTACATTAACCGTAAGTTTAAAAATCATCTTTTTCTTTATCCAATTTAGGAGACAATTGAGCTCGGGAAAGAGACCGAAACCGAGCGATCCCAAGTCCGATCAATTCTAAATCGATTGAGGCAAAAAGAAGAGGCCAAACATCCTTCAAGTGTGAGTTCATAGCCAAAACAACCTTTTTATTAAAAATATGTATCCCTTATTTACCGCAGTGGACACTAGAATTCACCCATATTTTAGCCTTACAACAAGATACGCTCCTTAATAAAACAATCTTTTGATGTCAATGGCCAGACTGAAGACCTATTCGAAGGCGATATTATACTCTCGTTGCCGCAGGCTCGGAAAATTGCCGAGAACCTTGACAAGGAATCGCCACCACGAAAAAAACGACAAGTCGTCGTTGGAGAGACTCTAAAATGGAATAAAGTGATTCCTTATGAGATGGTTGATGGTGAGTTGAATGTTTACGATAAAAAAAAATTATGAGTTTAGAAGAAGCCAGAGGGCTCGCTGAAGACTCAATGGCAGTGATTACGGCCCAGACTTGTTTGGTTTTCAAGGAAAGGACAACTGAAGAGGACTACATTCGGTTTGTCCATGCGGCTGGATGCTTTTCGGCGGTGGGGAAAGTCGGCGGAGGCCAACCGGTTTCAATGGGATATGGCTGTTCGGTACGTAAGAAAATCGGGAAACATGCTAGCGATTCTAATGTTAAGTAGAGGATAATACAGTGAGGAGCCTGATCCAGTGGCAAAAAACGTACCATTTGGCATCCGGGAAGTATTAAAAATGTGGCAAAATACCTCCCTGTCCAAATTCACTTGGAGAGGGAAGCATTTCGCCACATTTTTGATACTTCCCGGATGCAAAATGGTACGTTTTTTTCCATTGGATCAGGTCCCCACTGTAGCAAAAGCTTTACCGGGTTGGTTGTGGGTACCTTTTGGAGGGCTTTTCGATCGTTCTCGCAACAAAACCTGTAGTTTTTTTGCGATTGGATCTTTCAAAATTTGTCTCTACAGAATAAAAACTACCTATAAAGAACAACACTTGTTCTTTTTCCGAGGATCCGAGGCAATTCACCAACAAAAATCGAGCTTTTTTTCAGCTCGGCGCTGCGGTCCACGAAGTTCTCCACGCTCTCGGGCTATGGCACGAGCAGGCCCGTTCAGATCGCGACCGTTTCGTCAAAATTCGCTATGAAAATATCCAATTAAACCGAAAGGACAATTTTATCAAACGAGGGTCCAACGAGAGTGAGAACAACGAAGAGCGCTACGACTACGGGTCAATAATGCACTACGGTCCCAATACTTTTGGAATCGAATCGGCCGATACGTTGGAAACTGTTGATCCAAGGTTCCAGCATACAATAGGCCAACGAGCAGACGTCAGCTTCAAGGATATGAAGCTGATCAATATGAGATATTGCAGCGACAGCTGCCCGACTAAACTTGATTGCCAATATGGAGGATACACTGATCCACAGGAGTGCTCAAAATGCAAATGCCCGAATGGGATTGGAGGAACGCTGTGCAACGAGGTAAAAACTTCAGGTAAGACATCAAAAGAAGGCGTTTGAAGCACACAAAAACACTATATTATTAGAATCAAAATCCACAAATTCTGCAATAAGAGCACGCTAACCTCACAAGAACAATGGAAGATTAATTATTGCTCATGAATTAAAAACCCCCTCCAACACACAACAGTGACGGACCTGATCCAGTGGCAAAAAACGTACCATTTTGCACCCGGGAAGTATCAAAACCTTAGCAAAATACCTCCATCTCCAACTAAAAAACTCTGTTTTCAAAGGCGCGCGCACTTTTGAAATCGGAGTCGTTTCACTTGGAGAAGGAGGTATTTTGCTGCGTTTTTGAAACTTCCCGGATGCAAAATGGTACGTTTTTCCCACTCGAACAAGATCGCCACTGTAATACCATCCTTTCCACACCCTCATTCTCTCAAATCAGTACAAACTTCATCAATTTTTAGACTTTCAAGCCTGCGGCGACACTGACTTAGACGCCTCCGACAGCCATGTCAAAACGATTGTAATCTCAAATATCCGAGGTCCCGGCCGTTGCAACTACCGAATCAAAGCTCAACCCGGATTCCATGTCAAGTTAGAAGTCGTTGAACAGTCCTTCGAGTGCGTTGAAACTTGTAGCAGCTACTTGGAAGCAAAACATCTCAAGGACAAGACTACAACTGGATTTCGAATGTGTTGCGACGAAGCTCTCGACTATAATATAGTCTCGCAGGATCATGAAATGATAGTGGTTGTCCATCACGAAAAAGAAGACCGGGATTTTACCACAAAAATGATTTATTATCAGGTCAACGAACATCGACCGATAGAAGGAGTACAAAACTAGAGATTTCTAATAATCTATAAAGATAAATACCTCGGAAAAGTTGGATAATGTCTAGAGAGAAGTCAAAAAAGCCTCAATTTCTCAAAAATAGAGATTCTAAAAGTGTAGGTCCAAAAATATCAAAAATTGGACCTACACCTTGAGCATCTTAAAACAACGTCAGAAATCCTCCATTTCTATCTAAAACACACGGTTCGACGACGCAACACCAATCTCTAGCGGTTTTTGCCACGATAACCCAGTATAATATTGGGAAATCGCGTAAAATAAAATGTCCTCTAAATTTTTCTATAGCCAACGTGTGATACAACGCTCTCCAGACGATAGCCAACCTCCAAACATCTTTTCCACTAATTTTTCCATCCAATTTTCCGAGTTCCAGCAAGTTCTCCTTGGACTGAAACGGAATGCCAGAAATGATTCGCAACGTTTCTCAAACTTGCCGTTCACAAAGCTTTTGTTGCCGATCTTCTCTACCTTGTTCTTCATTGTTTTCTTGTTGATTCTATCGTTGAATTTTGCGATTTTCGTGGACTTTTGACCAGTGTTATTGTAGGTATTGACTGATTTCAGAACCAGGTCTCTTTCGAGTTTTTCCGGATTCAAATCCGGCTCGAAATGAGCGATCAAGAGTTGACCGAGAACTTATCCTTCTTGCTGAACAACCTCACTGACGAGAATGTGGAGCAAACGGTAGGATTTGACATTGTACTAGAGGTCATACCTAAATTTAAGTAAATTATTATTCTTTTGATGTTTAGGGGCAATATCTCAAGGAGTTATCCGTAAATTTCACGGAAGACGTCGAAAAGCATCTGGCCTTGATTTTGATCCGTCGACGTGTTGCTGTGGAACAGAATCATGTTGGTTTATACGTCAAACTCGCGCTTTCGCTGGAATCGGAGACTTTCCAGGCTAATCTCCTCCTCGTTACCATCAATTACGCCACGCAGTTGATGGATGGCGCTCGTACAGCGGCGAATCAAAATCCTCGAGACCTTTTGCGCAACCTGGGCACGTTTTTGGGACTGATAACTTGGGGAAGGGATCTGGAGTTACCAACTCATCTGCTTGATCCCTTGGAATTGCTGAAAGAAGCTGAGCGAGAGGGTCAGGAAAAAATGGAGAAGATCTTGCCTTTTGTGGCCAACATGCTCAGGGCGTGTAAGACGAGCAAGGTAGGTTTTTTTTGATATTGTTTTACTTTACGCTGGGGATCAAAACAAAATTCATTTTTAATTCGAATTTTTGTAATCATGTTATGACTTTTTGTGCCCAAAGACGACATCAACAATTACTTGTTCTATTAGTATAATTTTTTCAGGTCTTCAAGCCAAATCACCCACGAATTCAGCCAATTTTTGAGGTTTTGAAGCGAATCCATTCCATGGAGAATATGAAAATGACCTTATGCTTTGAAGTGGAGGCACTTTTTGATGATCTCAGAGCTCCCACTCCACCTCCAGAAGAACATAGCTTCGCTTATAGTGATCCTCACACTTCCGGGCATCTATCAGATCAGTCGATGGAACAGTCTTTTTTCAGTCAAAGTAGCTATCAAGCTCCTCCATTGTTCGCTCAATTCCAACAACAAGGGTTGATGGATAATCCAATGGTGAGACTTTATTTTGTTGCTGCTGTTTTTAGGTTGAAAAAGCTACTTAAAAAAGAGATGTTGCCATGGATAATATAAGTATTAAGTCTCTTCGATTCGTTCCGAATTAATGTGAAATTGAAAGTGGTTATAGCCGTATGAGTAATTTTTTTCTAGGCTCTTCAAGCTCTGATGAATCCGGCATACCTTCAACAAATCCAGTATCAGCAACATGTTCAGCCGGATTTCATAAATTCTCTTCAAGCCCCACCTTTTCACCCAAGGCCTCCAGTGCCTCCGGGAATGACTTTCCCGATACAGGAGCAAGCTATTGAGCCACCAGCTCCCCGCTATCAACCTCCTCATGTTCGGTTCCAAGAAGCCCAACATCAAGCTCAACATCATCAACAACCACCTCAAATGTCGTTGGAAAGTCATGACATGACCAAGGTCTTTGAAGAGAGGAGAATTTGGGATCCGAATCCAGCTGCTAAGAAAGAAACTAGTAAGGGTTTGGAGGATTTGGGCCTTGTTATGTTATCCTGGGTCATGGATAAGATAGAAGAAAAATATTTTGGCAATTATTGGTCACAGAGCTCTTAAATTTCGAATAATTTTATGAATGAGAAGCTTGTTTTCAGATGCTTTTGTTGCCAAGGACAAGGAACTGGTTTGGAGTTTGATCGACGCTATTGATTTCACTTGCTCTCCAGTGTTCCAATTGCATAATACAGCCAAAGGACGAGTCACAGAATCGATTTTTGGCTATTTAACGGATGTCGAGAGTAGGTTGAGACGTTGAAAAGCATTTTTAAGCCATTTGAAAGCAAAAATTATATTATACATGGAAGAAAGGACTTGATTTTGGGGGTTTTTTTTATCGACTAAGCTGATCATCGTTTCAGAAATGCTTGCTCCCATCCTCAAACGGCTTTGTGAACCGCTTGGCTTCAGTGCGGCTTCACTTCTCTACCGTGATTTCGCCTTTGTTGACATCCAGAGCTTTGAAGGAATGAAAAAAATCAACCGATCGGTCTACAAGGCTCTTCTTTTCGCATTGTATTATCGACAGAATGCCAATGAAGCCGCTTACAAGCACATGAAACGCACGATCGAAGCCGCCGTGGCCCGCGCGATGGAGTACGAAAGAGCGCATCAGAGAGGTGTGGCGCCGGCCGAACTGGAGTGGACCAAGCAAATGTCGGCGAGACAGTTCGCCCACGCCAACGCTCACATCATTGGGACCTTTATCTGCGAGGTTCTGGAGAGATTCAGCCACGAATTGGCGGATCTGCATCTTTTCCAATTCATTGAAGAGAGGAAAGTTCATCCGGATTGGATTGGCCTCCGACGGTTCGCATACAACCCAACTAGCCGAGAAGAGCTTGAGGATATGCTCCCAGAACCTCTGAGACATAAGAATGTCCCAGAAGATCATGTTCTTGTGTATGGGGAGTTTGAAAAACTGACGGCTCAATTGAAGGAGGACGTCATGAATTCGTTGAAAAATTTTGATACCAAGGTGTTCACAGATGTGGCCAGAGAGGATGTGGAGGTGAGTTTGAAGGGTTTTGAGGGCGAAAAAAGAATTCCGAAGGAAAATTTGGATATTCATTTTTTCGATGAAAAAATTGCGTTTAGTTTTTTACAAATCGCGAAAAAAGTTTCATCTTTTTTTTATTTTGTTTTAGGCCGCAAGAAATCCAGTCCAGAGAGGCCCGATTTTCCAGCGATCAGGATTTGCTCCCCAGCCGACCTCTCAAGAAGTGAAATTCGACAAGAAACCAATTGATGAATTTACGGTAAACAGTTGGTTTGAGTTGATAAATTGTTTTCGAAATGCTTCTTTTTGTCTTATATCATCCTTAGCATCTTGAAATTTTCATTTGCTTTCAGAGAAAAGTCCTCCTGGTCTTCCGAGAATGGTGTGTTTCATCAAGAGCCCCCGATCCAGCACGGCGGGAGAGTTTCAAAAAGATTGTGGAATTTGTTTACGCCAATGAACTCCTCACTGATATGTCGGAAGTCGGCAGATTCTTCGAAATTTGTCTTCAAGTCTGCATCGATCTGAGCGAACATTTGGAGTCATTCCAGGAGAAGGTAAGTCATTTTGAGGTTTTTATTTTTTTCATCTTTAGGCGACCACTGAAATGGAGCTTCTAAAAATCGACCGTCAACTCTTCAATCATGTCAAAGCCCTGGCTCTTCTTGTTGACCGACTTGCTGACGAACAGGACCGCCGAGAACACACGCGAACTCGGTTTATCGCTCATTTTATCCGAGTTGTCATTCAAACTCATGTGAAGAAATTTGAGGAATGGAATGAACCAACGACCCTTCAGATCGCCATTTTTTATCACACTTACTATTGGATTGTGACGACTCAGACTCGGTTTGACAATCAGAAGAATGTCAAGGAGTTTATTGACATTTTTGCGTAAGTTTTGGAGATTAGGAGCGAGTTTAATATAATTTTTGTGGGTTTTGGTCGGAAAAGTGTTTGATATAGGGAGAATATGTCGCTTGGAGGTTGTTTTAGTATTCTCAAAAAGTAATTTGTTGTTTAAGAACGGCAATTCAAACTGTCTCCCCTCTGAACATGCCATATTTCATCTTCTCGTACACCTCCATTATTGCTCATCCCCAACTGATGCGATCGATTTTGGCATCCCCGGAAATGGACCCAGCCAAGTCAGCCAACTTCTACATGATGCTGATAAAGCCTCTGCTCGAATGCCATCGAAAACTCTGCGAGTCGGAGGAGGATATCCACAAAGAAGCAGTTCATCATCTGAATAAGGGATTGTCCAGAGTTTTTTCCTACCTCCAGCATGACTTCCCCGGCTTTTTTGTGAGGAAATACAGTGTGGTTTTGAAGATGGTTCCGTTGATCTGTATTCACTTGAGAAATTTGGTCGTTGGAGCGGTTCCGGAGGAAACAGAGATGATCGAAGCGAATCTGGGCTTTGATAGGGTAAGTGGAAGATTGGAGGAACTTTTGAAAAATTTGAGGCGAATTTGGTTATTTTTGGATTGAATGGATATCTTGGGGGTATGAGGAAAGGGTTTTGAAGTGGATTTTATTTTGAGTAGATATCTTTTTTGAGGAATTTTGCCAATTTTGGCGTAAAACAAAGTCATCATTGCGCAATTTTTTATTTTTTTTTATTTGAGACATGTATTTCGTAAAGTTTGGCCGTTTTGAAGGTTGATAGAGATGTTTTGAGTCTTATTTTACGGCAATTTTTGTTTTCAGTGCTGCATGTCAGATCAAATGAACCTAAATCCCGAAGTTCACAATGAATTCTTGATGATGGCATCGGAAGACTCGAAAAACTTGACGTCCAGAGCAACGGTCGAAACAGCGAACCCGGATTTTATTCCAGAATTCATTGAAAGCTTCAAATCCGTGAAAAATGACGTCAACCAATTTGATTTGGCCAAGATCACCGACTTTTTGACTTATTTTGGAGCTCTGAGTGTTAGTGAGATCAGAGCGGCAAAAGCATCGGTGTCAATGGTTGTTGTGGCCAACAATCGAGTTGTGAAAGTCTTGGAGAACGCCTTGAGAGTAATGGATTCTGAAGGTAAGGAGTTTTTAAGTAATTTCAGGGGGTTTTATGTTGTACATGGCATCTGTCATGATGTAGTGGAGAGGTATTCTGATTTTTAATTTTTTCAGGCACGTACATGTTCTTGAATGCTCTGATGGACCAATTGAGGTACCCAAATTCTCATACTGCCTTCTTTTGTGGGGTTTTATTGGTCTTGTTCAAGTCCGGACATGAACATTTCAAGGAAGTTATGTCGAGGTATGATGGGAGAAAATGAAGTTAAAGTGATGAAAAAGGGTTAAAAAGTTGATGAGGGAAAAAATTAAACAGTTTACCCGATATGTTTTGTATTTTTCAAAACGCATTCTTTGTGTTTCAGAATCATGTTTGAACGAATCCTCACCTTCCCTCCATGCCCATTCGGCCTCAAACTCCTCCTCTGCGAGCTCTTCACCAACAGTTCCTATGATTTTTTTGCCAACGACTTTCTTCATGCCACTCCAGTAATTGAACGACTTTGCGTGGAATCGGCAAAAAATATCCTCAATGTCACCATCCCAATCACCTCGATCCTGGCCCATTTTCGCTTCGAGAGTCTGAATGAAAGCTTCGCCAACATGGAAGTCGCTTCCCCGACCTGTCCATCAATGATGTTTCAAATGCCAATGTCCCCGATTGGGTGAAGAGGAGGGATTTTGAATGGGAATACGGTCGCAATATATTGGGATTATGATGTATGGCCTGTCCGGTCTATTATGGGTTAACTTCGGGGAGCTTGGCGGTTTTAGATTCCCTTTGCCAAAATCAACAGTTCCCGATATTACACTAGACGTTTTTTCGGATATTAGGAAATTTGAGGGCTCTATTTTACTGCCGTAGCCATTATTCTAATTTTTGGATGCATTGATCTCCCCAATTTTCTCTGTAAGTAGTGTGTTCCGTTCCAAAACGGAGATTCCTAGCCTAAAAGATGCTAAATTTTCAGATTTTTGCTGAAAGTCGAAAGTTTTTTTTTTTTGTAATTTTTGTTGTCAATACGCCTTTAGGCCTCTATTTTGTCCCAGTTATTTCTTTCGTATACTATTATCTGTCTTTTTTCCAATTTCTTAACGAATTCCCAAGTATAACCTCTTTATAACGGGCCCAAATTGTATCCTTAAGTATTTGAAAGTTTCCTATATTCGTATGTAAACCCGCTCTATTTTGCATTGTTTTTCATAATAAACTCTAAAAGATATGTGAATTTGATTTTTAGTTTAGTTTTTGATGACATTTGGATATTGTAATTGACAAAAATAGTTAATAATTTATTTAAGTCACCGGATGTTTATGTTGATTAGGTTAGTAATGAAAGCCCATTATAACAAGGAAATTGTCATGCAATGTATGAGGAGATAGATTTTTACACGAGTTTTTCAAAGGGATCAGGAAATTTTTTGATGAGATTGGGAATGGTCACAGTGAAATTGTCGGAATGAGGAGGTTTGAATGGATGCAAGAGTCGAAGTCGGCTCTAGAAAGACAAGAAATATGTTATTACCCATAGGAATGGAGAGAATTACTACTTGTGGAGTCAAAATTTGAATATTCAAATTTCAAAAATTCTATAAATTATATAAAAAGAGCCCTAAAAAGTTGTGAGATTGCGGCAAATCCCGCAACCTAACGAAAACTCCTCGCCGGTCGGCGGATGTTTGACCCGCAACGGACAGCCGTCCTGGTTTTCCAATTGTGTTGCTCTGGGCCCAACGGGACATTGAGGAAGAAGGTTGGTGGGAGTCGCGATTAGACGTTGGAAATCACTGTGGCAGATGGAGCAGAAGTGGGAATTCCCGAAGCTGAAAAAGATTGGTGATTAGATTTCCTGTGATGGTAAGAGTGAGCAAAACCTTGAATTTCATGTTTTATCTTTGGTTTAGACTTTTTTTTACCATTCACGATGTTCAATTGATCAGTAAAACTCACCAAAAATACACTGCCACCGAGCAGCAGAATCTGCATTTATATTCCAGGAACTCTGTACCATGTCGACCACAGACCGGCGCTCCCGAGATATCCGAACACCCACCACAAACCAGCTCCTCCGGCTTATAGGACGAGGAGTCCAACGCCTGTTGACATCGACTTTCCCCACCAAAATACGCCTTGTTGCACTTACTGCAGAGCACATAAACATAACGATGAAGAGCATAGCCCGTTGGATCATTGAAGAATTCACTCTGTTCCGATGTAACGGCGCTGACTTTCAACAACCCATCGTATTCTAGGCGAAGGAGGGCTTTCTTTTTGACGTCCTCGTACAAGGCAAGCAGTGGTTGCATCAAAGGCTGGAGAGCTGGATGATCGATCTGAAGGAGCGGTATTATCAAAAAGAGAGGTTGGATCTTACATTGCTCTTGCACAATGGACACTGCATGAATCGGAAGAGAATTCGGGGACCATGCCAGCGTTTCTCAAGGATCGTTTTCACACACTGATAATGAAAGCTATGGCCGCAAGAAAGTTTCACACACGGAGCTCCGCCCAATCGATCTGTGAAACAGATCACACAGAGATCGTCGGAGTCTTGTTTGGAGTCTGAAAAAAGGGATAATAAGCACGTTGGTCATGGTTTTGCGCAAGTTATGATTGGGAAATCGACATACCGCTGCTTGGACAAGTAAAGCAAGGTAAGCATTCCTTTTCTCCGGAAATTCCAGGGCACCAATGCCCACAAGGCAGTATTTTCATACAAGCGTCCTTCAACATGTCTTGACATTCGTTGTAACCACAAACTCCAGTTTTCGTCTCATCGGGCTTGAGTGGATTTTGGCAGAATCTGCATTTAGCGCCTTTGGATTCAGCACCTGTCATTGATCCACCCAAATTAGAGTGAAGACCTTGAGCCGACGCGGCATCCACAACTGACCCAACTTCGGCGCTAATTTCGGCCATTCCACTCAGTTTTGTGCAGTTGAAGAGAATCTAAAGCAACAGATCATATATTGAAGCTGACAGCGTAAAAGACCAATTCGTATTTTACCCACCAAAAAGTTGTTGACTCGGAGTCTTGTACAGCCCTCATGAACATCCAATTTCGGGCACATTAGAGTGGATCCAACCAGTTTCGCTGTATGCAGTTTCTTTCGCTTATTCAAGTGCAAAACGCTGAAGCATTCGTAGCACAGGTGCAGTTCGCATTCGGCGCAATGGAACCTCGCCATTGTCACACCGTCATCGTGGTTTTCGCAAGGCGGTTCCGGCTCTTCGGATCTTCTGGCCTAAAATTTTCCACTTGATTTTTATTTTCATTTTTACTCACCTTCAAAGTTCTCCACGCAGTCGACAGCTCCAACCAACTGGGATCTTTGATAGCGGTCATTGCCGCAACTGCCAGCCAGAATTGTGGTTGCCGCAAAAATAGGACAGCTCGCGTTCCGAGGTGTTCTGAGGTGGAGAACGAGCTCATTGGAAGGTCATTGGAGCTGGAAGATGGCAAGAATCCAGCGGCCGCCAAGATTTTGTTGATGCTCATTACACAATTCGCTAGTTCTGTGCGGATTGCTTGCGACCACGCGGCACTGATGCCATCATTAGCGAGATGGGTCAAGGTCCCAATGACAAGTTGTACAACTTCAGTGCAAATCGGCTTTTCTGCCCGCCAAATGGAGGGAATGTCTGTGCAGTTGGCCTGAAGAAACGCATTTCTTTGAGCAAAATTTTTGCCAACTTACAGTAAGAGACGCGGTAATCATCTTTCTGGTCACTCTGTCCTTGACTTGCAAAGTGATTACCTTCGCGATGACTGCCAACATATTTTGTACAAATACCCCGACATCAAAGCTGGTTGGTTTGAAGTTTCGTAGAGTCTTTTCCATGGTTTCAAGGACTTGCATTTGAACAATCTGGAAAATTTTCAAAGTTTCCATTGATGAAGAGTAAAATACGTTCGGCGTTCGTGGTCTTATCTTACCTGCGGGGCAAACAGCATGAGCTCACTGAGCATTATTGGCAAGGTGCCGCGCATTGAGAAGACTTCGACTCCCTTTCTGGATTCGCTGATCTTTACGAGCATGACCATCAGCCCGCATACATACGAATAGTTACGCTTCTTCCGATCTCTCAGGTTTGTTATCTCGCGTTCTACGGCAGTCACTATCTGAGTGCAGACGTAGATTTGCAAGGGCTGAAGCTGAACCCGGTTGAAAAGCATTTCAATGACTTGTTGACGAAGGTGCCCGTTCTCATCTTCTGCGAACTCGTCGCTGAACGCCTGAAGAAATGAAATCGAATATTTTAGCTCAGATTATTGTTGCTTACCTGAGCAGCGACTGCTTGGAACAAAGAAAATGCATCAAATTGCGCCGAACTAAACGACAGTTGATGTGGAGTGGTCCCTTTCAACGCCTTGCTGGCGTTCGAGCTCTCGGGAACGGCGTTGTTCAAGTCGACGTTGGATTGGCCAAGCACAACAATTTGACGTAATCGGCAAGATCTCCCATTGAACTTTATGTGAATCCGTAATGGACTTCCAGTGCCCAATGTTGTACATCGAACCCAACCAACAAATTTCTGGAAATTTTTGATTATTTACAATATTTTACTATACTTTTGATGACTTACGGGGGACAATGACACAGCGTTAAGTGTGATGATGTTTCCTTCGCCTTTGTTAGCCGCAGCCGTCGTAAAATTGACTTGGCACACCCTGTAGCTTGAGTCTTGAACATTGTCGATGAATACACCAATTATTGCGGGCATGCAACTTTCGACTGCCCATCCGACAGTAATGTAACTGCTTCTATTGTTGTCTTCTTCTCCACTCTCCCAGAAAGTCTCATGTGATCCGTCCAAGAGACAATGGAGGATCTGCTTCTGACTTGACGAATCCAATTTAACCAGTTGATTCAGCAAATCAAACTGTTTTACAATGGGCAAAGCCGTGTCCTCGCGACGGCTTCCCTTTCGTCTTGCCTTAGGGCTCGGCTCGTCTTGAATCAACAGCGAGGTGTCAGTTGAAGTATCAGCCAGAACATCGCCAACTTTACAGAGTAATTTGCACAAGGTGTAGAGGAGATCTTGCTCATGAATGGTTAACTGGAAGGTCCATGATCGGAAACACAGACACTTGAGACGAATATCGACGTTATCTGCGTTGAGAATGACATATAAGGTGGCCAAAAATGAATGCATCGCTTCGACCATCCGATGAGTTACTAGGTCTCCGGCCAAGAAACACAATCGCCATGGATGTGGGAGCAAATGAAGTTTAGTTGCGAACTTCATATCCATCGACTGCTGGTAGTTTGGTGAGAACGAAAACATGGTATTCAAGTATTGCCAGACAATGTCCATCACTGAGGATTCAGAAGTCACAAGTTTCAGAAGCCAATTCCACACCTTGAAAGCATGCGCCAGGATTACAGCTCGTTTGATGTTGTCCTCGAATTGATGGGCTATCGCGGATAAGTCATGGTTCTCAACAATGAATGCGAGAACCGGATGCGAATGGATCGAATACGGGGATGGAACGGAGTTTGAGAAGTTTGTGACGACTTCATTTAGAGTGGGAGGTTGATTTGGCATTGAACTTGGCCCCGCGACGTTCGCTTCATCCTCGTCTTCTTCGGGCAACGCGTCGATTGTGCTGAGATAATTGGAGAACGGTTTTCTAAACACATTTCCGGAGACGCTGTATGAGGTTGGAACTTTTGCTGTGCCAGAGACTGCAAGATCATTTTGGTGGGAAACTCCAGGATCACTGGTTTGAGATAATTGTCGAGGTCGATGAGTGCTTGTTAAATTCTGAAATTACGTTAATTTAGTCGCTGACAGATTCATTTCTTTTGTTCTGCCTCGAAAACTTACACTTTCTGTCATTGGTTCGTCTTTATCATTCTCTATGACCAAACTTGTCTGATTCAAGTCCCCTGAGGGGTATAAATCCACAATCCACTTTGTCTTGGCGTTCTTCCTTTTGCTCTCGGCCTCTTCCAATTCCCTCTGACCTGTAGGACAGAGTCCTAAGAGGAAAACCGAATTCCTTCGAATCACAACTTCGGGTGAAATGAGTTGAGTGGCATTTATCTGCCGGAACTCTCGCCAACGTCGGTCGGTTTCCTAAAATTAGTTGTAAAGTCTCACAACCGCCTAATTTTGTCAGCAAATCAACTTATAAGTAAACTCACCTCTTCAACCTGGTTCTCCTTTTTGGCCAGTATCTCGGTCCTGCAGTTTGGGCACAGCAGGTACCAAACTGCATTCCCTTTTCCACCTTCTCCGCACATTCCCGTCCAACCGGTCGTGTAATTCCCGACACTGTTGTAGCCGTGTCCCAGGCAAGGGCCTCGACATCCTGGATGTTTTACTCTCATGTGGGCCGTAACGGGTTTGGGGAAGTTTTCACCGCACAGTTCGCAAAGCTCTTCGATTGGCGCTCCATTTTCGTTGCTGGCATCCGTAGCGATCCGATCGGCAGTGTTGATTCGTTGTCGCTGATATGGGCGGCGGAGAACAGTTGGCGATGGAATTATTAGATGTTGTTTCACTACCTGCAACATCATATTTTTCAAGTTTCGGTTGTCATGACCAGTATAAGAGTGGTCTGAATTACCTTACCTTGGTCAGTGTCGCTGACATGGTAGACCAAAGATTTCTAGCTGAAGTTAGGTTCGCTGGGCCTTCAAGTTGTGATGATTGCATTTTCGCAAGCAGTTCTCGGGGGTTCTCTCCCATATCGGCCACGTTGTTAGCACATTCAATCAGCTGTTGGACTAGGCGTTCATGCCAAGCAAAGGCTGCAAATGCTGCTCTAAAACACTCAACTGTCAATGGGCGCATTGGATTGTCTTCTGTGTTTAGAGGAGTGCTATCGCTTGATCGGGGCTTCTGAAATACGAAAGTTAGAATGGAAATGGAATCTCAAACGCAATGTAACCTGCTTACATTTCCAGCGCTTCTGACGGTCGATCGTGTCGTTGTTACAGGCCCGCTCTCAACATTGCCATTGAAATGGTTTAGCGTCAAGTGCTCGATCTTTAGATGGTTGTTGTACTGCAAACTCCATGCTTGATTCGAACTCTTCCTCTCGCAATATAACGCTTTCACATCATCCGAGAGACGAAGCCACATACCATCCGTATTTCGTAGCGTTTCCACATACGATATCGTGGCTCCTCTCGGAATAGCTCCGATCTGCTGGGCATTCAATGTCGGATGGCTTCGAATCCTCACTCCGGCATATCCACTGACTGCAGGACAAGTTGCTTTGGATAAGGGGAGAATATTCGCCGGATCCACGGGTTTTGGCCGATGTCTCGGCGTGGGAGGGACTTCAGAGACAGGTTGCGGAACGTCCATTGTCGGCAGCTTAATGTTGAAGTCGGACCGCGAGGAAATGTCGAAGCCATCAATGGAGGCCTCGACATGATAACGACCCGGAGTTAATGGCGTCCATTGTACTTGATAACCTCCGGAAGAGCTGTAGTCCACCTTCAACGTCTCTGTTGTTGTGCTACCCAGTTCGTATGCCCATCTTAGCTCCTCGAAAGAATAGTCAGCGAGCTTGGGATTGCATCCGATGGACATAAATCGATTGTTGTTGACGATTGCTGGGCGGAATGGCTCTTCCAGCTGAAGTTGTCGAATCTTCTCGTAATACTCGTTCTTCGAATCGTCACCGCTTTTTGAGCCAACTTTAAACATATCCTTGAAGACGGTCAGGGTTTTGAAAATTCTCCCGGACTCTCCATCCTTTGCTCTGACCGGACTACTTTCAGTAGCGCCTTTCTTGACTGTAAATTGAACTTGGAGATCGTTCTTCAAGCACACCTCCCCGTATTGGGTTAAAGGCACCAAACTCAATCGTATTGGCTGATTGGTGACGAATCCAACTAACGGCTCGACTTCGACTTTGCATTTAGCCACATCAATGTACGAGTCGGTAACCAATGCCGTTGCCAGTAAACCGCCAAGGGTGTCGGGCGAAGCTGAGATGAAATCGGCAAGAAACTGGAGATCGTCTGATTTCCTCAATGATGGGAACGAATCCCTTGCCAATTCGGCGACATTTGGAACATGATCAAGATTCAGGCCCTTCTGAAGCAAAACTCCGTGCTTTTGGATGACTTCGTAGCAATCTCTCGCCGATGATGGTCGATTTGGCCGATTGGTCGATTGAACCATTATGTTGCAAGCTTTTGAGCAAAGCCAGGCAAATTCGGTCTCCAGGTTTGACAAAGTCGTTGATCCCTTGGCTCTAAGCGAAGTGATTCCTTCCACGGTACAGCGGAATCCGTACCTCTAAAAATTTTTGATCTAATTAGAAAAGTCATAATTTACCGCAGCATTATTTCGTTCTTCGCTTTCCGGGCCGGACTCAAACACAAACCACACGTTATTGCCGGGGATCACCAATACGCCCTCTGGCCATTCTCGATTCACCGAGTACCTCCCCACGGCGTAAAATGCGTTCGTTGGCCGGTCTCCGGCTACGCCATAGACCCACAGAGAATCCCCAGGATGAGCGGTTTGACAGGCTTCATGAAAACGGACACAAACGAATTCGGTTGTTGGATCAAATGACACAAAATGAGTCGTAAAATCGTTTGTTTTGTAGGGATGCGCGCTCTCCACAACAGCTTGAACAAATCCTTTTCGTTTAATCAGCGACTTGGCCGGGCTGAAACGAGAGGTATCAATCAAAATATAGACTTTTGAAGCTCTGAAGGCTCGGTATTTTTGACTTACTCTTCTCCATCGCTCTTGATTTGATTGAAACTTGTACTTGACGAGCCTTTCTCGTCATCAAAGTCGGCATTGGCCGCTGAAATCAACGGTAAAACTTGATCAAACGCAGCGATAACATGATACGCCCGGCTTGGATTCGCCTCCATATAAACCGTAGCATAAACCACCAGTTGTGAGCACATCTTTGCCGTTGGGAAACTGTCTTTTACCGCTGAACTGAGTTGGATACTCAGCTTTGATGAGAGCAATCGAATAATCAGCAAGAAGAGGCGATTCGCTTCTTTGCTGACGCTCGTTTTGGTATTGAAATTGGCTTCGTTGCTGTTTTCGATACTGTACAGGAAGAAAGGAAGTTGTCCGCGGGATACTGTAGTCCCATTTTTGCTAAAGGAAGATGGCAGAAAAGTCATTCGTCCGTGCCGCTGCAGCTTCACAACGGAGATTCCAGCCTCCCCGAAAAAGGTCTTCCCAGCGTCGATGAGCGCTTTGACGGCGTAAGCAACGTTGGGCTTGAGTGGGATCGGTTTGTTTAATCTGATCAGGACGCATTCATTTCCTTCTGCGGTGCTCTCTTCATGCGCTACACCGTTGCATCTGGCCAAAGAGATCCAGCCGTCCCTTTCCGAATCCCCTTTCGCTTCCAAGACCTCAATGTCGTAAGTGACCTTCCTTTGGCTCTTTGGTGATGAGGGGTACATTCCAATCCCTTGCAACTGAATCCCATGGCAATCAACTTTGAGCGCAATCGAATCCGCAGCGTCGTTTCCGGTCTCCCAATTCGGCTGACAAACCGTTTGACGGAATCGTCGAGGCGTCTGATAGATTGAAGTGTTCGTCTTCAAGTTTAGCTGGCTATTTACCAACTGTTTTGCGATGATGACCAGTAATGTTTGAGCTGAAGTTTTAAGTCGGTCACCCAGTAAATCGCTGCTTCGAATGTCGACCGAAGCGAATGAAAGATGAAAAAGAAAGGTAATCATCTTCTCCGAGTCTAATGGCTGGAATAAAAGACCGTCCTTTTGCGTGTAATAGTCGATGAGATTCTGGAGAATGTCATTGAGGGCAAGTTCTTGTCGGCGTATGCCCATGATCGGCAAAACAAACTGAAATTTGACATTATCATAGCGAAGAGGATTTTTGATTTCAAAAATTTTAACGCGCTGACTTACCTCTTCAAGTCGGCAAAACGCTTTCAACGTGGATAAGAGCTGCCAATTATTGATTCCTTTAGTGATCATGGAACTTAATCTGATAGACAAGATCTCGGGTGATGGTGTAAGGAGATAGCTACAGGATACGAACATGTCGACAGCCTCTTCCACCACCAAACTGCCAATTCGATCTTCAACGAAGAGCCTTTCGTCAGCGGTCCGAAACAGTTCGTCGAGCAGGCGTTTGAATTCGTAGACGCATTCTGAAGACGCATGAGGTCGTTGGGAATCGTAGTCAGCGCGTCGTTGAGGGAAAATAACGCCGAGATAGATTCTGAAAGTAAATCACGTTAGTGATCGAAATGCATGTTGTATTTGAGCTCCATTTACCTTGTGTCTGCATTAAGACTATCGAAATATTAAGCGTATACTTCACTAAACAAATACAAATGTCTTACCGTATGATTCTCATTGTAATTATCGTTACAAAAGCAGCTTGCTCCTGCTTTTGCGCCGTCGTATCGTCTTGCATCTTTTCATAGTCTCGACATTGGAACGAACCATGCATTCCCCATTCCAAGACCTTGAATAAATTCTTCATGGTATCCGCAGTGATCGAAAAAACGGTCTGGGCACTTAGCGCTACCGATTCGAAGATCGAGGCGTCATGTTCATGCTGAGGTGATGAATAGGACGTTGAGGGTTGAGTGTAAGACCGTTGTTTGTCCGAACTCATTTGATAGGGCTTGTAATAAATCTCCGGAATTTGGCCGCCTTCCACGTCTGTCCCATTATTCGAATATCCGGAATTTCGGAATTCAAACTCGACGTCAGAGTCTCCTCGGACGATGGGCTGGCCTTCTGCGCCGCAGTCCGAACTTGGTCCTCTGAACAGGCAATCATATTGTTTGGAGATTTTAAACTTACTGTATTTGCACCCACGCCACATACCAGACATCGGCATTGACTAGAATCGGTTTTCTGAATCCAATAAAAGCCGTCTCTTTGATTGGACAGTCGTAAAGGACTTCGTTGGTCTCCGAGATTAACTCTACATTGTTTTCGTCTCGATCCGTGTTCCCTACATTGCGAAACAGCTTTATCTTTGCGCTGTTCTCGCCATGACCACCGTATAAACCAAAGCCGTACAGATTGATGTCTTTGTTGACCTGTAAATCCATTTTTAATACGTACATAAAACTGTTATCAAGACTTTGCTGCTAGACGTAGTTTTTGAGTCGCTTACTTTGAACTGAATAGCCTCCAGGCAATGTACTGAATATCCCCAGCCCCCGCCCAACGTCAAGAACCTATTGATGACATTGCAGCCCACCGGGTTTGGGGGCACAAAATTCGCATTTCCAACGTTTTTCGACAGTTCCTCGTGGGTCGTGGATAGATCGGTGCTCTGTAGAATCGTGACTTGAGGAATCGCTGCCAGTGCGCTGAGGCTGAGCCCGTAAACGGTGGAGATCAAGAATATGGCCAACTGTTCGTCGCTGAATTTTGTCGTATTGTCAGTGGGGATACATAGTTCCGTAGACTGTAGGAGTTTCCGCTCCTCGCAGAAGAATGGAGGCTCTTTTTCGACGTTCTGCAGCTCCAATGAGGGTCCATCCGTAAAGCCTTGAATACAAACTCTTTCCGCGTCGAAACTCCAAAGGATGTCGTAGATGGGGTTGAAACACCAGCTAGAAATGGTGGTTTATTAGGTTATAAGTTTGTCTACATTGAAAGGAATGGATTTTCTATCAAGCCAAGTAGCACACAGGAGGCTACTTACCTTATATTTTGTCTCAACGGCATTTGAAATTGATAAAATCGTTCGGCTCCTTTTGTGGGAATCATCACACAGAAGCTCTCTCTGTCCTCGCAATTCGGAATCAATGCCAAGCAACTCTTGTTGGCTATGATTTGACATTCATCGAGTTGGTTCCGGGAGAACAATCTTTGATGGCTTTGGATCAATGTGCGATCTCCTTTGGCCGAAACCCAGCTGGCTGTTTTGCCGGTTTGCGGACCGAATTCCGGGACAAATCCCGGCTTCGCGAACCATTGGCGGTCCTCCGGATTCTCGCACTCTCTTCCCAACTGACCCGCCCGATGAGCGCCGAAAGTGATTACTTCTCCGTTCATGGTCCGCAGAACACAATGATTAGCGCCGGCGACAGCTTGAACAATCTGGACGTTCAAAGGCAGCGGAACTTTGAAGGGATGGGTTCGGCGACTTGTATCGCCCGTTCCCAGTTGCCCATTGTTATTGCAGCCAAAGGTGTAGACTTGATGATCGGCGCACAACAAAACTGTATGATAATTGCCAACGGAAACGGACGAAACTTTGATATCGTTCGATTTTTTCATCAAAACAACTCTTCCCGGCGTAGCCATCGCTTCGCTGTTGTTGACGCTGAGCCTTGACAGTTGTGGTCGGGGTTTTTCCATGGGCAAATCCTCGATTTGATCGTCGTTCTCATCGCTCGTACTTGGATTGGAGGTGCGCGTGTCTTCGGACGGGGTTTCCGGTTGTTTCCCCTTTTGTCGCCCGCATTGTCGGCAGATTCCGCATCGCAAACAAGCGGATTCGCCCGCACCACAAGCACACGGAGATCCGCGAGGAATGGGCGGGCGAATCGGAGTTCCTTGGACGTTCGGATTCTGTTGTTTCCCTCCGTACGGGCAATTCTTGCCTCGCGCCGAACAACAGCCACATTTGAGGCAGATAGTAGCGACATCCTTGACAAACGTGTGCGCATTTGGAGGGCAGTATTGAGAGTGAGATGGGGAATTCACATTGCTCGACGTGGATTGATGAGGACTCTCCAGATGCGGACGAAGCTCGGGAGAGGCGGTTTCGGTCCTCCCGCATTGATTCAAATTGTTCAGGCCGCAAGTATACACCAGCCCGCTTTTACTGATCACGACCAAATGAGTCTTTCCAAGGCCAACACTGGCCACAGCCACGTTTTCCATTCCGAAGTTGGCATGGATTGTGTCCGAATGAGCATTGACAATATGTCTTCCATGAAGGAAGCATTGCCCGTTGTCCGAAGCAAATGCCATTGCACCTCCGCAACCGCTGATGCTGACGCATTTTCGACTAAAATACGGAGAATTCATTATTTATTCTTTTTAAGTTGCAGTGGCGGACCTGATCCATTGGCCAAAAACGTATCATTTTGCATCCGGGAAGTATCAAAAATGCAGCAAAATACCTCCCTCTCCAAGTGAAAAAACTCCGATTTCAAAAGCGCACCCACTTTTTTTGTGAGAGAAAGGGCTCAGTTCAAAATGGAGATTTTTTTTAGTTGGAGAGGGAGGCATTTTGCCACATTTTTGATACTTCCCGGATGCAAAATGATACTTTTTTTGCCACTGGATCAGGTCCCTCATTGTAAGATCAAGAATTTCTAGCCATTGTAATAGGTCGCTCACCGATTTGGAATCCTGATTTTCCTCACTTTTTTGCTGTTTTTCTGCGGATTTGCTTCGAACATGTTGCTCAGACTTCCAATCGCATATAACGAACCAGATCCGGATCTCATTATCAAACAATTCGCATGACTATCAAGTGTAAATGACACTATCGACTCTTCAAGCGTAATTTCCAGCCACTGATCAGGAGAATACGTCAATCCAAAGGTCTCTCCATGCCCGCAGTAGTGAATTTTGCCCGCTCTCGTCAGGATAAATCCCACATCAGTGCCCAGTTGCAGGTCAACAGCGGCATTTTTTAGGGTTGAAGTGATCGAATGGAGGATTGTCAATTGTTTTTGATTGAAATCTCCCATAGCAGCATAACCAATGTCCATCAGTCGACAGGAAATTCGATGAGACTTGCTGGCACTGGGAGAAAAAGTGTCATCAAGGGGAATTGACTGAAAATTTTGTATTATACAGTGAAGGACCCGAGCCAGTGGCAAAAAAACGTACTATTTTGCATCCAGGTAGCATCAAAAATGTGGCAAAATGATTCCTTCTACAAGTGAAAAGACTTTGTTGTGAAGGGCGCGCTTTTGAAATCGGTGTTTTTTCACTTGGAGAGGGAAGCATTTTGTCATATTTTTGATACTTCCCGGATGCAAAATGGTACGTTTTTTGCCACTGGATCAGGTCCCCCACTGTAATATTTCACTGTCATTCAGATCCTTTTTTATCAAAAGTTTCCCTGCATACATCGAAAAAATAACTCACAATAAAGTTCCATTGTGAGTCCAACACGGCATGGAAGAACTGCCTTCCATCCGCGTACAGTAATCCCTCCGTCAACGTCGCCGACAACATAATCTCCCCGATCTCTCGCAATGTCAGCCGGTCGATTACCCACAGTCTGGTTGAATGGCTGCGTCGCAAGTACAGCGATTCGTTGCAATAAATCAACGAGGACCCGTTGCTGTACTTCATGAGATCATTGTGTGCCATAACTTTGCCGCCGCGCGTTTCGCCCAGCCCCGTACCCATTTTGAAGAGACCGTAGACCGTGAGCAGGTAGATGTAAGGACCATCCGAGCAGATGCAGCCTTGCGGGGTCTTGAGATCATTGGCGGTGAAATGGTCGGATGGACTGAGACAGCCCGGATAGACGAGCTCGAATTCGGAGATTTGGTTGTGTTCGGTCAACGGTCGAAGCCACCAGTTTTGGAGGTTCGGATTTCTGGAATTGGGGTTATTAAACAACGTTATACATAAAGTTTAGGAAGAATTTTTGGTGTTATATAGTATTCATAAGGTCTCATCAGTTGTCAGAAGGACGGAGCTTTCATATTCGCTATGAATAGATTAGTAAAATTGCGTCATTATAGCTTTTGCTTTTTTGAAGATTGAACAAACAAACGATACTGTCAGCAGTCTACAATGGGGGACTTAATCCAGTGGTAAAAACGTACCATTTTGCATCGGGGAAGTATCAAAAATGTGGCAAAATGCTTCCCTCTCCAAGTGAAAAAACTCCGATTTCAAAAGCACGCCCGCTCGTTTTGTGAGGGAAAGCGCGCGACCTTCAAAACAAAGTTTTTTCTCTTGGAGAGGGAAGCATTTTGCCACATTTCTGATGCTTCCGGGATGCAAAATGGAACGTTTTTTGCCACTGGATCAGGTCCGTCACTGTACGTAGCATCTTTTGAAAGATGCTATTTACGTAGGATCTCTTTAAATTCCACGCTAACACGTAGCAACCGCAACCAAACTATCAGGCCATTGTGCTGCGGTTAGCCCTAGAACTTGCTCCAAAATTGCGACAAAAAACTTTTTTGCATTGCCCATCTTTCTATAACCACAAAACTTTTTTAAGTCCTCCCGATCCATTACGTAGCGACTTACAATGCAATTGCTGCGGGTCCTCGCTGAATCGTCCTTTGCACAGTCAACGCCAGCCTTTGGAAATTGCGGGACAATGGATTCAACGTTGTGTCAAGCTGATTGAACGGAACGCTCTCCTTGTGATCGCAAAACAAAGTGGAGATCGTTGCGAACAAAAGTTCTGGTGTGCCACAAGCTATTGATAGACTTAACATGCAGGCGGTAGCGTATTCGGAGACTTGTTCGTTCCCTGAATTATATGGAAAACTCAGTAAAAACAAATTATTTTTGAAGGGTTTGGCCCAATTTCTGTGCTCACCTTTCTGTCTGAGCTGCCTCAACGATAGATGCATTTGATTGACCATCTCATGACTTGTATGGGCAAAGCTTTCTGGTGGCAGGTATTGCAAAACATTCAACAAGGATTGCAACGCTCTAACACAAAGATCCGAGTCTTTTTCATTGAGCTCCAGAAGGACGGAAAACGTCGAACTGAGACCGACTGTTATGAGATCTGTCTCGTTCCTCTGAAAATACAGAATATATTATTTCATTTTTGACTATGAAGTAATACAAAAAAGTGTGTTATAAGTAGAACTTACATTCCGCTGGTCCCCCTCAACCCAGCCGGCTACCGTATCCAGCGCTGAGACGTTTAAAGCAGCTTCTATTGGGTCGCGAAAGCGGTTCGAAGGTCCGGGAATATCAGCGTTGTCAGCTGGGATCTCGTCTTCCAAAAGGTGGATGTACCGTAACGCTGCGGTTCTGGCGATGAAATGAGCCGCATTTCCGCTTGGTGGAGCTACTAGATTGAGGGTTTGAAGGCCTTCGGTGAAGGCTTCCATGACCTCAGTTGTGGGGGTTGAAGCGAGGACACATCCTGAAAGAAATTAATCAAAATTACTTTATGTGATCAGTTCCGTATACAAAAAAACACTGCAAAAACATGTGGTACTGGCTGCAGAAGAGCCTGGAAAGCGACTTCTTGCCGAAGGGTTGCATAAAAAGCCCAAAAAACCCGCTGAATGCGTTGTCATTCTAACACCAACAGACCTAGCACAATTTTAGTCCGTAAACAACAAAATACATTTTGCAAAAAACTCCTCTGGCTTTACTCACCCTCAATCTCACTTGGCTCGGCATTTCCAGTAAACAGAACGGCCGCTCCTTTCGCCGCGACGTCTGGATGCGCTGCAGCTCTTGCCAACGAATGTTTGATCAACAATCTTGTATACAAGTCCCTAATCTGTGAGTTTCGAGTGTTCAAAACGGCGAACGATGAGTCAAATGAGTTCTTCCTCGACGAACTGCATCTACTTGCTCGTTCCAGAATCTCCGACTCAATTAGGGGTAGGTCGTCATCACGTTGACGATGCTGCAACGAGAGTTGACGAAGAAAAGTGCCCATAGTGGAAAGGTAATGAGATCAATATGTCATCCTGGAAGGTAGTATTTGTTAAAGGAAAAATATAAAAGAAAATTGAACCCAAATGTCAAATAGCCGGAGGGAAAATCACAATAATGAAAAAATCCAAGGGAAAATTTTTGATGGTAAGTTGGAGTCTTTTTTTCTAGGGGAAAGTCTAATTTTTCTTGTGGGAAATTGACAATGTTATTTCGAAAAAACAAATTTTTGTCTAGCTGACTCTCTTTGTTTTGCCTACTCTCTCCCAAAAAAAAAGATTGCTAAAAATCTCGGCTTCGCTTGCAAAGAGCGGGCTAAAATTTTTAGGGATTCATGTATAGACTATTTATAGTCAGCTTGCAAAATTTTAGGAAAATCGACCGGTTGGTTTTTGGGAGGGTTGAAATTTTCACAAAACCCTAGAAACGTAAATAAACCGGGTTTTTTAGATTTTTTACAAACAAATTCTGTAAAATTAACTATGCATGCACATTGAATTTACTAGATAAATAAACACTTTTCCCATAAAATCCCTCAAAAACGGAATAAAGTTCAAGTTTAACCCAAAACACCCCATTTTTCCAAAAAAACCCCCCAAATCTTCTTGGGAACGTGTCCAGCAGACGCGCGGCCCACGAAAATAAAAGCCCTCGAGGAAACGGGAAATGTGGCCAGAAACGGAGGGAAGGTCCAGGAAAAAATAAGAGAGGGCGGCCGCACCGAGAATGGGGAGAAATTTGCGCGCAAAAAAGCCCAAAAACGGACCCCTGCTTAAAGTCTTCGCATGGGTCGCTCTTTTCACCCCCACTTTTTTCGGAATTTGGTCTTTTTCCGAACACTTCCATTCGAGGAGAAGCAATGAGTTCACTATTGCCCCTAGGCATGCTTATTTTTTTACAATCATAAAGGCTTTTTTTAGATTTTTTGGCGAAAAACACGTGGAAACTTTTGAAAACGTGATAAAAATTTTATCACAACACCGGAAAAATTGCTGAAAAATATATTTTTTTCAAAATTATTACTCTTTTTTTTATCAGCGGCCAAAAATATATGGGAATTTTAATCAAACTTCAAATATTTGCGCATCAAGTGCTTTCAAGGGCTTTGTTTGCGTTTTATGAAAAAAGGAAGAGTTAGTTCGAACTCGAATAAATTGCATTCCAATTTGTACTCCTAAACAGACTACCCGCCGACTTTTTTTTGGCTTGTTTGTTAGAAAGTAGGGCAGAATTTCGAACGAAAGTTCGTGGGGTCGGATTTTTATGGCACTTGAAAAAATGAGCCTTATTGTTACAATTCTTAAGCCTCTTTGATCCTGAATAATAATTTGGGTATCGTGTAGACAGAGGAACATTTTTGGCAATTTTTTGGAGTCATAACCCCTTAGGCCACCTAGAAATTAAAGAAAGAATTTCTAAAGGCTCGATGTTCAGATTAGCCATACATTCAGCCAATGTGACCTACCTAGTCCATAGATCAATCACTAAAAGTTTTAGATCCCATTTTGCATGAATATCCGAGATATTCAACAATTTTTACATGCGAGAGACTATAGAAAATGAAGAGAGACGGCCGGAGAAACAAATGTTTTTGGCTGTATTTTTTATGTCAGAGAAGTGATTTAGAGAAATATGTCTACAAAGACCCATTCTAACCAATCAAATTTTCACTGATAGCCAAAAAAAAGTTTCTTCTCTGACCGTCTCTCTTCATTTTCCGTGATCTCTCAACTGCAAAGATGGTTGAATATCTCGGCTATGCCTGCCAAGAGAGGGCTGAAACTTTGAGGAATTGACGTACGTCCTAGATAGATTGTACGGACAGAAAGAAGATAGAATTTTGAGCTTTGCATCTCCAGCACTTCCCTTCTCTTGCTAGGATCATAAAAATGGCGGCTTGGTCTTCCCTTTCCAAGCTTGGGTAATTTTTGTTAATATTTTTTTTATGGAAAACAAGAGACTCTACAGAGACCTAATACCCTCCATATTACTCTCAAAAATAGTCGAAAATACGACATTTTTTATTAAAAATCCCAAAATTTTCCCGAAAAATGAAGTCCCGAAATTTTCGGAAAGTCATGAGTAAAGTTATGCGAGAATTTGCGCGCCGACCATGGCCGGGCCCATTTTCTTGGGAGTGAAAAATTGCCCAAAGATTTGGGGATTCCAAATGGGAGAAATCCCTTGGGGATTCCGCCGAAGGTCAGTTATGTTTGGGAGGCGTTTCCGGACGGAAATCCCATTAAATTCAAGGTTTAATCGACTAATACTAAATAAAAACTGAGTGAATTTTATAGAGTACAATGTGAGCCTTCGTACAAAAACATATTACCCTAATTATTTTCACTTTTTCAATATGAAATATTGAAAAATCATCAAAAAGGTCTCAAAAATGCAAAAAATCTCCAAATTTTCCCTCTAAAGGCCTTTTAAAATTCAATTTTGAAAATCAAATCAATGTCCGATAACATTTAGAAAAGAGCAAGCATCAAATAAAAGAGAAACCAACGCACACCACAGACATATGGCCATAGAAAAATATGAAAAATCGTTAAAACCCTATAAATTTGACAATTTTTTCAAAAAATTTTAAAAAGCATGATTAAAATTGACATAAAAAGTATTACAAAGTAATCAGAAAGCCTTTACGATGATTGCCAAAGATGACGTCATAAAAAATATTACAAAAAGTACAAAAAAAATCGCAAAATTTTTCAAAAAACGGCCAAAAGCTTGAACACAGCCATTGTTTCTATTCTTTTAGAAGTTTTTTGACGGAATCAAAAGGACAATCAATTTTTTTGGAAGTGAAATTCATTCTCCTATTCAAATCGGTACAAATTTTTGTTAACGGTTGATCTTTTTTACCCTTCTTAAGACTAAAAGTTGGTAGAACTTCTTCGATTTTCGGGTGAAATGTGCAAGGGAAAGGTGGAAAATGTGAGTTTTATTGAATAAAAATAAATACGATATTAGCATTATTCCATTAAGCCATAAAATTACACAAAACGAGGATTTTTTCAATCAATTTTGAAGAAAAATCATCAATTTTACCTTATTTCAGAGGTTTTTTGATGACTTTTTGAAAAAACTACAGTTTAGTTTGCAAATACTGCCGATGTGTTGTTAAAATACAGCTTAAAACTCGTTATATTATTTGACGTTTTAGAATAAGGAAGATTTAAACTCGGAGAATGTGATCAAATGGCTCATGGAGCGCTATAATGCCAAAGTGGTGCCAGTGGAGAAGCGGCATTCCTTTGAGCGATTCCATTCGCCTCCTTTGGCCGAGGCCGAGTTTGCGGCCAGCCCGGTGATCATGTTTTTGGGGCAGGTGAGTTTTGGGAAAAGCTTACGAAGACGATTTTGAGTATTGCTGTCGTCTATGGGAAACATTGTAGGCCAAATTTGATGACATCAAAATGTCAAAAAATATGACAAACAGTTTCATAGACGGACAGAGACGGGAACCGTTGCTGTGAGCAAAAAAAGGACAAAATTCCTTATTCTGGCAACGACAAAGGTACTCTGCGAACTGCGCCCAAGCTTGGAGCCAAAGTTGGGAAAAAAGGCTTCGATCTAGCAGGCACTGAATTACTATAGTAGCTCTATAGTTTAAAAATTGCCTACAAAGGCTATGACGACTCATTTAGTTTTACACGGAGGCAATAAGTTTAGTTCCGGACTGGTTTCATCGTATAAAGTGTAAAATCGCAGGCTGCAGCCGTTTTTGAAGGGCAAGGTGGTACGTAAAAAAGAAGGTACCTCACTAACTAGATCCACTGTCCTGCCATTGACAACGATGAATTCAGCCCGCACGCTAAATTTGGGCTAATTCTGACCAGTTTCCGCAAAGTTATTATTATATGAGTTGTGGCCAGAATAAGGAACTTTTACCCAAAAGAATGACATTCCGTTCATTCTCGAGATGGGAAAATGGATGTGATTTGTTCAAAACCTGTTAACAAAGTTACATCTTTTTACATTTACGTCATCTTTCCAGTACTCCGTGGGAAAGACGTCGATGATTAAATACCTCTGCAATAAAGACTACCCTGGCGCTTCGATTGGCCCGGAGCCAACTACTGACAGTTTCGTTGCTGTTCATTATGGCAAAGAGCCGCATATTGTCCAAGGCCTTACGTTGACCGAGGACAACCGATTTCCGTTTCAGGTAAATTTTAAAATTTTTCCGAGTATTTTTTTTCAATTTTACTTCGTACTTTAGTCCCTAAAAATTTTCGGCTCCGCATTTTCCTCACGCCTTCAAGGAGCAGCTTTAAATGCCCCAATTTTGAAGCATATGAGCTTCCTGGATACCCCGGGAATCTTGTCTGGAGAAGAGCAAACAACAAAACGACAGTACGGTTTTAATCAAGTGGTGCGGTTCCTCTGCGACAAGGTGGATATGGTCATTTTGATGTTTGATACGACGAAATTGGACATCTCGGACGAATTGAAACAAGTGATCAATTGTTTGAGAGGGAATGAAGAGAAGGTAATTGGGACTTTTTTCGGGTAAAATACGAATTTGCAGATTTTTTCAGTGGAAAAATATTTTTTTTTTCAAATTTTAAATTTTTATTTATTTTTTTTTTATTTTTTCTGAATTTTAGCTTCGAATTGTCCTAAACAAAGCGGACATGGTCGATGAGGCATCGATGATTCGAGTTCGCGGAGCTTTAATGTGGGGATTGAGCAAAGTCATCCAAACTCCGGAGGTCCCCAAAGTTTATATTGGCTCGTTTACGAGGGAATTGAAGGATGTAAGTTGACGGGAGTGTAATGTTTTCTGATAAAAAGAATATTTTTTCTGTTTACAGCCCTTTTTTCTTTGGCCATTCCTCTTAATATTTTACTGTCTCTCCACTACGCAGATTGTTGAAAATCTCGGCTCACCTTGCAAAGTTCGGGCTACAATTTTCTAAAATTGCTGTTTGTCTTATTTTAAAAAGATCGGAATTTATTTTTTCCTGGATTTTTTTTCGAAAAATCAAATTTTTTTTTTATTTTTTTCAGAAAAGCATCATGAACACGTTCAAAGAAGACTACCTGGAGCTTTTTCACGAGATTCAACTAACTGTCAGTCGATGTACAAGTCGAAAAGTGAATGATCTGATCAAAAGAATCGAGTTGGTCAAGACTCATGCCGGTCTGATGACAATTATGATGGGAGGCCGATTTGTAAGCTACTGATTACTTTTTTAATCATAAATTTATACGTCAAGTGTGCAAAAACATGTCAGGAACTCTTTGAACTCGTATTTTACTCTTCAATCTTCAGTCATTTTCCGACAATGAGAAGGGAATGCAGAAAATGTTCGCCGCGGACCGAGTCAAACAAAAGTTTGCAGAATTTCGAATCAAACAGAGAAAAGCGCCCGCTGATTTGCCTGATGTGGAAGTAAGCTCCTTGTTTGGTTATAAAAAAGAATTTTTTTAGGACTATCGAAAAGCGGCCCTAGAAACGACCAAGAAACATTGGGTAAAAGAAGACCCGAAATTGATGAAAAACCTCAATGATTTCATTGAAAACGACATTCCAAAGTGAGTTTCAGGGCTAGTAGAGACTGAATATTGCTTCTAATTTTTTAGGAGAGTATTTGTTAGAAAAAAATTAAATGAAAATTTAAAAAAGAAACTATTTTTTGACAAAAAACTGGGTTTTTTTACGCTTTAAAACGTTTTTTAACAAATTTTATAGGGAATTTACAATCTAAAATCCCGCGCTACAACATGTTTGCCTTCTTGTTTAGTCATCAAAATCTGAAATTTCCAAATTTTTTGTGCTTTTTCATTTGGCAGACTGCGCCCTAGAAATTACCGAAAAAGACGCCTACAAGTTGCACCTCCAAACTTCAAACTGTCTAATAGTTCAACTTCAGAGCACTAGCAGCGATGAAATACGACGAACTGCCATCAGACTCCCTAAAATCCTGTTTCCAAGACCTGGTGAAGGCTGTGAACGAAGCTCCGGTGCATATCCCATCGCAATTGTCAACCGAATCAAGTGAAGAGAAAATAAAGGACAAAAAGAAGGATAGCAAGCCTAAATCGAATAAAAGTTCGAAGGTCCAATCAGACGGAGATCACAAGAAAAAGAAGAACAAAGAAAAGAAGAGGATGAAGGCTAACGTATGAGATGATATTTGATGGATCTTGAGGCTTTCTTGCTCAGTTAATATTTATTGAGTGTGATAAAGATTTTTAGAAGCATTTTTGTCGATTTTATTGCGTAATACCGGTCTGTCGGAAAAAAACGGCGGCTTGGGATTTGGTGCGCGACAGCGGCGAGGCGAGACACTTCGCTGCGACGATCCGCCGTTATTTTCCCGAAAGAATGATATTGACGTTTACCACGATTTTTTCGGAATCGTCAATTTGGCAAATTGCGGCCTATGGTAGTCAAAATGAATTATAAACAACTTGAAGAGGCCAAAGAAACTCTTTTACCGGTATTGTTTGCCTCGGCTTTGGATTATGGTTGGTTTGTTTGCCCATTCGTTGCGTGGATCCGGTAGGACATTCCCTGTAACAAAAGTGATGCCGACTGGATGACGTCTACATTGTGGTCTGGAAAAAATTTGAAAATTCTACAAGAATTTTTGGAAATTTAAAAATCGGATTTTGAACAGTTCCCTTTTCAGTTGTTCAATTTTAATGTCACAAAAAGCACGACGGATGTATCATGGAGTTTAATTGTAATGTTTGTCTTCTAGATCAGAGAATTCCATCCAAAAAATTGGTTGTGTTATAAAAATATGAAATATTTGTGACCTATGATAGATCTGGTACGTGTGCTTCGTCCACGAAAGCGTAGTTTAATGCGTAATTGAGTAAATTAAAAAAAAACTTTTTCCGGAATTAAGTCACCATTTTTTTGAGACAGCATCGCTAAATTCCTCTTTTTGTGTGCCTTTAATGTATGTTTGATCGGCTATAAATAGAGACTCTGCGGTCTTTCTTTTGAGGGATTCAACTTGTTCGCCATGAAGCCGGTTGTTACACTTGTGCTTCTGTCAGCTCTAACTCAATGCGTTCTTAGCCAAGGCCGTTTTTACAATTTCCCTGGGAGCAACAATTACGGAGTTGTCAACGACTTTTACTGGGATGGATATCAGTACCGCTCCAGAGGCAACAATGGCGCGCATGTCGACCGGAATGGCGACTACTACAATTACAATGACAACTACAGGAGTATCAACAATAACTTTAACAACGTGATTGACAGTTCCCAGTTGGACCAAAACAGGAACAGAATGAACGGCTGCAGAGACGGTGGAACTGACTGTGCCAAGAGCAAACATCTCTGTGAAGATAATGTAAGTGGATATTTTGTTGGCTCGGCAACTATTTATATACCAAACATGGAGATTTATTTTCACGTTTTTCGGAGCCCGAGTTACCCGGGTGCGAAAATTTACCAACCCTAAACTTCGTATTTTGCAGACATACCGAAGCTTCATGGCGGTCGAGTGCCCCTTGACGTGTGGAAAGTGTTAAAAAAATTAATGATTGCTAAAAAACCACTGCTAACTGTTTAATTGTATTTTTTTGAATAAAAGAATAATTATGCTGCTCTACAGTCAAAAGTTAATTTTTTTCATGAAAAATCAAGATTTTTTATAAAAAAATTAATAAAAAAATCCGAGCTGGGCCCGAGTTTCTTTACAACCCAACCCAAAAATCTCTCCCACACCTCTATCCCACATCAAGATTACTCCAATCTTCTACACAATGCATCTTTATTGGTTAATAATTTACAATCGTATTTGCATAAGATCCCGTATTTCCGAAGTTGACAATAAGTTATTGAAATAATACCCGTTGATTAACAATTTACATAATGATTGAGTTTTGGGGGTTGTCCGTAGTTGGTTTGTTGCCAATTGGTGGGCTGAGGGCCCCATGCCGACGTTGTGTTGGGGTGTTGCCAAGCTCCTTCTCGTTGAATTTGTGGGGGAGTCGGGTTGAAATTTTGCCGTCTCCTTATGGGGTCCGAAGGTCCTTGGAATTGGCCGAAATTCGATGGGATTTGCTGGGGGATTGGCGACGGATTTGAGGGGACTTGCTGCGAGAAATACATCGAGTCATTTGCGGATGTCATATGCGGAGAATTGGGTCGATTCTGAAGGGAAGCCGAGGTTGCGCTGGGTGCGATCGGTGCGGGCGGCTTCATCATGGCTCTGGGATCGGTGACTTGCAGCAATGGGGCCGGTGAGAGGGGTGGGACCGGGCTGACAGGCCTCCGTGCCGGGATGTTCAACAACATCTCGCAGACGTCGCGTTGGGGAAGCTTTTTACGGCCCGCTTCGGACATGTAGGCCAGAAGGTTGGGCTTGGGCAGGGTGGGGACGCCGAATGCGGTCACAAATTCCTTCATCAAGTCCGCGTCCGAGATCATGGCAACCAAGAAAATCGGAATGAATTTTGTTGAGATCTGAAGAAATGTGGGGAAATTAGTGAAAACAATCGGAAAAACAGACACTCCGAACCCGGATTTTCTGCCAATTTCTTTCGATTTTTCTCTGGGAATTTCGCGAAAACAGAGAAAAACGGTCCAATCGCGACTAGCAAAGTTCACAAAAAAAAGCATCATAAATCTCTAAAACAAGCAAAAATAATCACAATATCAAGAGTGTCAAATAAAAATAGTTTTCAAAACTGTTGCAATTACTTCAAGAACTCTTCAACAAATCATTTGTTGTTAATTTATTACCAATAAAAGACAAGAAAAATATCAAAAATACTGTACATCACTGGATTGTGAGAAGGTTGTGAAATGTGTGAGAGTACCCGTAACATTGCGTACAATCATGGAATAAGTGCGGTTTTGTGTCTGTAATATCATGATAATCTTGGGGAATCACATAAACACCATTAATTTTGCACTATCCTGGAGGTTTCTGCAAATTTTGGAATGGCGAGCTGCGCCCGAGGTTACTACTAATAATAAGATCAATCAGCTAATGACTTCGAAAAAGGTCTTACAACACTGAAGAACTTCTAAATTTTATACTTATCGCCAATTTTGACCTTGCATCAGCAAATTTGGAAATTGCGAGCTGCGCCCTAGATTTCCAAAAACCACCTGGATTCCGTCCCAACTCTTCATCAAAGGTCTCTACTCTACTCTAAAAGTCCTATTTCCCCATTACTTCCACTCTCTACTCACCTATCTTATCCTAATAATATTGAGGTAGACCTATTGGATATCGTTTCCAAAGAATCCCTCGGGGAAACTCGGCGACGGGTTTGGGTTAAAATTTGAGAAGTTCATAGACTGTTGAGGTATGTCAATCTGCGGCGGGACGGGCTGCTGGGGTTGGTATGGGAAAACCGAGTTCTGTTGGAAGAACGGCGAAAACGGCATTTGATAGCCGGAATCGAAAAAGTTGTTCGGGAAACCTTGGAAATTCGGGGCCGACGGTTGCGGACTTTCCTCTTCATTTTCTGGTTGCTGTTCTGGCTGAGGTGCGGGTTCGGAGGGCGACGGCAACGGATTCTTTGCCTCTTCTGCCGCCCGTTGCTCCGCTTCCTTTTCGGCTTTCGACTTTCGGCCGCGTTTTTTGGGTTCCTTCGGTTCGTCCGGTTTGATTGCCTTAGGCTCAATGATCGCGGGGCCGCGGCGTTTTTTGAGATGGGGTTGAGGGAGGTCAGAGATATCCAACAACATTGCACCTCCTTCTCTTTTTGTGAGGTTTCGTTGGAATTTCTTAGGTTCGTTGGTGAACCCGCCTGAGATTTTTGAGGGATTTGCCGACTTTATCCCTTTCATGGGCACTAAAATTGAGAAAATGGAAAACTCAAATAGTAAACATACTTGACACATCCATTCGTCGTTGATTGTTGCGCATTCGGATGGGCAAACTTGAGACATAACTTGTGACTGGCGCTTTCTTGTGACTATTGGGGTCGTTCAGCGATTCAGCGGCTAAAATACCAATTTTCAATTAAGAATTTCATCTCCATGTCTTGTAAAAACATCCAGAAGCTATACAGAGTCTTATTCTTACTTTTCAAGGCATCTTCAAGTAGTGCTTGAGCTTTCGACGGCCTTCTCAATTTAAAATGTTGTTTTGGCTCGTCCTCAGTATAACCATACATCATTTTGGTAGTTTGCGGTGTTGCAATGATAAAATCTTCGGGTACCACCTTCCTCGTGAGTGTTGGGACCAACGCCGCCACTAATTTGAAGAGAGAAAACCATCAAAATTATGTAGTACTTACAACTTTGAGACAGATGGCTAACCGTCTGACTGAAATTGTCATTTGGATTCATTGTCGAAGACTTTAGATATCTTTTTGATGGAAATTGCGAGTACAATTCAGCCATCACCTTTACCCATTCACTTGAGTCGTTTTGAGCAATATGCAGCAGATTTTCCAAGGGCTCCCTCCACTAAACCAAGAACAATATAAATTTCATGCCAAATCTTACATTATCCAGAAGTTTTGGGGATAAATGCGGAATAGATTGTATTAGCTTCAACTTTACATGCATTTCCAAGGCGCTGAAGCAAGTGGCCAATTCAGTGAGCAGCTCTTTGGATAACACTCCAGCCGCTTGTCGACTGCACCAATGCGCTTGTGTGTCTCCAAGTTTGGTGTCAAGCCACTTCACCAAGTCCATTCCCTTTAGGTTTGCCGCTGGATGTGTCATTTTGTCTAAAAGTCGGGATTTTAAAAATATTTCGTCTTATTTAGTCAATTGCAATAAAAATAAATCAAACAGAAATGGTAAAAAGTGCTGTGAAAGAAGAGATATAAGCCGTATAACAAAGGGGTCTTATCGAAGAATTAAAAAAATTCAGATAAAACATCAAAATTTTATATGAAAAGGAACTAATATCCGAGAATGATAATATAAAAACAATATTAGCAGCTATAAGTTTCTGACAGTTCGTGTTTTACCTCAAATTCGCTGCAAGATTGCCGGATACCCCGAGGAAAAAAGGAACAACAAAAAAACAAAAAGAAGAACAGGTTGCAACATAATGCCAAAAGCCCGCAAAATTTTTTTGGCACTTCAATTTTTCGGTGTGAAACCCCGAAAATCGGCCCATTTTTATTTATTTTTCCGGAACAAGCTTGGCCCCGAAGACAAGAGGAAGTCGAAAGCCCCTTAGGCCTTTGACCTAAACGTTTTGGCCGTTCGTTTGATAAGAAATTTTTTTCCCGGGTTTTACTGATACTTTTTCAAATTTTTTTTATATCGTGTGTTTTGGGGAACGGATAAAATGTGACGAACGTGCTTTTACGTGGGTTTCGGGGACGCCCGGCCAAGCTCGCCATTTTATACTTTTGTCCGTGAGTGTATCAAGCTATTTCGAATGATTTGTTTTCGAAATTTTGTGGATTTGTTCTGTTTTGAATCGAAATGAAATTGTAAGTTGAAATGTGAGACTATGTTAAAGTCGAACTTTCTAAATTTTCTGTCTTTCCATCAACAACCTGTCTGGATGCAAAGGTTGAGATAGCTATCTATCTAGGTTGTTATAGCTATCCCAACTTATGTACTTTTTTTAAAAAATAAAAGTTCAGACAAACAAAAACGTCTGTCTACATTTAGAAAGCAGATGTGATAGGAACTTCGTAGCTCAAGAATTTTGTATTTTATATCATTTTTCGTATTCTTTTTCTTTAGATTGGTTTTGTGATATTGTACACAACAATTAATCCCAATTGAAAAGCGCTTTTTTAGCTAGTCTTCTCAATTATTGATTGAAATTTTTGAACACTTCGTTACAAAAACACGGTCCAACAAATATTATCGCCTCTCACTTTTGAGGACATCGGGTGATTGGGTGAATAGTAAATAAGAAGGAGGGAATAGAACTCTATCTGCACCACCTAAAATAATTTTTGCAGTTTTTACCGTTTGCAAGATATAGCCACCTTAAGTATTCAACAATTGCAATCTTTCCCGTGGTCTAACCGACTTATAATAACGAAAAATCGCATGAAACTTGGAAGTCAACATTGACACATTCTTATCAAACAGTATGCAAAAAATCGCGGCACATTTACTACTCGGCTGAGGAGTTATACATCAATCTTTCCCCATAACAAAAATCAGTTCCCGGCTTTTTGGCACTTTTTGGCATTCTGCAAATGGGAAAAATAAATATAAAAAAAGTCATGAAGATTTATATATTTTATCAATTATAGTGTCTTTATGTAATAATTTAGACTTTGATGGTTCATACCCATGTCATTTGGCAACTTGCCGACGTCTAAAGGAACTTTTGGCTAGGAAACAGGACTTGGAAGGCGAGAAAATCGTTTTTATACAGGGTGTTCCTAGAATTATGGAAAAAACTATTCATTAATAACTTTGTGCTCGGTGGTCCAATCCGAAAAATTTCTTTTGCATTTTACAGTAAAACATTTGAGTTTTTAGAATCAGAAAAAATTTTTTTCTTAGATCGGCGGAGACTTCAGTAATCCTCCTTGAATTCGGCGGAGTGTTTTTTTCCCAAATGAGTTGTATGTGTGAAGAAAATGGGCGGGAAAGGATTCAGAGGATACAGCATGACATTTATTTCAAATCTTTGTCATTCGGCGGAGACATTTTTTAACCTCGGCGTACGATTTTTCTTCGACTTTGGAGAGTCAAAATTGGCCAAAATCAAAACTTATGGTATTCCTGGTGGCATGGCGCCTAAATACGACTTGTTACACCTTCGGCATACTGGGAGAATAAAAAAAGCAATTCGGCGGAGAAATCGGCGGAGAAAAAAATCAATCCATTTTCACAGCCTCGTTTGTGAAAAAAGCACTCCGCCGAATTCAAGGCGGATTACGGAAGCCTCCGCCGATTAAACAAAAAAATTTTTTTTGATTCTAAAAACTCCAAGGCTTTTCTGCAAAATGCAAAAAAAAATTTCGGATTGGACCAGCGAGCACAAAGTTATTAACGAATAGTTTTTTCCATAATTCTTGGAACACCCTGTAAAAAAAATATTCTTTGGAAATTCTTTTATTTTGCAGAATGCCAAACCCCTTTTCATTTTCGTGGTGAGACAAAAGACTGCAAGCGAGATTAATTGTTGTGGTACATGGCAAAACAGGTCTATATGTCGTCGTTTAAGACTGAATTTAGCTTAAGCTGAGCCTATCATTTTTATATTTGTTGATGAGTACAGTCTTAAGCCAAAAAAATATATTTTTTGCTTGATTCTGGCCTGAATTAGACGTTTTTTGTAATTTCCTTTATGGTATCCTTGTGCACAGTGGGGACCTGATCCAGAGTCAAAAAACGTACCATTTTGGATCCGGGAAGTATCAAAAATGTGGAAAAATGCTTCCCTCTTCAAGTGAAAAAACTTCTTTTTGAAGGGCGCGCGTGCGTGTCCTTTCCCTCACAAAAAGAGCGCTGGTGAAATCGGAGTTTTTTCACTTGGAGAGGGAAGCATTTTGCCACATTTTTGATACTTTCCGGATCCAAAATGGTACGTTTTCTGTCACTGGATCAGGTTGCCCATTGTAATGTCTGTTTCTGCAGTTAATTGGCTTCAAGGTCTTGATCTGTGCTAAAGCGACAGGTTAGATAGTTTTTAATCAGGTCGGGGATACTAATTTATCAAGTGTAATATAGTGATTTTAAATCAAGGTGATTTAAGTGGCTACAATAATTATATTAATACCTGACGGGGTTTCATACTCGGTTGCTCGTATTTCTCACGTAGAAACTTTTATCTTAACTTCCTTGAATGTCCACGTGAACTACGCGGAGTAAACAATATCAAGAAATAAAAGGTCTTGCAAATGATTCGATTTCAAAACCTGGTTTTCTGCACTATCAACAGCCTTCGTTATCAAGTTCTTTCCTGGTCTTCCAAGTTTGTTTTGTTGGCTGATTTTTGTTAGTTATGCCGAAGGGCGTGTGGAGGCCGACCCTCTATGAGGATGAGGTAAAAATGATTTTTATTATGAGCATAGGCACTGATGAATGAAAATAAATTAGGCTTAAGGACTTATTGGTCGATTTAGAGACCATTTTTACGGGATCCTTATTGTCCAATTTTGAAAAAATCACGGAATTCTTTTATTATGATCTGACTTTAATCTTGAATTCTTACTGATTTTGTTTTGGTCACAATGGTCATGGGAGTGTCTAATCAAAGTTTTGTTCTCGAAAATTCCGAAAAATGCATCTATTATAAAAGTAAAATCAGGTGCGGACGATACTGATTTAGGCGAGAAAGTGGAAAAGTTGTTTGAGCGGTTTAAAACTAAAGACAATGTACAGTGACGGACCTGATCCAGTGGTAAAAAACGTACCATTTTGCATCCAGGAGGTATCAAAAAATGTAGCAAAATACCACCCTCTCCAGCTGAAAAAAATGCGATTTCGAAGGCGCGCCTGCTCTTTTTTTGGGCGCCCTTCTAAACGTAGTTTTTTCACTTGGAGACGGAAGGATCTTGCCACATTTTTTGATACTTCCCGGATGCAAAATGGTACGCTTTTTACCTCTGGATCAGGTCCGTCACTGTTGCCGGGTTAGATGATTCAAAATTTTTTGTTGTGAATTTGAAAATTGCGTTGAATCCAAACCTCGATGTAGATTTTGTTGAAATTCGAGCAGATAATTGTCTATAGTCTACATTTTTTGTTGACAACAGCTCTGTAGTCGGGTAGATGGGTTGTCGCTGTAAAGTACGGCATGCCGTGCTCTGTGATTTGTCCTTTTGTTTTTATTCGTCTGAAAATAGTTTTGATCCATCGCTTCACCTGAAATGCCATCCCTTTCCCACTTATTTGTCCTCACTTTTGAACATCATCCTCTTTTTTTTCTCCTCCGTTCCGTTCTTCGTAAGTCTGTTCACGTCTGAGAAAGCGGGGTGCATTCCATTTCACATTGTCTTCACATGCGTCCAAGGGGTGTTTGTTCGGGAAAAATCCCACCCGATAATCAAGTGCAGCGGGAGGAATTTTGAAAAAAGAGACCAAGGTTATCAGACCATTGGTTATGGGGCTATTTTTTCGAGAAGTTTTGGACTTTTTGGAATAGTGTTTGAAAAATTTTGTGGCTGAAATGTCCCAGTTTTAGAACGAAGATTTTTTTATGATTTTATAAATGCTTGAGGCTATGAATATTGGATTTGGTGGTGTTTATGAGATTATACATTTTAATTGACCTACCAAAGTTTAGCTTCACCTGGAAATCGATTGAGATTGGTCTAGATTATATTGTTCTAGGTCGGTCGTCCATTTTTGGCCTCATGAGCTAGTCTTTCTTGTTTAATATTATTTGAAATGCTGTAATAGACGCCGGTGACCTCTGGTTTATCATGTTTCTTTCAAAATTTTGAAAGGAAGGTCAGATTTGTCGGTTTTGGAGAGACGTTGTTGTGTGGAGGGTTTTGGTCTAAAATACTTTTTGTTTTCGCCAATGTCGTCTGTTACAGACAGTGTTGGGTATATAAGGTGTCTTGGTCGGATTTGTAATAGTGTCTCTATAAATCAAATAGGAACAAACCAAATCTGCATAACAAACGACTTTAGCAGCCAGAACGAGGGTTTAGGCCAAGAACCCCTCCATACAACGAAGAATCTCTGTACAGACAAATTTAAAATTAATGCAGTGGGATGCTTGATGCAGTATCAAAAAAACGTACCATTTTGCATCCGGGAAGTATCAAAAATGTGGCAAAATGTTTCCCTCTACAAATGAGAAAAATTTTAGTTGGAGAGGGAAGCATTTTTCCGTATTTTTGATACTTCCTGGATACAAAATGGTACGTTTTTTGCCTCTGGGTCAGGTCCCCTACTGTAGAGGTCGCATTCGACAACTTTTTTTACAGTATTGATGGCTTTGGTCACTAAAAATTTCAATTAGTAACCTAATCCCAGTTAGCTCCAATTCACACTCTCTACCCCTTAGAAGCGCCCTTGAATCGTCATTCACACACACTTGATCTTCGCCACGGCTCTCGGTATGATCTAATTTTTTCATTGCCCATCCCCCAACGCTGGAATTTTTCGCGGGAATCAAAGAGAGAGAGAACCGTGGAAAGGGCGCTTGAACACAACAAAAACGGTGTTTGCTTTCTTATCTACTGTGCACTCTATTCATCTGAAGCCAAAGCAAGTATTGTGAAGGCTGAAAGGCTACTAAATATTACTATTATTCGCAGGTTTTACTAGATCTGCCAAGTTTTTTGCCCGATTTCGAAATTTTCAAAAAGAAATTGAGAGATTACTGTAATTGGCGGCTGAAATTGGCGATTCTAGGACCTCTAAGGTCTCCTGCGTTGGCTGTAGTTTATATAAAAGCTTCTAAGGCTTGAAAAAAAAGTTTATTTATTGGCTGTTATTACCTAAAAATCTAGTCGGTTGGATTTTCTTTGATATTTCTTTACCGAATTCCCAGTAATCTGTCACTTTAACTGTATTGTCTACGACATATCCAACCTCTATTTGGTACATTCCTGCATATCATCGTGGATCTCCCAACTTTCCGACCTTATACTTGCCCATCTTACGCTTCCCATAAATGGCGTCCTATTGCAGATTCCCACCGAAAACGCCCACCGAAAGTATGTCGAAGCTCTCGGCGCGCTCTCTGCGGAGTCTCCAACTCCTCCGTCAGCCGGCTTCGGCACTTTCGGCCGCACATTTTAGTCAGATCGCAACGTAAGTTTTCTGATTTTTTTTGCTTTTTCTCAATTTTAGGGAAAAGAAGAGAAGTGATACTGTAAGCGTTCGGATTGCGAATCGCTGACGCCATTTTTTGTTAGTTTTGTAAAGATCTGTCAATTCAGAGAGCAATTTTTTGTCATGAGTAATATAAGTCTTATAAAAAACTTTGAATTATTGTAAAAAGATGGCAACGCGCTGTTAAAAACAGTTAGTAACCTCCATAATTCTCGACTCTTCCCGTTCGCAAAAGCATGATTCGTCAAGGGTCAAAGTATCATTCCATAAAAAGTAGGAAAAGCGGCGTGGAGAAGAATGCTCGAATTCCACATCAACTCTGATAATTTTTTGACAAAAACACATTTGCAGTTAGGTTTTATGGGAAATAGTGTAGTATCGACTTTAAAGTAAAAAATTAACAAGGAGAAGTTTCCGGAAAATATAATACAAATTTTAGACGTTTTTTGAGTTTCTGTTTTGATTTCTCCCATGTAGATGACGCAATTTGAAACGTTTTTGATGAATGATGACGTTCAGAGTACTCGAAATCATATGCTTTCACAACAAAAGATTAGGATTTCACATGTGATTTGACTCTTCCAAGAGCTTATCATGGTGAATATAAAATAATGGTGTTTATGATCGACTAGATAAGTATTTGGTTACCAAAGAGTCTGCAGCTGATTTAACAAGGATTATCAAGTTTTTTTGCAGTAAAAACGTGTACAAATTCAAGCCCTTGACCAAGTCCAGCGCTAACGTTCTGCTCAATGGAAAATGGGTACGATACTACAGTGGTAAGTTGAATTATGATTTTTGTTGATGTTTAGGGCGTATTTTAGCGAATGGCTTCATATTGTAAGCAGATTTGAACCGAGTCGGTATCAAATTTTGCATTTCCCGATATTACTTTAGGTACCTTTTTCGCTCGGCTTTCCTTAAACTCGCACAGGTTTTGTTAAGCAGTGTGAATAACAGGATAATAAAACAAATATAGATGATCCCACGCATCGCCCCCGTTTCGAATCACCGCTAATATTAGGCTTTTTATGGTGTTTTATAGTTTCAAATGGGATATTTAGAATACACGTTATTTTAATAGGAACGGTGAAATTGAATTTATTATTTGTTTGAAACAGGTCTGGATTGTTTTGATAAGCCGTTTGAGGATTGAAATTTGGATTTGGTTGATGATATTGTAGTAGTGGCTTATGCAGTATAGTAATATAAGCGGATGTAAATGACCTATTTAAAGGCCATAATTCTTTGAAGTTGCTTAATAAGCGCCGTGATTATTTTTAAAGTTTTCAAGAATTTTTTGAGGGGCTAAAACCGAGTCTTTGAGATCTAGTGTAATATAATTTTTTGACAGTAATTGATATCATTGTTTTCCATATTAAATAGTAGCGTTGGAAATAGCTTTTGGATGGGTTCAAGTACTTTTGATGTCCTATTCAGCAAAAAAAATCATTTTTTTTTTGATTTGGACCTCTAGTGCAATATTAATATATATTTTTTAATAGTGATTCAAAACTTCTTAGATTCAAGTACTTTTGTAAAGATTCTTGTTTTGTTATGACGTTACCCTCTTCGTTTTCATTACAGCCGAACTCCCGGAGCATCTGAAAGTGACGTTGCCGGCCTTGTCACCGACAATGGAGATGGGAACCATCGTTTCTTGGGCCAAAAAAGAGGGCGAGAAGATCAACGAAGGAGATTTGCTCTGTGAAATTGAGACCGACAAGGCGACGATGGGTTTCGAAACCCCCGAAGAGGGATACCTGGCCAAGATCTTGTTGCCAGAAGGCAGCAAGGACATCCCCATTGGAAAAGTAAGATTTTTTGGATTTTTGTTTGAATTTTAGAGGAAATTTTTTGGAAGAATTGAGAAGCAAACAAGATTTTATGATCCGTGTTTATACGGGATTTTAAACATTTTAAAAATTTTGATCCATTTTTGAGATTTTTTTGTATCATTTTAGTGTTTTTTATGAAATACTAATCCATTTTTTCAGCTCCTCTGCATTATTGTCGAGAAGGAAGCCGATGTAGCCGCCTTCAGAGACTTCGCGGCCTCCGGTGATGCCGCTGCCGCCCCAGCGGCCCCTAAACCTCAAGCTGCTCAACCTCCACCACCACCCCCACCAGCTCAAGCACCCCCTGCCCAAACTTTCACACCACCCACTGCCGTTGTCCCACCAACCCCTCAGGCTCCGCCAGCTCAAGGCGGCAGAGTGAAGGCCTCTCCGTATGCCAAGAAATTGGCCGCCGAACATGGGATCCCACTCAGTCAGCTGGCCGGATCAGGTCCAGGCGGACGTCTCATCGCCAGTGATATCTTGAACGCCGGCCATGGCGTAGCACCCGCTGGTGCTCCAGCAGCCACAGCGGGAGCACCAGCCGCCCAGGCCGCCGCCCCAGCTGCCCATGCCGCGGCTCCAGCCCATTCGGCCGCCCACACCGGCCCGGTCTCGGCTCCATCTCAACACGCCTCATATCAGGATTTACCGTTGTCCAACATGAGAAAGGTGATCGCCAAACGCCTGTCCGACTCCAAGTCCACCATCCCGCATTATTATTTGACCAGTGAAATCGAAGTGGACGAGTTGTTGAAGATCCGCGAAAAGTTGAATGTGATCGTCGCGGCCGAAGCCAAAAAGGACCAAAAACCACACAAGTTGTCCATCAACGACTTCATCATCAAAGCCTCGGCGCTGGCCTGCCTCAGAGTGCCGGAAGCCAACAGTTTCTTCATGGACTCGTTCATCCGACAGAACAATCAAGTCGATGTTAGTGTAGCTGTCTCCACCGACAAGGGACTGTTGACCCCAATTGTATTCGACGCCGACTCGAAGGGCATTCTACAGATCAGCAAGGAGGTGAAAGCACTGGCGCTCAAGGCCAGAGAAGGAAAACTTCAACCGCAGGAGTTCCAGGTAAGGATATTATAAAATTTTGGTGTTGTCATGGAATTTTTTGTCGATTTTGGGAGATTAATGGAGTATTTGTAGGGAGGAACCTTCAGTGTCTCGAATTTGGGCATGTACGATGGAGTGGACCATTTCTCCGCCATCATAAATCCGCCTCAAGCCACCATCCTGGCCGTTGGAGCCGCTAAGAAAAAGCTTCGACCTAGCGAAGATGGGTGAGTTGATTTTGTATGTTTGTATGTCTTAGGAGACCCTGTTTCATGAGCTATTAAATTGCTTATAAGTTGTTCGGAATAGTTGTAATTTGTTTTTGTTTTAGCCACAAACAAGTCACCACCATCAAAGTCACCCTCAGCTGTGATCATCGCGTTGTGGACGGCGCTGTGGGCGCGTTATGGATCCAGCACTTTAAGGGCTTTTTGGAGAAGCCACACACCATGCTCCTCTAAGTGAACATCATAACTTGCGACCAATTAGACCTATTAAATTTATATTATTTTAGACACACGTCTTGGACTTGATATTATACTTTATTGTTCAACCGTACTTCTGTGTAGAGATTGGATATTACGGCGAAATGAAGCTAATGCTATGTAGTTTAGTTTGTGATAAGGTTGAGGTTGTAGGCCGAGTATTTGTGATGTTATTCATGATGTAGTATAAGGTCTTTTTTGGTCAACGTCAAGTCCAAAACATGTCTAGGTGGTATTGGTCAGCTGAAATAGGACAATTGCACTTTGTTCCGTTTGTTGTTTATCTATTAGTCTAATAAAGTAATAGGCGATAGTCTTTTTTTTTTCTTTAATAATCATGATTTTTTTCAAATCTTGAGGCAACCGGAATAAATGGAACAGATTGAGAATGAAGGGATAGATCCACACGGATTGGTCTTTTTTTGGTTTATTCGATTAATAACGGATTCAAAACAACTTGTAGTAACATGTAAGACCGCTTTTTTGTATGTACATAACACTGCCAATAACTGAGTTCCGTTTGTAATTGAGATCATCCAACTCCGAAAGTCACTCTCTCAAAAGTGCAACCAGTAATTGTAGAAATATCGTGCCGATGAAGTGTCTAAACTCGATCGCCGCTGTTGTGGCTGATCTGCAACCAGACTGCGACAACTGTAAAGACAATTGAGACCATCTGAAAAAATCACAATTAGTCATTTTGGTTCGCTTTTCAATATGTATTTTTGTCACCTAAAGTGGCGGACATGATCCAGTGGCAAAATATGTATCATTTTGCATCCGGGAAGTTTCAAAAATGTAGCAAAATACCTCCCTCTCCAACTAAAAAATTTTGTTTCGAAGAGTGCACCCACAAAAACACAAAAAAGGCGCCTTTGAAATTGGAGTCATTTAGCTTGGATAGGGAGGTATTTTGCTGCGTTTTTGATACTTCTCGGAAGCAAAATGGTACGTTTTTTTATGACTGGATCATGCCCGCCACTGTACAACGCTTCAAATTCTGGGAGTTTTTAAGATTGTCGTCTCGCCTACTTACCGTCAGCAAAGCAGATCGGTCCATGTGAATGAATTTGCCCATTGTTAGGCCCCAACTCGTATCTCCGAACTTTTGAATCAGCTGGTCCTTCTGGAAAATTAGTTTTTTTTACCATTAGGAGATTGATATGTAGGGTAATTTTAACCTATTGATAACTTACTACATTTTTCGCATCATCCGGCGCTAATTTATTCAGAATCAGCGGCAACGCTTCCCTCGACTTTTCATTACAGTATATTAAGGACAGGACGAACATCATCGTCCAAACAAATCTCATTAGCCAGCCGATTAAAAGCAAGGAGAACTCCAAATATTCCCAGAACTCGTCGTTCCACCGCTCTGTTTGGGTCTCGCCAATAACCAGCTTCGCCATATTGGGCTCGGCATTTGGCCGATAGGGGCTGGTGAAATAGCGCATCAAAATGTACCAACGCAGAGTCATGTCGGCTAATTTGGCGCTGAGGATGACAAAAACTGTGCGGTTGAAGGTGTGCTCGGATTGGGCTTGGATCCGCTCGACTCGTCGGAATTCCTGAAAAAAAGTGTAATACTGTAAGTACCACATCTTGTAAACAAATTCAAAGTTTCCTAACCACAAGCAGTGAAAGCCTCCATTGGATGAAGATAGAATAAAAGATCAAGGTCAAACCAAAATTTGGTATCAAAAAGTATCTCAGCTATTAGGTCGTCCAGAAAGTTCGTTCGTTTTTTGATTGCTTTGTTTTACAAGGCTTTTTTGTTCCTTGGCAAATGGAATATATTTATTTGATAGAGCTTTTTCTCCTCTACACTGTATCAAATAAATATATACCCTTTTCCAAACAACAAACAATCCCCGTAGTACAAGTAACATAAAAAAAAGTTGCTCTTTTTGTGAGGGAAAGGGATTGCCCTTCAAAAGGGAGTTTTTTCACTTGGAGAGGGAGGCATTTTGCTACATTTTTTGATACTTCCCGGATGCAAAATGGTAAGTTTTTTGACACTGGACAACTGTATGTTAGAGAAAATTTCATAACCCGTTGAAATTCAGGGTTTTCTTTTCACTTTCTCACCTCGAAAAACTTGGTCAATCTGTCTTTAGTCAGCTTTTTTCGGCCGATGACCCTCTGCGCTTCCGCAAACATCAATCCATTTTCAATAGCGATCATCATGATCATGACCTGAGGGACTTTCATTACCATAAATGCCATCAAGTTGTAGTATCGTCGGTCGACTTCGAGGAGAAACTAAAGAGATTTTAATGAGCAAAACATGACTTTTCAGTGTTCAATGTTAGTGGTTAGACTTACGTTAGTAATGACGTCTTTGACTTCGCCATCGAGGAAAAGAAAGTCATTGTCGAGGACGTTGGTCCGATGAAAGTTGTAGTGAATAAAGTCGAGGGTTAGTACCTGAAAAAATTGCAAAATTTTCGTTCGACAAAAACATAGAAAGTATACCTACCTCATGGAAAATTGATGTATCTAAGGGTTGGTAAGAGCTATCAAAAAACGGCTAATGCCATTCGGAAAATTATGCCGAAACATGTATTACCGCGTAGAATCAGCCCGTCAAAAGTCTTGGTCGGTTTGACAACTGGCTAACATTTTTTTGGAAGGTATACCGGGGCTCCTAACGCTTTTTGGCCAATATGGCTCGGATTTTGAACTAACCTATCCCCATTTCATTCCGTCGTTACTCTATGGTACTAAAACGCGTATTACATTCATTTCAATATCCCATTATTCACGTAATGCCGTTACGAGCCCTCTCTGCGTGGCCAGAAAACTCTGCGTGGCCAGAAAACTCTGCGTGGCCAGAAAACTCTGCGTGGCCAGAAAACTCTGCGAATGCGCGCTTACCTGTGAAAAATGAACGAGCATGACCAGTCCAAAAGAGATGTTCAAAATAAACATGATCGAGGTCCATCTTCGAATCCGTTGCTTATTGTTCGAATCGATAATGTCTTGCTTTTTATTGGACATAAGGTAGAGTAGCCGGTCCATCCCCGGCGAAGTTATGGAAGTCGCCATAATCACCAATAAAGGGGCGCTTGATCTGAAAACAATAAAATTTGTTACTTAGCTTTTTGACGCTAATAAGTGCTGTCAGTTTTGAAATTTTGGCTTGGTAAATAGCTCTTTGGGATTTCATAGATCGGGAATTTCGAAATATTTGCTTATTTTTCTATAATCAACAGGGGAACTTACGAAACAAGGGTTTGAAGCCATTTGGCTCGGTCTTTACTTGCCCACAGCCCTTTGGAATTGGAGGAAAATATTCGAATGTAAATGTGATTCAAACAAACAAACGTATTGATCAGACAAATGAGGATATCCCAGAGATTCAGACGATCGCGGAATCTGAAAAAATTGAATTTATTATATTTTTTAAACTATTGTTTCAAAAAATTAAAAATTGATGACTCAAAAAATGCTCACTTCAATTTTTTGCATTCAGTTGTGCTACAGAAATACGGCGCTTTTACCGGATGAATTCCGCATAATCTTCCCACATAGATCACAAAAACTCCCATGATTCGACGCTGCGTTTTCTTGATCTGCTCTTCGTTGACGACCTGGTCACTGGTTGGGGTTTCCGATGAAGACAACGATTCTTCCGTCTCTTCTGTATCGGCATCACCTTCCGCGTCGGTGGCTTCGGTCAGCCAAACACGCTCTTGCGCGTCGATCGAGACTTTCTTTATCATCCTGAAACGTGACTGCTTCTACATTCTATTACGTTGATTCCACGTGAATTTAAGATCGAGTAAAATCGCGTAAGGTCAGGCGAACGGAAAGGAGAGGCACCATGATCTAGGTGGATGGTATTAGACTGCGCAAAGGACATGAAATTTGGAGGCTCTTGTGTTTAGGGTAAAATTTAAATAAAGTGAAACTTCTGTGAAACAAACGCTGTACGGCAAACCGAAATAGAACAAAAATGTCTCTCGCCCACTTTTGAGTTTCGTCCAAACGAAGTGTCACAACTGACAAAAGCAATAAAATAATTTCGAGAAAAATATTTTTCTTTCGAAAAACCACACGAAAAATTTTGTTGTGACATTTCGTGTGAATTTGTTCGATACTGGGTGTGCGAAGTGCCGAAACGAGGAGGGAGACTCCCTGGGTTGCCGAAAAATGTCTTTGATCCTTTGCCATACAATTTTTCTTCAGAATATTACCCGTCTAACCATAATGTTTCAAACATGGGGTAATCGAGCAAAAATAAAAAAAAATTAAACCAAAGAATTACACAGTTAAAAGGATCTGTATAGGTGAGACGTGCAATTTGCAACACGACTTTTTGACAGGTGTTTAGACAAGTGATATTACTTCTGTATGTAATTATATTTCCGTACAATGCGGTAATTACATTTACAGATGCAAATAGAGAACAGAATACACACAGTACTACAAATTCCATTCCGCTGAATGAACCTAAATTTTTCACTGAATATCCGGCATTTTTTTTGCAACAAAATGCCGGATATTCGGGGACAACAAAAACATCAAATATGTCTTTCTCACGCTAGCTTCCAATTGCCAATTTGTCTTATAGGCCGGATTAATTTTGTCTCAGGAACCCAAACGGGTATATGTAAGTTGCAAAGTATCGAAGATACGTCACTACATATAATTTCCAAGAAAGAAAAGATTTATTTATTTCTTAAAATGGTTTGTAGTCCCATTTTGCACTGGTACTCTTGTAATGGGTTTTAAAAATTTTCAATTTGCGTAACAGAGGCGAACAAAAATTTCTTAAGTGGCCCAGGTCCATTCGCTAAAATTTACCCGACTTCTTTCCTTTTTATAAAGCTCTAAGCACATAATGCTGATACAAATCTATTCCTGACTGGCTCAGCTTGACCGTGGTAAAAATCTGACCATGCCGGCAAGACTTGCCGGTCTTTTCAGACTCAAAGGTGATGGTGCCCTATCAAATGTGCGCCGCGACTCTTGCGGCCAACCAATCTGCAAAGTTATAGGAGTTTGTTTTAAAAAAATGGTTTCTGAACCTCAGAAAATGCCTCGTTATTCTTGTGGTAACTATTCAAACCTCTCATACACCAGTAAACTAATCCATCGTTAGAGTTTCCTTTTGTAAGCAAATTTTGGCTGATTTCCAAACATGCCCGAACAATATCCGCGGTTTTCCTAGCTGCCTGAAAGGTCAAGTTTAGTCATCAAATGGAACCACGAGCAGATACAAAGAACGCTAAACCTTCTGGCAAAATTCTTACCCCACTCAATTACCCAATTGCTTTGACGATTCGCGCACCAAACCTCAACTTTTGACCCTCCCGAGCGGAAATTCGACCGGATCCAAAACAACCCGAATGCATTCATGAATAACAAACAGTGCACCGAGAAATTATCTTCATATCTCACTTAATTTGCTTTCACAACCTTCGCCAGAACCGAGCGGAAATTAGCATCGTAGCGGTCCAACGTTTATAACATGTCGAAGGGAATTATGGGGAATATACGGAAGGTTGGGGGGAATTCTGGGAAGCGCGTGGTTGGTTGATTATTAAAGAGCGGGGGGTAAGAAAGTTAATTTTCAGGGTAATAGAACGCATTAAAAGTGGTCGACTATTTGAAATAGTAATAGGATCTTTCGGATAGACTGGGAAAAAGTAACGGAGGTTTGGAAGATCAGAAGAGGCAATTCTTCTTGTTGAAGACTTTCAACTAGCTGTTAAAATTGCCACGATGACATGGCTACAGGGTCGGGCTTTTAGAATTTTTGGGCCCCTGGCATATCGGGCCTAAAACCCGGGCCTGCAAAATTAAGTCGAGCTAAAGGCCGACACCAGAAAAGCTTGGACCGGCCCTTTTAGAAACTTCCGAAACCCGGGACGGATAAGACCGGCCTCTGCTATGTTTGTTGCCACCCAAGGTGACACAAAAAAGCATGTTGTCGTAGCTTTTTTATTTAACAAAGAAAATACGATATAAACAGAGTTGAATGAGTCTCACGATAATGTCATAAGATCAAAGGACTAATACGTATAATGTATTTATTTTGGCACCTTTGAGATCAATCATAGTACGCGTGCCCTAACAAAGGCGGAGACCCCCATAAATAAGCATTTATTGAACACTTGACATGTTATTTTTTCAATTCCAGATTAAGTGAATCACGTAAATTGTAGATAAAAACCGTAACCGAGATGTGCTACATAGATATACTCAATATTTTTTAATAACAAACGGACAAACATTTCAGAGCTGTTTGGAAATGCAGCTTCAATCTTTGGAGGGCGGGCCAATAATATTTGACTACATTTTCCAAGACAACCCAAGGAGCAGAAACTGTAGAAACAAAGGCAAGACGGAATGAAAATATATATGTTGCACAGCCGAAAAATTATATCAATGAAGGCAAAAGGTCAAAACCAAAAGTGTCACCAAAGAAAATCCTGCAGAATCTCAACAACTTCCACTGCCAAAAAATCATCATGTTTGCGCCTGTGAACTACTTTTTGATACCATTAGCCTGTCGGGTAAAATAGTGGCGGGTTGTCGCACGTCAAGAAATTGCGGGTATTTGGTTGCGATGACCCGCACTATTTTCATGACAGACTGAAAAAATGCTTTTTGCTACCATATTCAAGCTTATTTTAGCGCCTGTTCGACCGAGTATAAACTGAAACTTTTCCCGCTACTATCTTTGATGACAGACAACTATTAACCGACCGGTTTTTCTCGTCCCAAAAAATCTAACCGGCACTTTCCAACATCCCCAAACCATTTCGAAATAGACCTCAAATGCTTCCAGAACAATCCAAAACCCCTATTCGCCATCTATTTTTACCGATTTCCCATTATTCATTACCTCTTTTTTCGCGAAGACCATAAAATCTTTGGTGCAAAGTCGTAAGGTCTCAACTGCAAATAAGGAAGGGCATTGACGGCGACGGTCATAACGAGCTCGCCCAACGTGCGGATAGGAAAACAAAACTCGAGATTCTGACGGAGAAATGAGATTTGTTACTTATGTATATACGTAAGACACCTGCGGAAAAATTGACCAAAGTTCTTCGTATTTAGCCGTGACAGTGGAACAAAAAATGCAATTTCACATCATAAACTACGGAAATTGCAGAAAATTATGTAAGGACACGTAATCGTATTACGGTTTGTACTGGAGTTGAGATTCGATGACATATACGGAAATGCAAACTGCAGAGCTCAAAAGCAACTTTTGAAAGAAAAACTTAAGTGTTCAATTTTGCATAGATATCGATTAACCTTTGCTTATGCGTCTTATAGGACAGATTAGGCTATGCATTACATAAAATGAAAATTAACTCATTAATTGTTCAAGATTTAAGCTTGCGCTTTGCAACGGAAGCCAAGAGCTTTAACAGTCTTTGGGTCCGGTATAGTGCGGTCAATCGTGTCGCGCCTTTTGCGGGCAACCACTATGCGAGCAGCTAACATTTATCTATTAGAATTATGATTTATTCTACCGCAATCCACGTAGTATGATAGAAATTTTGCATTAGCAATTTCCTAGTACTGATAACTATACGAATCTATTATATTGAATTCATCCACCGCTTTCAAAGTTATGAAAGTTTGTCTTTAAAAAATGTTTTTTGAACTTTTAAAAATGCCTTATTAACGTTATGGTAATTATTCAAGCCACTTATACACCCGGTAACTTAATTCACAACATATAACTGCCAAATCCATCGTTAGAATTTCTTTCTGTGGGCAGGTTGGCTAATTTCTAGACATGCTCGCAGAATCTTCATGGTAGCTGCCCGAAAGGTCAAGTTTTGTCATCAAATACCAGGAGCAGATACAAAACGCTGAAACTTCTTGTAAAATTCTTACCCCACTCAATTACCCTATTACTTGACGAAAAAACATGCTAACTTTCGATTTTTTAACTACGGACTTGCCTATACAACGACCCTGAATTTTAACTTAAAATACGATAGGATGAATTAAAGAATTGCTACCGACATTCTACTTTCAGTATCTTCGGGAGCCGCGCTCCGCCGCGCCCCCTCTACATTAAGGGCTTCTGACCGTTTCCTCTTAACTTCAATTTTTTTCACTTTTTTTTCCATACATTCTTTTTTTTACTCTTTGTGATACCCAAATGACTTTTTTTTAGTGGCTGTCATTATCGACCGGTCGGTACTGAAAAATCGAGTTTTCTTCTTTCTTTTTGGAGCTATGCTGCCGATTTTTTTTTCAGAATTCGTGGAATGAAATTCTACACCTGAATATGGTACTCGTTTTTTCACCATAGTTGGAGTGTCATTTTGAAAATTGCAAAAAACCGACTTTTTAAAAAGTACCCCTTTTTTGAGCCACCTTTGCGGCTTTTTAAAGATAGTTAGCCAGGTCCCGTTCCGATAGATCTCTTGCAAAACACTTCAAATAGATTTTCAGAAATTTCTACATAACGCGGTCGTGTCCCCATCGCGGGCGGCTCTCGGGACTGGAAGGTTCCAAAAAGTCAAAAACGATTCGACATGAAAACGGCCAGCTATCCACACGTTTCCTTCATGCACTGTGGGTCATTTTTCACGCTGACTCCAAATCTGACATGCTTTTTGAACAAAAATTTGCATATTGGTTATATCCGGATTTCAAATCCAAAATCCGATTTTCGTATCTCCGGAACTAGGACCTTAATCAAAAATCGCTGCCATGGAAAGTTGCGGAGCGTTTTTTGGAAGCGCCTGAAGTGGTTTTCGGACGGCGGGTTACAGTCCCCGGTTCTAAACAATTCGCGAAGTGATTTTGTGACATACTCAAAAACATCTCGCGAGCGAAACGAGCGCCGAGTACCATTCTTTCTTTATCGGACGTGTTTTCTATTCCTTTCAAACTTTCTAATTGGATTCTTTCATGTAAATTCAAAACTACGGCTACTGTAACATTTTCAATTTTTTCACCCTTAGGCTACAGGTGTAGATGAAGGAAATTTCAAATTCTGATGCCAAATTCTGAATCTACGTGAAAAATCACCATCACAAGTGGTATCATAGTCCTCCTATCTCGCCGATTTTTTTCGGCTTACTGTGGGTTACGGTAGCTTTTGCGCCGTAAGGCGCTTTTCCGCCATTTTCTCAGCGTTGACGCAATCGCGCCGGACAAAATTCACAGCACTGGTAGTACTCGTCATTACACGTCTTTCAAGGTGTATTTCACGGTTCCAGGTCTGTCGCTACACGAGGGATTACTGTAACAAGGTATCTGGCTTAAAAATACAGTATCTCGGCCAATTTTGATCGTATCCACCCGCCTCAAAAAGCATTCTACTGAGTTTAAATAGCTCTTCAAAACAAAAGTTGACGCGTTTCCGCCATTTCTTGAAACCGAGTTACTGTAACATCGTAAACATAAAAAGTACCGTAACTTTTGAACGAGTAGAGATACGAAGACAGGACCTGGCTCAATCGTTCGGAAATTGAAAACTCGATCAGGAGGAGTGTAAAAATCTGCATATTTTTCTAAAATACGGTCTGGCCGAATTTAATTCTGGCCAAATTTTCCATTAATTATTTCACCCCGAAAAAGTCAAAACTTTTGGGTAAAAAACCCAAAATATGACGGCCCTCTAATTGTACTACAACGTGGTATAATTTTTTTTCCGGGGGATTGAACCTCCGGGGACTTCAGATTGCCAGACTTCCGCGCTACCCACTGCGCCATGGGTGGCTCTCTCGGAATCAAAAAGGGACCGAGCGCGGGGGCCTCCGCACTGTGCAAAAACACTTTCGAAAGGATGCACTGTGCGGATTTTTTCTTTTGCTTTGTCGCGCAGCGACAAAGCCAAAATTCGCGCAGCGACAAAGCCAAAATTGGGATTCGCACTGTGCAAATTGAGAAAAAGCCTAGCTCTCTGGGTAAAATGCAGAGTGCACGGTGCGTCTGGGGGGAAAGTGGGAAAATCAAAAGGGGGGTGCCTGGGAAAACGTTTGGAGGGTGTTTTTCGCACTGTGCGAAATGAAAAAAGCCTACGAACGTAGGCTTTTTTGTTGATTGCACTGTGCAAATTTTTCCAAATTTCAGGTTTCGAAGGGGAGTGTCTGCAAAATATTTTGCGACACTCCGCCAACAAATTTTGCACGGTGCAAATTGGGAAAGGCTTCGTTTGGCAAGATTGCACTGTGCAAACCGTGTCGCAACGTGGAAAAAGGGGCGTGGCAAAAGTTGAGTTTGCATTTTCGTGAGAGAGCAAAAATTTCTCTAGCTTTCTCGTCGATTTCGGGTCCCAGTATTTTTCCGAGGGCGATATCGGTTGGGTTCGCGCGGGTTCGAAATTTTTTTATTTTCTCCGGGTTTTCGCGAGTGCACTGTGCGGTGAGAAGGTTCACTGTGAGTTTATAAGGTGCACTGCGCGGTGCTTAGCGCATAGGCTTAGTTTGCTTAGCCGCTTAGGCTGCTTAGGCTTAGCTCAGGCTTAGTTTGCTTAGGCTGCTTAGCCGCTTAGGCTTAGGTTAATTTGGTGGCGCTTTGCGCGCACACCCGCGTTGGGAATGTAGGCTGACGAGTCGCGTAGCGACGTAGTCAGGCTACATCCCAACGCAGCTTGTCTCATGTGTATAGCAAAACCCACGAATAAGTTTCAAGCGATTTTTGACCATAGTTTTCAAGTTGCGAAACAAGTCAAACATCATAGACCAATCCGAAAGTTTACCCATGACCCGGCCCTCCCAGGTCTTCCTTAATTTTTAAAGCATAGAACACCGCAAATAAAGAAGCGCCAAGAAGATGACTGGTCTGTTTAAATACTTCCAGAATGCAGACGTTTAATTTTGCGTTTAATTGAATTCAAAATAATTAAATCCACCGGGACTTCAGACTCTAAAAGACAAGACACAACCCCAACGATAAGGGCAGTTAAGGTTCATAAAGATTAAAACAAATAAATAGGGCGATCAGGAGATAACACACGTGCCTAAGAGATGATGAATACGACTGATGGAGCCAGCAATTTTGCCGTCAATACGGTAGTCGACAATACGATATTTTTTCGCTTTTTTTTGTTCGCCTTGTTCTAGCTGTGCTGTTGTCTGCAAAGACTGCCTAATAGCTTGGGGTGTCGCGACTCTTGCGGGCAACCACTTTGCGGGCAGCCAACATTTAGCGATTAGAATTTCGCTTTTTCTACCGTCGTGTAATGATAGAAATTTGACTGACAAATCCATCGTTAGAATTTCACTTTGTAAATTTGCGCTGATTTCCAAACATGCCCGTAGAATCTCCGTGGTTCTTTTAGCTGCCCGCAAAGTGGTGCCTTTCAAACTCGCTCGGCCGGGTCGGCCCACTAGCCATGTCTAGTGTCAAGTACAATTAGAGCTGTAGAAGATTCGCAGCTCGCGCTTTGCAGATAAAATCAAAGTTTTAGGTTGAAAACTTAACGCCTGGTTTGCAAAGTCAGCATGTAAAGAGCCAGCTAAAAGAGGGACATCATTTTCATGCCCTCTCGAAGCGGCAAAGATCGCTGAATATGTTGGCTGTTACTGCCATGCGCTAACTTAAGTCTTCGCTAATTGATCCGTGTTTTATGAAAAAGGAGCATGCAATGTTTAAAAGAAGCAGCATTGCACCGAAGACGAACTGTCAAATGATTCAATTTAGGACATACGGTTTGCATACGTAATGGGAAATCAAATCAAACCGATTTGTTATAACAAGATCATGATGAATTAAAATGTGGTTTGAAAGCTCAGAGAATAGAAGTTTGGAGCTTTGAAACGGGTTGGCACACCTTTATAGTATTAAGTTTTTGTCGGAAAAGTGACGGCATAAGTACATAAATTATTCGACGAAAAAATATTTTCTTTTTTGCTACTTCCTCATCACTGTATTACAAAAACAATTTCTCATTAAAAAACGCAGACAGTCAACGAGTCAACTTCTTGGGATAGGTGCAAGTGGCCAACAAATTTGTTTATTGTTTTTCCGCCAGCAAAACCAGTAAATACTATAATACAATACAATTACTGGAAAAAATATGTTTATGATACAAAAAAATGTCTCAAGAATTTTAATAACAAGTTCTCCAGTATTCATTTAAAACCCAGTGGGAAACATCAGCACGGGCAGAAAATGGAGTTAAAAGAATACAGTAGCCCATTCAGGGATAGCTCGAAATAAATCAGATTCCTAGAAGAATTTAAAAAAAAATAATAATATTTGATGAACACTAGCAAACATATATACTACGACAAAATTCCTTCTTAACAATTTCAGCCAAGTTTGGATACTTTTTGAGACAAATCGTACGTTTCTTTGATTGACGGAGGGACGTCTACGGTAACGTTTTGTAAACAGTATAAAATCATTTTTTAGCGGTTCGTATTTGCCTCACAAGGGGTTAATATCAGCGCTGTAACTCTAGCTGTATTTACTGTTATATACCGTGGGTCCCAGGTTTTTGGTTCCACTCTACTTTTTTGGTCATATCTCCGGGGTTTTCTTTTCCAAATGTCATGAAATTTTACAGAAATGTGATTCAGCCTTTAAGAATAAGCTATGCAAAGTTTCATCCTATTCTACTTCAACAGTCGGGCCCTGTGACCATTTTTCTAAATGACAACCGGAGCGGGCGACCCTTCTAAACATCACGCCTTGTATCACTGCCTCGTCAGCAAAGTCGATTGAATATTTGAACCGGCAAACCGCGAGCTAAAATATTCAAGAATCGATGCACAGCCAAAGAAAATTATACTTACTAGAATTTAGGATGCGTCTGGCATCCCAAATGAAGCGCCCTCCTGGGAAAAATCTCGGCCAAACAATGGAAATTGGCAAAACTGTTATTTAATTTTAGTGATAAATAATAAAACCCACGAAGCTTTTTTTCCTTTTAAGGCATTTGATATTGGCGGTTTAAAAGCCCCCAATATTTCCATAATCTACACTGAGGTAGATAGTGCTTGAAACGACCTAATAACCTTGTATAATCGTAAGAACCGGATATTATATATCCAATATATGGGTTCTGTTCCCCAAGAACAGCGTTATTACACAATATTGGATGACAAAAAAAAACGCGGGCCTTTCATATCCAAGACGCAAAAAAACAGCCTGAGGCCAACTTTGTTTCCTACCGTAAAAAAAATAATTGCGATTCGGCGACAAACATCATCATGTGAGGGCGTCTTATGGATAATTTTGGAAAATTCTAAATTTATGCCAAGTTTCATCAAAATCTGAGCGTCACATTTTGAGCACTTCCCCTCTAAACTATGTAGAATTATATTTATTCTATCCATCAAATTGCACACAAAATATGAAACATAAAGCAAGGAAATGATGACTGGGATAATGTCAGAGTGCAACCAAATCTAAAGTGCTTTCTATTTCCAAATTGCGGAGAAGTCATCTCCCCCATTTTCCGGCACCATTTCCCCTTCAAATAGGCCTAATGGAAATTACTGCAAAAATTAAATTGACCGCTCATGACTGACTGCACGTTGCATCTTTTATACATCAAACTACACATTGTTTCAATATTAATATATATAGTTTCTAAAGCTCCTTCATTTCCACAAGTCCAACACTACTCTTCCAGTGACTTGGTGGTTGATCATGTTGTCAAAGACTTCAGTCAGCGATTCCAACGGCAGCACCTTGATGGGGATCTTGATTTGGCCTCGTTGAAGGAATTTGAGCGCATCGTCGGTGTCTTGTCTGGATCCCACGTAACTTCCTTTCACCGTGACCGACCTAGTCACCGTAGAGAACACGTCCACGGGCACTTTTGCGTCCTTTGGCAACGCCACCAAGACGACGGTTCCTTTGGTGCGAACGTAGTGAGTTGCGTCTTCCATTGGCTTCACGGCGGTGGCTAGGTTAATCACACCGTGAGGTCCTCCTTGCGTCATCATTTGGATGTCGGACACAAGGTTTGGACTATCAAACGGATTGATGAACATATCAGCGCCCAGATGCCGACAATGCATTTGCTTTTCGCCCGCATCAACCGCCAACACCCGCAGACCCATGGCCTTGGCATATTGGATGCAAAGAGAGCCAAGGCCGCCACCGGCGCCGGTTATGGCCACAGTGTCGCCGGCTTGGATATTACAATCTTTGAGGGCCTTGTAGACGGTCACTCCCTAAAAAATTTGAAAATATAAATGAAATATGGCAAGAAATATTGTTTCTGCGGGCTGTTTAGATCTTGAGCGGTTTTCCATGGCGGCTACAAGAATTTGAAATGACTTACAGCGCAAAGAATGGGTGAAACCTCGACCAGATCAATTCCATCAACAATTTTAACTGCTTCGTTTCCGTTTACAACCGCATATTGTTGGAAAGATCCATCTCTGTGGAATCCACTTAAAACGACGTCACCACAATTTGGCTCGTTTCCTTTTTTACAATGCTCACAGGTCGTACATGACGAGTTTACCCACTAAAAAAAGAAATAATATAGGAAAAGTCATCGTTGAAAAAGGGAATAATAAATGATTCTGACGGCAATGGCCTTTATTTTATCCTAATTAACGTTAGGCTCACCTTAATGCCGGCTCGATCCCCGATCTTGAAGTCCTTTACATTCTGCCCCACTTTGACCACAACTCCCGCACCCTCATGACCTCCGACAATTGGCAGTTCTTTCGCTTCCATAGGGAAATCTCCAAGCCAGACGTGAATGTCGGTGTGGCAGACTCCAGAGTAAATTACTTTCACCAAAATGTCATCATCTCCAATCTCAGGCACCGAAATTTTCTCAAACTGATATCGTTGGCCAAATTTGTGGAAGACAGCGGCTTTTTGAGTGCTGGGAATCGGCTCAGCCAGCACCTGGTCCTCCGTCAACGACTTAAACCTCGCCTCGTCGTGGCTGCAAGTCAGGTGGGTGTGAGGCTGCGAAACTGAAGCCGAAAAAGCTCTGAGAGACGAAGATTGTGGGGCCATTCGATTATTCATCAAAGCGCGCAACGTGTGTAAGTTGCGGGGACCGGAAAACGTTGCCAATTGGCGGTGAGTGAGGACGAGTAGAGTGGTGAGACGATTGAATCGAGCAGTCACCATGGTTCGTGGATTAAAGCGTATCACTGAAATTCAAAATTAGCCTGGTCTATGAAGATAATTGTAGGCAATGATGAGCGGAGTTAGGTAGGAAAGCGGCAGCAATGGGAAACATTGGCAAATTAAGGGAAATATAAATTCAGGGAATTCCTTCGATTTTATTCAGTCCCTAAATGTTGGCTCTAAATAAGGCTATACGGGGAACGAATCCAGTGCCGCAAAAGGATTCTTGACCTTTCAAGAATCACTGTAAAGATGGGAAAAACTAAATTGAACAAGTCGCAGATAACACCCAAAAATAAAACGATGTTTTGTCCAGCCTTAAGCTCTCACCGAACCTAATCTTTCCCCTCGAAAGTACTACCGATCTTTCTATTTTATACTGCATCCTTTACTTTCAAGTCAGCAAACAAACTTTTGGCCATTTTATACCGAAAACGCACGAACAGACGGCTTTAACACTGCTCTCGAACAAGACGCCCTTGAAAAAAAACACCCGAAAAGAGGGCGGAACCCAAGACTTCACGTACTTTAGACAACGTGAAAACATTGTGCAGAAAGAAAGAAACGTATATTACGAACCCCAGGCAGACAACGCAACAAAAAGTTCGTTGAAACGTACGTATACTGAGTCATTTGCGTATTTGAGGTATTTGAGGGCGATTTTTATGAGGAGGATGGGGGAAAAAGAGCGTGGAGATTTGAGAAGACAGTGTGAACAAAATTGGCATTGATTATGTGGGAGGGGACCGGTAAGTATAAATTGAAATAGGTATAATTTTTTTTTGTTTTTGAAAGCTAAATAACGCCTAACGTCTTGCATAGCCATGTAGCCCTTTTTTCAGAGGTTTTTGATTGCTTGAAAACAAAATATCATACTTTTTTTATCACTTTCTTACAATAAGACAAATTTTATACCATTTGACATGTACTTTATTGTTCATTTTAAAATTTAGATCTTGCAACCAATCATTTTTGATGACTTTGCATTTGTTGTTGCAATATTCCAAAGTCTCCTCAAAATGCCCAACTTCCCAAGAGGTATTGTCGGCTCTCTACTTCCTTATTTTTATAATTGCACTATCACTGACGTAATGTTTCCAAAGTGCAGTTTTCTGATTTTCTAACGAACTCTTGTCCTGGGTAGAAAACAAGACCCTGCTCTCTGCCCTCCTCATTCTACCCTTCAAACGTTTTTCCATTGAATTTGAAGCGTTCTTTACTCAGGAACGAGACTCGCTCGAACAATGAGGTCAATTTTTTTGTTGGCAAAGAACAGAAAAAAATTTGTGAAATTTTAGTCATCAATGTTCGGTTCTTTAGGAAGACCAAAGCACTATTTTTTTTAATCGTGAAGTTGTTTTTGGGACTGTAACAAATATATATGAGCTTCAATTAATCTGATAAATACAGTTTTGCCAAAAATATAAATATTTGGTTATCCAAAATTTGTTTTCCAAACTTCTCAGGAAATAACGCCCCTTTTTGAGCCCTATAAATAATATATTTGCCCTTCTTGCACGAATTTTTATAATCTACGGCTAGACATACTCATAATACAATTCAAGCAAAGAAATCTTATTTACTTTAAGGGTCGCCCATAAAAAAGACCGAAAAAGCGTCGAAGTAAATACATGGATCGTTTTTTGATGAGACTGACGAGACAGCAAAAGGCATGGCCATCAGAAAGGCTATGAAAAGTCTTCATGCTGAACGTTTTGAAGGAAGGCAGTGATCTCAGCCTATCCTACGACTAACAGTTCTTTGGTGTTTGGAGTAATCGTTAAGCTCAGATTTCAGTTTAAAAAGGGGTAAACAAACGAAACAGGGGCCAGAATGAGCAAGATTTGGAACCAAACAGTACCGCAGGGGGTCGTAAAACTGCCATTTTTAAAGTCCTATTTATCGTCCGGCCCTTCGCGAGCCAAAAGAATTCTACGGGACTATCTCAAAAATCTTTTCCTTTTTTAAGCTGTATTTCTTGGCTCTACGCAAAATGGCAGCAAATTTAGGACTCATTTGTAATGAGCAAACCTTATTTTTTCAGTTTAGACGCGGAAATTAATCGTAGCGCCCTTTTACGTCTTCGCTCTATTTTTTGCTGAAAGGGCATTTCCTCACAGGGAGCTAGCTGTCCGACTATCAGAGCGTACGTTTTTTCCGTACGCTTTTAGTCATAGAAGCAAAAAGATCTCGAATTAGCGAGAGAGTCCGAGAGAAAAACCGCTCTTGTCGATCCAAACCCTAGAGTAGGTCTCAAAGTTGGAGCCATAACTTTTGAGCCGGTGGCCGCAAGTTGATTTCTATCTCGAAACTGGCTCATTTGATTTTTTTCGTTTTAGGCTCAAAAAATCCGCCTTATTCCAGACTATGTTTCCACGAAACTTCAAATAGGGGCGAGGGAAAATCTTAGAGAAATCCTCGAAATCGTAACATTTTTTAGGCGTTGTTAGTTTAGGCTTCAAACAGATAGAAGACGACCGATTTTTTATATGAAATATGTATGTTCAGGTTAAGCAGGACTCCAGCTTCAAATTTATGTATGCAATAACCCTATTCTACCCCATCTTCATCGTGTAATCAGGTTATCTTTGGCACGGCGGTTTCAAAGGTCTCTTTCGTGGTATGAAAAAAAATAAAGTACGCGCAGCTTGCAGAGGAAGGTATACGATGAAACATGTCTAGGAAGAAATCGTACAGTTTCATCAGAAGTGTGGTGTAATTGATACTAAAAGAATAAAAAACATTTTTCTTGATCTTTTCAGACCAATAATTAACTTAGAATTCACATTAAAGTTTCTAAAATCATCAAATGAGGTAACGGTTACCATGATTACTTAAATGAATATTAAAACAGTAATCAGGCCGTATTTTAATTAAACAGAGGAAGCAAACCCGTTTAAAGATGTAGAGGAAGCGTTAGAACCTATGGGACCAACAAAAACCGAAACTTTTTTTAAACGCTGCTTACAGCAATATTGTACATATAGTGGCATACCCGATGAAAACCAGCTGTGGTTATATGAGGCTAAAATAATTGTTAAATGTTTAATTTATAAACACAGAGATGGAGGAGCACAGTCTAAGCGCAATATATGGTCTTTTAGTAGCGTAAGCCTTGATAGTTAAAGTGGATAAGGTGATGGTGGGTACTGTACCACAAGTCCTCGCTAATGCAAAATCGACGTTGATTCTAAACGATTATTGCTTACTGAGTTGTAGTAGCACCCTAACCCCTCATAACCACCTTTGCATTTGTCTCACGATCAACTTTGACCTACTACAACATGACCAATGTACTTTCGGCCACAGACAAGTCTCTTCATTTGATCACCTACTTAGCCGTGCTGTATACCAAAATATAGCTAAGACAAAGTAGTTTTTAAATCCCTGGTCGATTTTTGATCCGACTATTTGTTCGAAGGATACTGTAGTTTTTCGAAATTGTCAAAAATCAGCATGTTTTTTGGGTGTCATAACTTCTCGCTCAGTCAACCTTTTTTGACGTTTTCGGTGTCTATCGACTCGGAATCATGTCTTTACATATCGACTTCTTCATATCAAGTTCCCATTTTGATTTTTGGTTTTGATACGGTATCCTCAACATAGGCAAATTTAGCGCCACAGACAATTGGTCTCCGATTTCACTTCTGCAATGTGTTTAATACGTCACTAGATAAAAGACAAATTCTATTTTCTAAATACCTGGTCGATTTTCGATTCGACTGTTAGTTTAAAAGTTACAGTAAAAAAACGTCATTTTTTGCCTCCGCGAGCTGCGCCCCCGCTTCAAAAAAGAACAAAACGAAGTTCCCGCTTTTCTGTTGTGTGAAACCGCCGTGTTGGAGCAAAAAATTATTCTTTCGCCGAAACAGAATGCCAAGAATTTTTCATTGCTCACAGGGAACTCAAAATCACTTATAAAAACTTTTATTTACTTATAAAAACTTCAAGTTTTTATAAGTAAATAAAAGTTCTTATAAGTGATTTTCAAATCACTTATAGGTAATTTTTATTTTCGCCGTTTGGGAAATTCACTTATAGGTAATTATAAATACTTATAGGTAACAGAAAATTATCCACAGTGCAGGATAGATATAAATTTATTCAAACAAAGAAAAAACAACTTGAATCTGATGTATTACCGGTTGGATATTTGGTTAGCGCATCTTCTATGCTCCGGGTTAGCTTCCATCTGTCATTTGTCCTGACGGGGCATGATTGTTTTTGTGAGGAATCTGCGATGGGTTGGATTCACTGAAAATAGTCAAGATAAAGAAAGATAACTGAACTATAAGCCCTTTTTTAACTGTTTTTTCTACGCTTTTCCATCCCAAAAAATTAATTTGAGGTTCAGCATTTGGCAATGAGATTTCGAGACATCAAGTTTTTTATGTTGTACTAGGTCCAGGTGAATACTATCAACATACCTGGGGCATCCGATAGCCATTTTTTCCAGACATTGTGCGCACGTTGTCCATTTACTTCCTCCATGAACATTTTGTGAGTATCTGAAAACTAGAGGGTTCACCTGGACCTAGTACAACATAAGAAAACCATGTCTTGAAAAGTTTCTGGCCTTCTGAAATGTGGAAGCAGTTTAAAAAACCTACCAAAATTGTGGAAAGGGTTCTTCATCTGAATTCTTGGTTGATTATGCTTGTTCTTAGATCTTCCGAAGCTGCCTGATGCTGACATGCGTTCTATTCGAGAAGTTTCTTATGTTCCGGATTTATTATCTATCCACTTTTTATAGTTCTGAAAGACAAAATGCACTAAAAGTACCTTACCTTGTTCCATCCAAGGTATAAATACCCTTATGCACCTTCATTGACCAGTACTGCTCCGAAAAACTTAGAATTTCTAAGTCTCGCCCATGCGTTCAAAAAGCCAAAAGCGTCTTTGGCGCTCAACTGTTTTCTTTTCGGAGTCCTTATTGGTAATTATAGGTAAATAAAAGTTCTTATAAGTAAATAAAATTTCTTATAAGTAAATCAAAATAG